AGTTATTAACTGAACTGTTGTTTAGTTTATTAGTACAAGAAATGTTATTAGTACGCAATAAAACGTGAGAGGAAACGGTAACACTCACAATACTAAACACTGTTTTAATATAACACTCAATTTATTGCACAACTGAATACGTATGATATAGGCTACACAATGTACAGATGTTTAGTTACAGTACAGTACAGTATTCCTGTTTACAAAATTAAATCAAAGAAATGAAAATTAATTTACTGTACATTGTACAAAAATAAACAAGTAAGCTAATCTTTTTTCCCAAAGAAATCAGTTATTGTTTTTTGACTTAGATTAGAGGATCTTAGGCTAGCCGCCCTGTTGCGCCAGCGTCGTAGTCGTAGCCAAACTAAATCGTCAGCCCACTAGATGCGCAATAAGCTACGGAGTCGAATCGGGGTGGTGGGGAGAGCAAATGGCTCAGTCTCAGTCGCGTCTCGGCATTGAAACAGTTCGCATTGGTCCGGCGGCGAGCGGTGTCGGGTTACAATACAACACCTGCAGCTGCTCTGGCGAGCGGTGTCGGGTGACAGTGCCGTATGCATTCGGCAAAGATAAGCGCTAAGCTACGCAAATATTTGGCCGAGGAAACACAACAGTTGCCAACATTTTACTGTACAGTAGTTTTAACGCATTGCAGGCTAGCGTGCGTATTGCGATAATACCCCCGCCGCAGCAAACCTGCAGACTAAGCGAATTTCCATTTGCCTGATTGGATTTAGACTAAAATGTCTCCTTAAAAATATCACATTTATTCCCTATTTAAATAGAATCAGTTTAACACATACTTAGGTTTGCTGCAACAGGGAGGGTAAAATTTTTTTTTATGTAGGCCTAAAATGTTAATAGTTGGTAAGAAATAAAAACATTTTCCAAATTTGGGCAAAATATGTTAATAAACAAGCACACTACAACGGTTTACTTATTCTCCATAAGAATAACATGGGAATTTTAAATTAACAATTTTTTGGAATTTTCTCCGTAACCATTAGGCGCATTATAACGCTTCAATATACTAAATTATTTGTTTTTTTAAGCTCTACAAAATAGTTTGGAAAGAAATTTCAAAATTTTATGTTTTTTGGGTCAAAAATAGGGTAAACCCATTTTTACCCCATAAAAGCCCCCATAAACCCCTGTTCCCATGGTCCGATCATGCTGGTTCGCGAACTCGTTCGAACAAACGTAGGTTTACACGTTTGTACCAAATTTCATCAAAATCGGATCATTTTTGCTCGAGTTATCGCGCTAACGGACACATATATATATAAATATATATATATATATATAAATATATATATATATATGAATTTGAACGGATGGTGTTTTTGGCCTCTAGGGACCTCAAAACGAAAAAAAAAAATCGGTTCCGGGTCCAGGTCTTACCATGAGTACTACGGTAATAGCTTATTCCCTATATGGGAAATTCGCTAAAAGGAGCACCCAAACGCTCATTACTGTACGTAGTTTGTGCGTGTTTCTTTTGCTTTTTAAATAAAAAAAATCGTCCGAGGACGGCCTCGGTTAACCCGGAGGCTCGGTTAACCGAGGTTCTACTGTATTACCGTAGGTGGCACGGTAAGACCTAGACCCGGGACCGATTTACTTTTTCATTTTGATGTCCCCAGAGGCCAAAAACACTATTCGTTCAAATTTTTATATATGTATATATATATATATATATAGACTTATATATTATATATACGTCCGTGAACGCGATAACTTGAGTAATTTTTGTCCGATTTTGATGAAATTTGGTTTAAAGGTGTAAAGCGGGATACACTTGAATGAGTTCGCGAACCAGCACGATCGGACCATGGGAACGGGGCTCTACGGGGGGTTTTATGGGGTAAAAATTGGTTTTTCTCACTTTTGACCCTCAAAACACAAAATCTCCCAATTTCTCTTTAGACCTTTTTAAAGAGCTTAAAAAAACAAATAATTTAGTATATAAAAGTATTTTTGTTCGATTATTAGTAACGAAGAAAATTAAAAAAATTGTAAATTTAAAATTCCCATGTTATTCTTATGGAGAATATTGTCAAATGTTGTAGTTTGCTTGTTTATGAATATGTTTTGATCAAACTTGGCAAATTTATTTATTTTGTACTAAGCTATCAATATTTTACTCAAAAACACACTTTATTAGTTTCCTTGTAGCAGCAAACCTAGGTACTCGTTAAACCTAATGTTATTAAAATATATTTAACTGAAAATCAATTCAGACAAATGGAAATTCGCTTAGTCGGCAGGTTTGCTGCGGCGGGGGTATTTATGCTCTTTCATTTGATATGTCACAAGCGGTACCTTGCTATTTAAAAAAAATTAGTTGGGGGCAGGGGGGGAAAGGGGGGGAATGTGAATGTAACGTTGAATTCAAAACAATTGGGCCCCCTACGTCAATAGATGATTCCCGCAAACTGCATATTTCTATCTATTACGGTTTTTACATAAATAAAGATGCAAGTTTTTAAAAAAAACACCCTGTATAACTTTTTTACATCACAAACTAACAAAGTACGGTTTTCAATTTTTTCAGTTCTCCGTTTGTTATAATATTACGCCCAACAAACTTACAAAGAAAAAAATTTTCCTAACATGTTATATATTTCTATGTAGGGAATTAGATTGTCTAACTTACAAAATGAATATAATGAATTTCCCATAAAAAATCTGTAGAAAAATTTCACCCAGACTATTTTTGTACCGTAATTACAAAAAAAAATTCAAAACTTTCAAAACTATTTTTTCCAGTACCGAAAAAAAAAAAACTTTCCAAATAATTATTATATTACTGTTTCTAGAATCTCCTGTTCTTTCCAAACAAAAGGAATGTGAGGTTGGCTAGGTTTACTTCTGCGGTTGAATTTTTTTCAAATTTCCAAAAAGAGTTCTGCAAAATCGCCAAAATGGGTTGGCCATTCCACACTTCTAACATAGGCCACTGCTAGGGTTAACCCTCCGTCAGGTGCATTGATTTTCGAACACCAAAGGGCGCTCACGGAAGTTATCTCCGAGAGTACAAAAACTATACAATTATGAGTAAAAAACATTTTAATAGCAATAAAACTGTAAGTAAAACATTTTTTATAAGTTATTACACTATTACTTAAGTTGTAGGCCTATACCAAATAGAAAATGTTATTAAAAAATAAAAATACGTAAGTGTTGTGAATAAAAAAGACTTACTTTTTGTACTTATATAATACTATCGTATATTAGAAAACAAATTTTAATATTGTATGACTATGACATAAAGACACGCATATGGTCTAATGAAAATAATCATTTTGTACAAAGACAACTCATTCAATCAAAGCTCTTAGACAAAAATTTCATCAGTATGACATAAAAACATCTGTGGTAGGCCTATTATGAAAAAAGATAATTATTTCATAAGGACAACTTACTTTGTCAAAGCTCTTTAGACAAAATTGCAATGGTGTTTGAAATATAACACCTATAGTCTAATGCAAAATTCATTTGTTAGAAGGACTACACTTACATTTTGTCAAAGCTCTTTTTCTTGAAAAAAAAAAGGTTTCCGAACTCACGCACCATTAGTTATTTCTACTAAATGTTGTTCCTTGTCCTCCCTTTCAACACTAGCCAACAATCTTGCAATTAGTTCTTCTTCATCCATTTTTTTGTAATATCGCTAAATAAGGTCAAACACAAGGGCGCACACGGAACTAGGCTCCTGGAAACCCGTTACATCACAGGGCGCTCACGGAAGCTACTTCCAGTAGTGACACAAACCACTCCCTAAGGTCGACTGACAACTGGGAAAGGGGTAAGAGTATACAAAACCGATTCCGCAAAAGAGGTTCGTGAGGTAAATCAGGCCACAGCCCTGCTGAACAAATAGGCCTACTATGGTTTTTATAACAAAAAGTAGTGACCCGGAGGTAACTTCCGTGATGCGCCCAATGGAAGGTTAAGACCTTTGATTCATATTCAAGTCGATAACTTATTTAACCCTAGAAAGGTATCACCATATAAGTTAGTATGATGCTAAGGTTATCAAGATAAGTTACGTAAATTTGATGTAGGCCTACTGCCGGCCATTTTACTACTTAAGTACTTATACACAAAGGGTATTGACATGCCAGTTTGACCTATGCGTTCCAAGAAAGGGACTAGCAAGGACACAAAGAAAACACACTACGATCCAACCAAGGCAGCTGTAACATGGCAAATACCTCAGTTACTGAGAGTGCTGCTGAAAGTAGGATGAGCATCGGCAGTCGGATGTTTTCAAACATCGATGTTTGATGATTTTACATCAATGGTTGGTTACATAGGCCTAAGTTACCGATGTTTTTGTTAGGCCTAACTTAACTTAACTTACATAAGTTATTTGTCAAACATCGATGTTTTGGGGCAAGAAACTTATTTAGATATTGATGTTTTCTATTACTTAAGAGTACGAAAAACTTAAAAAAATTAATGTTTTACAACTAAGAACGTGGATGTTTGAGGGGGTGGGGAGTGGGACGCTAAAAATAACTCGCCCTACGTGAAATTTATATGCGCTACCCATCTAGGCTAGGGTTAATCAAATAAAGTAACCAAGGCCTACTGTAGCCTATTGAATTTGAAAAGTAAGCTAAGCTTAATATTTACCACCCAATTGTTCGAACTTAATTTAAATCATGCGTAAATTAAGTTAACATAAATTTAAATCTTACCCTAGGCCTAGGCCTATCTTAAAAAACGGAACAAGTTGGGCATTGAGTAAGTGAAGTTAAATTAGGCCTATCTGACTGCAATTAAATTGTTCATTAACCGCCCGAAATTAGTAATTCAACTTTCCTTCTGTAAAATAGTTTATCACAACCAATTAATTAACTTATAACCAGTCTCAATAGAAATTTGCCAACATGGCCATGACAATGAATTAATTGGGAGTAGAGTATGAGACGCATTACTCAGCATTATAATAGGCTAGGTTAGTTTATTGATTTTAATAAAACACTCACCACACTACTTTGGCTCAAAAACATTCTGAAACTTGTAGCCTACTGTTCACTAAATAAATAGGAAAATTGTTACTACAGTGGTTAACGGGGCAATGGTGGGCTTCTAAGAAGCCAACGATCCTTGTTTCGGAGTGCTTTTATACTTTCTCTCTAGCCTTCCCTTACCACCCGTATCAAGTAACACTGTAACAGGCACCTAACGAGTCAAATAGATTAAAATGTTATATTAAATAAAATATTTATTTAAACCACAGTAATAAATTGATAAAATTAGATTTTATATTTATTTTGGATCAAGAAATTCACCATGGTAAATGTTTATTCATGGAAAATAACAAAATCGAAGTAAAAATTTGAACTTTCTTTGATACCGTAGTAGGTATAAAGAATGATCCCTGAAGATCCAGTGTTACAGCATAGATTAAATATTTTAATATATAGCTTAGATTAAATGATGCATCAGAGGTCCAGCGTGGAGCCTGCACGGCCACCTTTAACTACAGGCCGCGGCCTGGTAGAATTGGCAACGTTGCAAGTGGTGTTGTTTAGTGACAGACGTCCCATAAGATAACATGGCAGACAGGTGACATCAGCATTAATTCGCACGTTATTTATTTATATTTATGAACATAAATTTATTAAAATAATGAAAATAAAACATACATAATTTAAAACCGAAACAATATGAATTAAAAATATATATCTGTATATTTTAAGTGGAGTCAATATTGTCATACATAGTCCAGTAACCAATCTTTCGTAAATACACAAATACCATCAGCTGCTTCCAACCAAAACAGTTGTTACTTACAACACCACTTGCGAGCTGCGACGTTGCCACTTCGAAGGCCGTGGCCTGGAGTTAAAGGTGGCCGTGGGAGCCTGGCTCCAGCCACTACAGCTACGACCACCTTTAACTCCAGGCCGTGGCCTGGTAGAATTGGCAACGATGTAAGTGGTGTTGACTACCGCTAGACGTCCAATAACATAACATGGCAGACAGATGACACCAGCTCATTAATTTGCGTATTATTAATTTAAATTTAAATTTATGAACATAAATTTATTAAAAGATTGAAAATAAAATATATAGAATTGAAAACCAAAACAATGTTTAAATTGAAAATCTATTTTTTCCTACAGTTACCTAACAATGTACATGTTCTCTCACTGATTTGAGAAAGCAAAGTGGCCAATTCGCTCATCAGTGAGACAATGTTAACATTGTCTCACTCTAATTACTTTGTCTCACTCCAGATTTGCAACGTGAAGGCACGAAATAGTGAGCGCGTAACATGCAGGCAACGTCGTATGCGCGCGAATACGTTGGCAGCACTGGCTGTAAATCAGCTGGTCAGCTGTTGTACTGTTGTATTTGTCACTTCACATTCAATGTTATATTAAAAGTTCACTTCTGTGTAAAAATAGGTTATGTTTCTTCACAAATTTATTTGTTTTATGGTAACTGTAGGAAAAGTATAATGTGCAACTCGAGTTCAAAGTACAATTGCCTCACTCGAGAAACCATTCCTCTCGAGTGAGTCAATTGCTCACTTTTCTCACTAGTTGCACAAATAACTATTTCACATTAAATTGGAGCAAATATTTGCATAGCCCAGTAAACAAGCTTTTGTATTCTTAAAGCCCCCACACACTACCAGACCAGACCTCCAGACCAGACCGTCTGGCTGCAACCAGACCGTCTTGGACGGCTCTACACACTCCCAGACCAGACGGTCTAACATTCGTAATTGAGAGACCGTGTTGAGAACTCCAACAAATGGATTAAGACTGTCACGATGGTCGGCCGTCTGACAGACAGCGCTACACACTCACAGACCAGACAAAAATAGTGGTGGGAGAACCTCAGACCGTCTGTGGTCTGAGGGTTCAACCATCAGACACGCAGACCGTCTGGTCCGACAAAATCGGTCTGCAGACAGCCCCACACACGATAAGACAAGTGCCAGACGCCAGACCGGACGGTCTGGTCTGTAGGTCTGGTCTGGTAGTGTGTGGGGGGCTTAAAAAAATACACAAATTGCCATTAACCGGTTCTAAAAAAAAAACAGCTGTTTCAACCCTACTTGCGATGTTGCCACTTCGAAGGCCATGGCCTGGAGTTAAAGGTGGCTGTGCTACAGCTGTGGCCTGGAGTTAAAGGTGACCGTGGCTACAACATACTAAATTATAGTCATAGATTAAGTACTTGTGTTGGTTATTCTATGAAACAGGATGCAGTCAATGATACTTTTTTACAGAGATATTATCTTTATGGATCAGCCAAATACAATCACGGCCACCTTGCGGTCTCGCAGGATTGGTAACGTCACAAGTAGAGTTGTTTAGCGTCAGACGTCTCATAAGATTCTATGTTTAGCAGACAGGTGATATCAGCTTATTAATTCGCACTTTATTGATTTAAATTTCAATTTGTGAACATAAATTTACTAAAATATTGAAAATAACACTTACAGAATTAAAAAACCAAAACAATATGAATTGAAAATCTTTATTTGTACATTTAAACCAGAGTCAATATTTTCATAGTCCAGTAACCCTTCCTTCCACCATGCCAGTAACCAAGCTTTCGTAAATACACAAAAAATACCATTAGCTGGTTCACGCTGCTTCCATAAAGTTGTATCGGTTGTATACTATCAGCGATCTATATCAGTGGTTGTATTGGTTGGTTGAGCCAATTTGATCCTACTTGTTGGTGTTGTTGGTAACACTGAACAATGATTCGGCTAGATTGAAGGATTGGATTGGAATGATTGGATGAAATGAAACTTCCAAACTTCGAAACTTGCTTTGCTTCTTTGCTTGGAATTGGAAACCGACTACAGACACAGACAGACAGATAGTAGGAAAAACTTGCGAAGTCATTAAAGATTTAAATACTATTTATGCTTTTATTGTAAATTTGGTTGGATACAATCTTCAATAATGTCACGAGGAAGTAGTGCTGGATTTGATAGGCACATCACAATATTTTCTCCTGAGGGAAGACTCTACCAAGTTGGTAAGTTGTATGTTATAACCTACAAAATGTTATTATGGATCTTTTATAGAATTTGGTTTCACCAAAACCAATGTTTTCAATTTACTTGAAATAGGCCTATAGGTACTTCATGTTTTAATAAGCTCACCAACGCATGCAATGAAGGTAACAAGGTTAACCAATAATAGGCCTACTGCTGCTCTCTCTAAAGCCTGGTTTACACGGGTCGAGTACGGCGGGCGAGTCAGTGTGCGAGTTGCCACTCGCTCTTTAACTCGCCTGGTGTAGACATGCAGGCGAGTCGAGCAACGGGCGAGTTGATAAAAAGAGGTCAGTTGAGAGCGAGTCGAGTGATTTAGTTGAAAACCGAGTTGCTCGGCCCAGTAGCTACCCCTACCACCACGATTTGCCCGCAAAACATCTGTTTACTGCTCTCATGAGTCCAGCAACCACAGAAATTTTTTTTTTGTTATTTTGTGGTCGCTGACAAAGAGTCGATCACAACGTTCAGTATTTTTGGGGTTAGTTCAGTAGTGTATGCCTAATCACCCTCAATACTATATGGTTTAGTTGAACATTTGGCCCTGTGTTGCATTGTCTTGCTGATCGTAAATCTACTCACTCTTATAAAATTCAGTTTTCAAAATTGTTGTACAACTTAATATCTACAGTTCTACTGGAACGATTTTATTAATCAATGGGTTGTTAGAAAGCTCACTCCCTAAAAATGTTTTCTATCAGAAATACATTGAAAACAGTGTTTTTTCACATTTTTTTTTATTTGGAGGCAACTTTTGGTTGCCTATATGTTTTATTTTAAAGAAATGCAGTACCGGTATAGTAATTTGTAACAAATCTTATTCTTTTAGAATATCACCTTCCACTTTGGTCTATTGTATAAAAAAAAAAAAACTTAAGCAACCCTGCCTGAATTAAATGGATGATTTAGTTTTAATTCTAATAATCTAATTCAGTGATTTAATTAATTTATAAATTCAGCATTAAACTCTTGAAAGTCCCATTTTAAACTCAAACAACATTTAACACGAAAGCTAAGGTATACGGAATACCCTACACCACAGAACACAGAGAAATTATAAAAATTACTTCTCTGTGCCTACTTACACTGTCATTGTTCTAAATAGGAATTTTAGGAATGCGTGTAGACAGTCTAGTCAAGTACCGGGCGAGTTGAACAAATCAACAACTGGGCCTAGTAACTGGGCCGAATAACTCGTCTGACATACTCGACCCGTGTAAACCAGGCTTAAAGGACTTTAATAATGGCCTTCTTCTTAGTTGCATCAACTTCACTGCACCAAGAGAACATGCTCTTAGAACATGAGAACATGCAATTGTAATGAGATTGTAATGTCAAGCACTCACATTTACTTGTATCTTGTCAAAATTCTTGCTATTTATTATTGTTACCGCGTTCAAATCTCTATGCTTTTGTTAATGTTATATTTATTGTTATAGGTACTGTTGTTTTAGTACTTAAATGTGAACTATTAGAAACTAATAGGCCTATATCAACTATCATGATTTGCTGTAAAATGGTGTAACCGTTGAGACTAAATAAATAAATAAATAAAGCAGCATTTTCTTAGTGACACAATTAAAAAGCCTGTTACACAGCGTGCTTCCTCTCCAAGGTTGCAGGAAGCACCAACCCCTTTGAAACCAATTGGACTTGTTTTGTTTCCTAGCGACACGGTACTGCCAACTGTGCAGCGTACCGGTACCTAATTAATTGGGAACACTGCCTTGAGAGCAGTCAGCTGCAAATAAACTGCCGAACTGGGCTAACGATAATGTGTACATTTTAAATATAGTAACCTAGCTTAGTCTGAGTGATCTTACTAAGTTCACCATTGATGTTGATGACAACAGTTTACTAATTAGGCCTAGGCCTGACTGTGTGTCTGAGTTTTAAGGTTATTCTTAACTCTGTTGGCTTTAAAGTTGTATCACCAAATTTTCTCCCTCACTAAGATAAGTCTACACAAGACAGGAAAACTGATCTTAAGTTAGTTAGTAGGGTATTCCTTAAATTTTACTTTATCCTCTTATGAAGTGCTTATTGATGAGAATACTAAATGCACCGTCATGGCTCCTAGATTCAAACAGTTCACCACATAATTTGTTACTTTAGGACAGTAAGTTAGAGCTAGGGCTCCATCTCTTCCCCGTCTACCAAAAACATAAAATCAAGACATAGGTACTTTCTTCGATCCATAGGAGAATTTGCTAGTCACACAACTCATTGTCTGATTTCAAGGAATAACTTTAACACTTTTGGACCCTGTAATTTTAACCTGCCCTATTCTAACCACGCTGTTCCTTACCTGTTGTGTTCTTTAGCTTATTTGCATAGCACGCAGCTAAGTGAAATTGGAGGAAACGCACCTCAATCAAATCATCTGTGATTAACCCCCAGCTCTGTTGACTCGTAGTGGCAATTCAACTATATTCTGATTCTTCAAGTCTGAACACTCAGCATGGAGCACTTTAAAGCATTTTATGTGTTAATTCTGAAAACTAAGGTAGAGTAGGCCTATAAATAGACCTGACTCGTAACTGCAATGGAAATTGCTAAGTGACAAATTTGTAAATTAAGGACTGAGTGTAGTACTTGAGTATCATTGGATTAAAGTATTGAGTTGACCCGATATCCCATTTCATTTTATATGATGAGTTAAGTAGGGATTTGACATGTCATGCTCTTCACTAGCATGATATGGTACTATTATTTTTTATGGGTTATTGTTATTCTTATTTTGAATTCTAGATTGCTATTTCATATATGTGGTATATCCTGTGGTACAGTAATAGCTTGTTGTGTCTTGAACAGTAGGTTAGCATAACTTAGTTTAAATTATTTTACTGTTGACCAACAAATCTCGGTCTTTAGGGAGATTAACATTAACCGCACAAAGTTTTAATTTAAGTAGTATTCGTTAAATTAGTCCTACTTTGACCATGGAAGGTTACAATCTGAATCTAGTTTAAATTAATGTTGTTTACTTTTTACAGAGTATGCTTTCAAAGCCATAACGCAAGGAGGTTTGACGTCTGTTGCTTTTAAAGGAACTGACACTGCAGTTGTTGCTACTCAAAAGAAAGTTCCGGTAAGAATTATTTAATTATTGGTTTTATTATATCTTTTTTACAAAGGGGGTTCCACCCGCCAACTGATTACCACGTTACAAACATGGTCCTACCAAAAAGAAACTCGCGGCATTATTTAATTGTTTAAATAAACTACTATAATATTCACAAAAGATCCAAATTATGCACTGGATGAACTGAAACTTCGTACCGGTTTCTTTAAGTACTTTACACAATTTTTTTGAAAATCAGTAGGCCTAAATTAGTCTTTGTAAGTCACATGTGATTCTAACTTCTAAATAATAGTTAAAAATAAATTTTTCCCCATCCATTGCAAGCTCTGATAAAGAGCACAAAAAGCACACAATCATTGGAAACAAATTAGTTTTATAATGTTGAGAGATTTTAAAATAGAGGCATGTTCAATCCCGAACTATATTTCAATCCATAGCCTATAATCTGCCATCTTGAATTGAAATTCAGGCTGCCAGGTAGATCCCACTTAAATGCCAATGGCTTTAAACTAATCATTTTCAAAGGTAGCACATTTATACTCAGCTAGCTGAGGTCTATAAAAAAACTTTAAATTTCCTGGAACCTAACTATAGAAAATAAGCAGCTGACTTTGCCTGGCCTAATTACTATACTAGCATCTCAGTTTCCCCACCCGCAAACTGATGAGAACCTTTTCTGCAAAAGAGTGGGATATTGTGGGAGAGCCCATCACGTCGATTTAAGAAAACCTTTAATTTTATTTTATAATATTTTAGTTAGAAAATTAACTTTTTAACTATAAAATTAGTTTTAAAATATTTAATTATAAAATTAAACTGTCATAACCTAACCTAACCAACCAAACTTGCTGATCATATAAAAAAGATATAAAATAAAAGTCTAATGAAGGTTTACTTATGATTAATTTTTAATTTTAAAATTTGTTATTATAAAAAATAAAATTATAAATGCCTCAAATTCTAACAAAAGATGTACAGTTAAGAAGTATTCACAATCTAAGCAAAATCTTGGACAAAAAGTTAGTGTCGCCGGCGGGATTCGAACTGGGGACCTCCAGTTCACGAGTCCGAGACGCTATCAACTACGCCACGAACCCCAATGGAATCACTTCGTCTCGTTACGGTAATGGGGTAATGGTGTTCCCTAAAGAGCAGAGTGACGTCACGCCCCCCACTCCTTCTCTAAAGAGGTTCTCATCAGTCTGCGGGTGCGGAAACCGAGACGCTATATAATTACTATCATCCCTGTTTCAAACAATCAGTAAAATTCCTTTTCTGTGTTTTAAAAAACAGCAGACTTTAAAATGAATTTTAAACTCACTTTTCCTGCCCCAGCAATCCTGCAGTCTAAGCAAACTTCCATTTAGCTTACTTGGCTGAATTTCTATGAAAATATTCCCTTAAAATTTATCAGATTTATTTCCCATTCAAATGACATTAATTTTAATAAGTAGGCTACGTTGGTTTGCTGGCTACACAGGGAATAAATACTATTACTATACCAGCACGGTGCTGCGTGAACAATGACGAGCTGACTCAGAAACAGCTGTAGCCCATTCAAGGGCAAAGGGTTAATATTAAACTCTAAGAACGTTTTCTGTTAGATAAAGCCTTACACAATTTGATAAACTAACTATATAGTTTCAGCATTCAATCTTAAATGAATATTTATTACATTCTTGTATGACAGGACAAGTTGTTGGACCCTGCCACTGTTACTCACCTGTTCAAGCTGACCGATAGCATCGGCTGTGTGATGACAGGAATGCTGGGTAAGTTGTTTACCTCATCTGATAAAATGCCGGGTCCATTTTGTATGAAAGATAGATTTTTAAAAACATCTAAATTAGGCTAGGCTTAATTTATTTGGTTCTTATCAAAAACCTAACTATGTAGCTCATGGTGCAGATATGAGATATTTAGCCTATTTCCAAAAGTAAAAATACATGCTTTCATTAAATAACAATATTCTTAACGGAAATTATCACTTAAGACTAGGCTGTGTTTGGGGAAGATTATGTCAGCTAATTTAGTAATACGCACAATAAAATGTGAAATAAATATAGTCATTTTCCCATTTAAAAATATAAACAATAAGTTAATTAAAAAGTAATGCATGGCCATTAAATTTGTAAGTAACTTATTTATATTTAAACTACTGATGATATTAGTTGTTTTTCTTTAAATTTAATTAACTTAGTAACTTAAATAACTTTTTTTGTCAAACTGCAGAAAAAATACGTGCATTGCAGGACTGAAGTAGCTCTTGCATGTCAGAACAGCCAAAAGTAAATCACAACATCATGAATAGTAGCTGTTTATGCCTTTTAATCATTGTTTGCTTAAAACTCTATTGCTTGTTCCGGTGTGTAGCGGACAGCAAGTCTCAAGTTCAGAGGGCTCGCTACGAAGCTGCCAACTTCAGGTACAAGAACGGCTATGAAATGCCCATAGACATGTTGTGTCATCGAATGGCAGACATATCCCAGGTAAAACCAACAAAATTCTGTTGTTTGCAGGGATCTGAACTAAATCAGTCAGCTGTTTTTTTATTTTTTTATACTAGATTTGTCTCTTAAGCCCCTGTCACACGGAGCTGGTTTTCTCGCTGCTAGTAACTAGCAGCTAGAACCAGCAGAAAACCAGCATCGTGTGACTGATTCTCCAGCTGCTAGAAACACTCGCATGAGCTGGTATCTCCAGCCGCTGGAGGTTTTAAACAGTTTAATATTACAAGCGCTTGAAGATTCACTAGCAAGTCATGTGACCACCCAGCTGTAGTCTCTAGCACCATTCCAGCTCTATCTGACAGTATCGTCTTAGTTCTCGCATTAAGAAAAATGAATTTAAATTTATTGAACACATTTAAACTTATCAAGAATAAATTTAAACTTTCTTGTTAAGAAATCTTTTCACGCATTGTCATAATTTTCTCGTTGTTACGATTGCTACATCTCACATATATTAATAAAATGAATGTGATTTTTTGTGTTGATGAAAGATAAAGTCCTTTTGTTATACGCCTACCACAACTTATTTGATTTTAATTTAATTTACATATCCGTAGTAGATACAATATAATAGTGTTTTTATATATTAATATTTTATGTTTTCGTGGCACTTTTTACTTCTATGATGGCTGATCATTGACAAAACATCACTTCTAGGGATGGGTCGAAGTCGAATCTCGAATCTCGAATCCACCGAATTTTCGGAAAAAATTCGAATTCGAAATTCGATCGGCGAAATTCGACTTTCGAATTCAAATTTACGGCAAAATCGTAAAGATCGTTATCCGCCAAATGGCGTCGGCGGCAATGAAAACCACGCAATGATGTAGGCTAACCGATAAGACAAGAAATAGAACTTCGTAGGTTACAAAACAAACATTATTTGTTGACAAATATTAGTGGTTTTGAATTTATTACTGTACTTCAATAGTACAACACAAAACTATAAAATAAACGAAAACGTCGAAAACATTTTTTGTTTGTATTGTGACGTTGCAAACGGCAAGCAAGAGCTTCAAGAGAAGACAATAACAGTCAGCTGTCGTCAGTCGTCACTCGTCACGAAACCAAAACCAAACTGAAACCATTCAACTCTACAGTCTACAGAGAGAGAGAGAGAGAGAAGAACAGACTACCTAGTAGGACTAATGCCGCCGTCATCGTCGTCGTCTACTTCTTGTCTGTCAACTTTCAATCTGATCTAAACCTCTATCTCAGTCCAAGCACTCCCTCTCCCTCCCTCACGCATATCAATAAAGTATTTTGATTTTATCGTCCATTCAAATGCCACTGTTAGTTGTAAAATTTTAACTCACGGAAAACAACTATTTTTAGGCTATTACAACTCTAACCTATAACTATATTTAGTAGAAATTAGAAATTGAAAACATAATTATATCGTTAGCTGAATTACCGCCGTTTCGTTTTTGTACCCATTCATACGCCACTTTTAGTTGATGAAATTATAACTCATTGAAAACAACTATTCTCTAAATTAGAACCATAGATAAAACATACTCCAGATCTAACTGTATACTCAGTAGAAAACAAAATTAAATCTTTTGGCCAATTTCGATACCGCGATACCGGTGTTTCATTTTTATAGATTAAATAAGATTTACTGCAATACAACATGGCACAGCATAGCGCCAGAGAGGATACTTAAACCATAGATAAAACATACTCCCCGTTTGGTGGTTTGAACTTAACAACAAAAAATATCACATTATTTATCAGAAGTAAAATAAATCGTCATTATGATAACTGGAGAATAGTATCACGAAGGTTTTATTTTGAGATTCAGATATTGAGATTATAAGCTAAGGTACCCCAGCGGAACATCTCCTAATGACTTGGCAACACTGTGTGTGCACAATCTGGCAACATGGCGGCAAAAGGAAAAAAGTCAGCCGGCTGATGCAGAGGGTTTGTTTAACGGTTTAAGAGAGAGACAAACAACGTAGGGGTGATCATCGATAGGTCAACTATCGATATACCGATAGCATAGTCGCGAAAACATCGATGTTTTTCTCAGTTTTCCCGTCTGCTCTCTGTCCTGCAACAACTAATTAACCTACATCTAATACAATTCAGTCATGGAAGACATCGATTTTTCAATACTTGGCCAAAAAAATCGTTCGACTAAAAAGTCAATGTACTAAAAACATCGGTAATCAACCATCGAAGTAAAAAACATCGAACATCGATATAAAAATATCGATGTTTCGAAAACATCGATTATCGATCGTCATCTTGAAAGAAAAGTAAGTAAAACAAAACAAAAGCTTTAGCTAGCTTGCTTCACGCGTTTACGTTAACGTTTTCGGTACTGCTTGCTTAAAACTTCTACATTTTTACTGTATTAGTTGAGCTGAATTTTCTATTTTATTTTATTTAGTTTTGTGAGTAACTGTAACTTAGACTTGTATCAGTGTTTTGGTGAATCAGTGACTGTGCGTATGTAAAAATGAGTTCTGAAGTTTGGAAATACTTCACAATAGATAGTGCTAATCCAAACTATGCAAAATGCAATCTCTGCAACAAGTTACTTTCGCGAGGTGGGGCTAGCAAAACTACATCCAACCTGACGAACCATTTAAAGAAAATACATAAGTCATTTCCACATCAACCAAGTAAAGGTACTGGTAGGAATAATGGTAGGCCTAGATCAACCGCTGATATTGACTCCCCCTCCTCATCCTCATCCTCATCTATAACTTCTCCAGCCACAGCCACGAGTACAATAAGGAGTTTTTTTACCAAACCTAATCAAAAAACTAAGCCTAGTTCCACAGTAACTTCAAACCAATGTAGGCCTACAGAGTCCAACCAATTTGATGTAGAAAGTGGTGGAGATGTGATGCAGGTTGAGTTAAATAGTGATTTTGGACCACTAACCATTGAAACAACTATATCTGATTCTGAAGAAGGCCTAGCAGATCTAACCTCCCCAGCTTCAAATATAATATCACCTCAGTCCACCTCCTCCTGTCCTCTATCCACTCCTGAACCTAGAGAGAGACAATCTTCAACATCTCCACTCGTCCCTAGGACTATTAAACTTCAAGCGACTAGTCAGCCTACTATAGAAGCCTTATATGAAAGGAAATTGAAGTTTAAATCAAATGACCCCAGGGCTACTAAAATTGATTGCTTAATAGCAGAAATGATATGTATTGACCTTCAGCCTATGTCTATAGTTGAAGATAAAGGTTTTTTGAAGCTCTTAAATCATCTCGAGCCAAGGTACCAAGTGCCCTCTAGGAAAACATTTTCCAAAAAGATTATAGTCAAAATGTACAACCGTGTGATGGGCGAGTTGAAGGCAGATCTTTTAGAGGCAAAACACGTGGCCATCACTACCGACATGTGGACGTCTGTTGCCAACTGTGACTTTATGGCATTCACAGTTCATTTTTACAGCAACAGGAGTAAAAAAATGATTCATAAATGTCTGGAATGTGTTCCCTTCCCGGAAATAAGCCATACGGCAGTTAACCTAAGGAACTTCTTAACAAGAATTTTCAATGAATGGGGGATTCAAACGAAAGTAGTCGGAGTTGTTCGTGATAACGGACCAGACATTACAGCTGCACTGAATGGTAGTGATTACCAGGCGTACTCCTGTGTAGCGCATACACTGCAGTTGGTAATAAAAGATGGCTGTTTGGACAATCCAAGGATAAGCAATGTTATCAAAAAAGCAAGAAAAGTTGTTGGCAACTTCAAAAAGTCAGCCAAAAACACGAAGGTGCTAAAAACCATCCAGAAACAACTAGAGCTGCCCGAGCATAGACTAATTCAAGAGGAGCCAACGAGGTGGAATACGACATACTATATGCTCAAAAGACTCGTTGAGCAAAAAGATGCTCTAATTTTAATATCTGGACGGGCGGACATCAATCTCACAGTGGTACTAACTTCGGATGACTTTAAGACCATGAAAGCGGCTGTTGATATTCTTGAAATCTTCGAAACTGCAACCAGACAAGTCAGCAAGGAAGCTTCTACAATTTCTGAAGTAAGTTATCATTGGTTAGGCTTAGGAAATATTTAGTAATCAAGCTAAGCTAGAAAAATGTGGGAAAGATAAATAGGATTCTAAAAAAAAAAATAACTAGGCCTATTTTGAAATTATGTTTTATTGATTATAATTTCAGTTGTTATTTATTGTGCCTATTCATCAAATCCTTATCAGATTAAGGTAATGTAAAAACTAAACACATGCAACTTTGTAAAAGTTTGGCCAAACATACATTTGATTACATGAACCTAATAACAATTTTTAACAACAGCATAAACACCCTTTAGGCATACTCAGACAACTAACTTTAACAACATTTTTTGCACTAAACTAAATTGTTATAGGCTACTTACATTAGCCGGGCCACAACCTTTTTGGGTTTGGTTAGGCTAGGTTATGTTTGGTAAATGAGTGAATAAAGACCACACAACTAACTAACCTAGCCGCCGTAGTGTGCTTTGTAAGGTTGTGGTCCGTATAATAAGCAAGTACCTAAACTCAAATTGTTTTCCTTATAAAGTTCTAAGCCTATTTTTTTTTTTTCAGGTAATTCCTCTGATAAACACAATGGAGAATTTCCTGGTCAACATGGATGTTACGGGTTCTGGTCTGATGGGCGTTAAGAATGATATTGTCTCGTCCTTGAAAAGACGATATGCCGATATTGAAACAAATGTCAACTTGGCAGTGGCCACCATACTTGACCCAAGATTTAAAGCAGTTCCTTTCAAGAACAAAGAAGCTTTGGAAGAGGCTAAGATAAGAATATTGACAGAAATGAGGGATGCGGAAAGTCCAGGATCTTCTAACACATCCGTCGAGCAGGAAGAAACGTCTCACTCTCTGGATGAGTCAAAACAGCTCAACTTTTGGTCCCACTACGCTCAGGCTTTTGCCAATGTAAACCCAATTTCTTCGACAGTTCAGCGTACCTTGGAAAATGAACTTCAGCAGTATTTAGAAGAAGGCCTGATACACCTACAAGGAGAAGAGAAGAGCATATTCGAATATTGGGATATCAGCAGCTCTTTTAGATTAAAACAAGTTGCTATGAAATATTTATGTATACCGCCAGCAACAGTGTTCAGTGAGCGACTCTTCAGCACTGCAGGACTTGTCTGCGACAAGAAGAGGAACCGGCTTGATCCCGAACGGGTTAAGATGCTGGTTTTTTTTAATAAAAATCTTCGTTAGGAGGACTGAGTGAAAGTAGTTGTTTAAAGGAAACGTTATTTTAAGAATTATTTCTCTTATTTAAAATTTGCATTTAATTTGATCCAACTATCAAGATAAAGTAGCTATACTTAAAATAACTTATTGAATATTGATGTGTACATAGACCTACCATCCACCCCATTTACCATCGGAATCCTCACCGCAGTCCTTTTTTTCATCGTTCTTCTAACTTGCTTCTTCATTGTGTGTAGTGTTGTAGGGTGAATGTATGGTTTGTGTTTTAGCATTACTTTATGGGAAATGTATTTTCTTCCTGATATTCTGTATGTTGTAGTAATGTTGATTTATGAAATATTGTTTGAGCTGTTTTTTAAAGATAGGGAGCGTGTTTATATCTAAGTTTGTTAGGCAAGATGTTGTACAGTTTTAATCCTATGTAATTCATTATTTTTCTGGTTTTTGTTACTTTGTGTTGGTTTGGTTTATATTGTTGTATGTCTTAACCATAACTGATACCTAAGTAGTTGTATGTCTGTCTTATCTTGTTTTTTGAAGGTATAAATAAAATAGGCTTCTTTTTTTACAGTCTCTTGGTCTAGATTTTTATTTTCCCTTTAATTGATACTCATTTATCCATGTATGTAAGTACTGGTAACTGGTATTTTTTCATCGTAGATCAAGATCAGTCAGTGATTGGTCACTCTTATAGTGACAGTTAGGTTAGGTTTGGTTTGGTTAGAAGATTGATTAAACAATAGACTCTTCTTAACTGATCATTTTAAGTTGACTAACAAATAGCACATACACTAGGCTAATCTAACCTAAACGTCTAAATGAGCAGTGCTTCTATTATCACCTAAAATTAAAAGTTTATTCTCATTCGACTTTGTACAATTTTATATAGCATTGATAAAGTTCATACTGTTCATAGCCTATATTACATAGGTTACCAAATCTAAAGTAACAGATAAAGTAATAATGAGATGTACTGTATATATGTAGGCCTACAATGAAACTTATTATTTGTATTCATCTAATTTTTATTGTGGCTTTGGCTTATCATCACAAATTAATGCAACATTATTTAATGACTGAGAGAGGAAAAGCTAAAAAAATATGAATCGCCTTAAAAATTCAAAAAATTCGAGATTCGAGATTCGAAAAGACAAAATTTGAATTCGAATTCGAGATTCGAAAATTTCAAATTTTCCCATCACTAATCACTTCTAATACCAACATTATTTTTGTTACCTACGGAGTGTGTAGTTACATCCAATTACATCCCCAGACTTGTAAGTTGTAGCGCTAGTTTTCCAGCTCCGTCTGACAGGACTCCTAGCGCGCTGGAGAACTAGCAACTAAAGCGCTGGTTCTCGCAGCGAGAACTAGCTGCTGGAAACCACTGCAACATAGTGATTACCTTAAAGTTATTCGAAGCTTTTGAGAAGCCGTTTGTCATGATTGAAACATACTTTAAATAAGGATACTTGCTTCCATGATAAAAAATGGTTAAGTTATGATAGCGTGGTTAGGCTATTTACTCCAAAAATTACTAAATAAATCACTCTGTACAAACTATGATTTTAATTCCCAGTAAACGGGAATGATACACAACAATTGTCATAGCATTATTAAATTGCTTTTAAAGCCATAATTTACTTACTAATTTTATTGTACAAACTACGGTAAACAAATGATACTTAAAAAGTTAAAATGGCATTGTGTCAAATTAAATTTGTATTTATTTTTTCTAAATTTCCTCTATTGTAATCTGTTGATCCCTGCCATTATCATTGACTTTTGAAAAACGTGTAGCCTATGTTGGCTTATTAAAATAAACATTGACTCATAAAAAGATCTTTAAGCTGTTGTAAGTTGGATAGTCAGATAGGTTGAATGAAACATTTTCATATATTTGTTTTTCTCTATCCGCAGGTGTACACGCAGAATGCTGAGATGAGACCCCTTGGTTGCAGTATGATGCTGATTGGAATCGACAAGGAGAAAGGGCCACAGGTATGTGTACAGTGTATAGGCTATTAGGCTAATATCTTGGTTACGAATCATTTTGTAATCCTTTAAAAAAATGCTCTTCTTCCAACATTTAAGATCTTTCTTCAAATTCTTGTACAGTGATGGTACTTTATTACATTGATTTGTAGTTCAAGAATTCTGAATTACTATGCTTAATGTCAGGGACGGCCTGAGGGGTGTGCGACGTATACAGCCTGTTACAGTTTAATTTCATAGTTAAAATCAATTTTTTTCAGGGGAGGGCCCCCCAGCCCCCCCTTTAATCTGAGGGGTATGGAATACCCCTGATGGGGCATGATATGTGAGTCTTGCACACTTGCAATTTTTTCTTTGGCCAGCCCTGCTTACTGTAATAACCTGAGGTGAAGAGTAACCAGGCCTACCTGTATAAGTCATTAAATTATGTACTTACATACAGGGTGAGTTTTAAATGAGTTCCCCCCTACTTTTTTCTACATTTCTTAAGATATCAACTTTGGACCACGTCAGATCATTGTAGTGTAGTAAGTACTTCGTTTTGACTGGGTATACATTTTTGGCCTCCATCTTGGATCCGCCATATTGGATACAACATTTTTTTTCAAATGTGAAGGTAGGGTTGTGACCCATTGTTTCAAACTAGAATTTTACGCTGATTACAATGCCGCAATTAGTTTTTAAAAATCTTGATCCGTTCTAAAGTTATGAGGACTTTTTATAACTTTATTTTTAGCCCATTTTAACATTGTGCATTTACAAATTAAGACCATAATCTCAAAATAGGGCTAGATAGAGATAAGTATACACCACCATTCATTGTCGACCTATTATCACTTGGTTATGACGGATTTATTTTTTTCGGCCGCCATCTTGGATCTGCCATTTTGAAATGTGATAAATTAATTTAAATATGAAGGTGGTGTTGTGACCCATCATTATGAACTACTTTTTTATGCTGAACTCAATGCCGCAATCCGTTTTTGTTTCTCAGGCTTTCTTGATGAGATATTAAAATTATCTTACTTGAATTTCCAATATTTCAAAAAAACAAATATGAAAATGCAAAACGGATTGCGGCATTAAATTCAGCAAAAAAAAGTAGTCTAAAATGATGGGTCACAACACTACCTTCATATTTAAATTAATTTATCACATTTCAAAATGGCAGATCCAAGATGGCGGCCGAAAAAAATAAATCCGTCATAACCAAGTGATAATAGGTCGACAATAAATGGTGGCGTATACTTATCTCTATCTAGCACTATTTTGGGATTATGGTCTTAATTTGTAAATGCACAATGTTAAAATGGGCTAAAATAAAGTTATTGAGCGGAGCGAGCGAAGCTCTTATACGTCGACTTTTATGCATTTCGTAATACGCAAACTCCTCCTAGACGGCTGAATCAATCGTTTTAAAATTTTGCATGGTGATAAAGACCATACCGGTGAGTGCCAACATCTATATGGCGTTAAAAAAGTCTTTCAGGAATCCGCCCCACTGGGTCTCAAAGTTTCAATGTAATCCTTATGGAAGCAGTATTTGACACATAAACAAAGACATATGATCAGCTGTTGACTTTTGAATGCAGGGAGATAAATAAAAAGCTGATAGCATTATTCCACAGACATTAGAACATAAACGGTGGGATGGATCATAAATATAATAAAATAACAACAGTAGCTTGAGGTCCGTGACGTAGGAAGTGGTGAAGGAAGTAGTCAAGACGAGCTGTCCGGAGTGTGAGAACTGTTTATGACAATTAGATTAAGGCATCTGCAATCATAAAATGCTATTGGAAGGGAAGGAAATAGGTCCGTGACGTACAGTTTATGACGATTAGATTATGGTATCTGCATTCCTAAAATTCTATGGACAGGGAGGAAAACGGGTCCGCGACGTAGGAAGTGGTGAAGGAAGTAGTCAAGGTGAGCTGTCCGGAGTGTGGAAACTATTTATAACGATTAGATTTAGGTATATTCATTCCTAAAATTCTATAGGAAGGGAGGAAAACGGGTCCGTGACGTAGGAAGTGGTGAAGAAAGCAGTCAAGGTGAGCTGTCCGGAGTGTGGAAACTGTTTATGACGATTAGATTTAGGTATATTCATTCCTAAAATTCTATAGGAAGGGAGGAAAACGGGTCCGTGACGTAGGAAGTGGTGAAGAAAGTAGTCAAGGCGAGCTGTCCGTAGTGTGGGAACTGTTTATGACTATTAGATTAAGGTATCTGCAATCCTAAAATGCTATTGGAAGGGAAGGAAACAAGTCCACGACGTAGAAAGTGGTGAAGGAAGTAGTAAAGGCGAGATGTTCGGGGTATGGGATCTGTTTATAAACCGTAAGATTAAGGTATTTGCAATCCTAAAATGCTATTGGAAGGGAGGAAAACAGGTCCGCGACGTAGGAGGTGGTAGGGAAATAGTCAAGGCAAGCTGTCCGGAGTGTGGAAACTGTTTATGACTATTAGATTATGGTATCTACAATCCTAAAATGCTATGGAAAGGGAGGAAAACAGGTCCGCGATGTGCGAAGTGGGGAAGGAAGTAGTAAATGCGAGATGTTCGGAGTATGGGATCTGTTTATGACCATTAGATTAAGGTATTTGCAATCCTAAAATGCTATGGGAAGGGAGGTAAACAGGTCCGTGACGTAGGAAGTAAAGAAGGAAGCAGTAAAGGCGAGTTTTTCGGAGTGTGGGAACTGTTTATGATGATTAGGTTAAGGTATCTGCAATCCTAACATGCTGTAGAAAGGGAGGGAAACAAGTCCGTGACGTAGGAAGTGGTGAAGGAAGTAGTAAAGGCGAGTTGTCCGGAGTGTGGGAACTATTTATGACGATTAGATTAAGGTATCTTGGTATCTACAATCTTAAAATTCTATGGGAAGAGAGGGAAACAGGTCTGCGACGTAAGATGAGGTGAAGGAAGTAGTAAGGTGAGCAGTGTGGAGTTTGGGAACAGGAAACAGTTTGTAGCAGTTAGTAACAATGTATCTGCAATGCTGAAATGCTATGAGAAGGGATGGAAGCATGCCCACGACATAGAGAATGGTGAAAGAAGTAGTAAAGGCTAGCAGTGCGGAGTGTGGGCAATGTTTGTGACAATTAGATTAACGTATCTAAAATGCTAAAATGCTATGGAAAGTGATGAAAACAGGTCCACGATGTAAGAAGTGGCTTAGGAAGTAATGAAGTATGGACATATTGTGAGAACCGTCTGTGGCAATTAGATTAATGTATCTTCAATCTTAAAATGCTATGAGAAGGGAAGGAAACAGGCCCCACGACGTAGGAAGTGGTGAAGGAAGTAGTAACGGCTGGCAGTGCAGAGTGAGGGAACCGTTTGGGCAGTTAGATAAATGTATCTAATACTTAAATGCTATGGGAAGGGAAGGAAACAGGTCTATGACGTAGGAGATGGTGAAGGAAGTAGTAAGGCTTGCAGTGCAGAGTGTTGGAACTGTCTTTGGCAATTACAATGTATCTGCAATCCTAAAATGCTATGGGAAGAGAGGGAAACAGGTCTCCGACATAGGGGTGGTGAAGGAAGTAGTAAAGGTGGGCAGTGTTGAGTGTGGGAATGGATTAATGTATCGGCAATGCTAAAATGCTACGGGAAGAGACTGGTTAAAATGATTATGAAGCACGAATCGTTACATTTTTCGATACATATTCAATCGTTTACAATATAAATTTACAACTGAGTTGACAACAGCTGAGTTTTACTCCATAGAGGTTAAAAATTAATTTTATTTCCCTAAGAGTAAAAATGCTACTTTAGACCCGGAACGCATGCATCAATGACGACTGTTTTTACTGCAGTATGACAAAAACAATATAATATAACCCTTGATGACTCCGCTCAATTTTGTGGATGCATCTGCGAACGCCACCTAGTAAAAAGACCTCATAACTTTAGAACGGATCAAGATTTTTAAAAGCTAATTGCGGCATTGTAATCAGCGTAAAATTCTAGCTTGAAACAATGGGTCACAACCCTACCTTTACATTTGAAAAAAAAATTTTGTATCCAATATGGCGGATCCAAGATGGCGGCCAAAAATGTTTACCCAGTCAAAATGAAGTACTTACTACACTACAATGATCTAACGTGGTCCGAAGTTGATATCTTAAGAAATGTAGAAAAAAGTATGGGGGGAACTCATTTAAAATTCACCCTGTATATCTGGCAAACCTTTTCTGACCAGGTTCAACAGAACTTTTAATCCTAACTAATCCATGACATTCACAAATTCTTGGTTCATTGTGGGGATGTTTTTTATTAATTAGTTGATGCTGTAGTTTCTTGGTAACAGTAGTTAGAGAAAAATCTAATCTATACCTAAATTCTGTACTATATCAATGTTGATTTGTTTGTGGTAGGTATACAAGACGGACCCAGCCGGATACTTCTGCTCATACCGGGCCATCAGTGTTGGCGCCAAGCAGACCGAGGCTAACAGCTACTTGGAAAAGAAGCTCAAGAAGAAACAGGAGTACACCGAGGATGAGGCCATTCAGGTATTTAAATATGTGGAGTTAGGCACAGTTAGACAAAGTATCATCAATGACTTAGAAGAAGATATTCTATATGTAAACCGACTGTAGCCAATTATTTGTTATTTAAAAAGAACATAGATGAATGTGCCAATCGCAAAGTGTGCTACAATCTAAAATTGTATTTTGTCCCTTAGTTTTATTTACTGTGACTGTTGGTGTGGCATACAAGGTGCTATATGATAAGTTGTCATTTCAGGTTAAAAAGTTGGTGTAGGCCTACTTGTCTTGAATCAGTAATTTACATGGGCACACTTAGTCGGTACTATCATCTCGTAAATCATCTATAGTATTGATGTGATTGTAGTTGTCGTTTGTCACAGATCTGTCAGAGGCTTATTGTGATACGATACGAACAAAATGATAGCATTCTATTATAAATTTAAACTGTCATAACCTAACCTAACTAACCAAACTTGCTGATAATGACAAAATCGAATGAAGGTTTACTAATTGAAAAAAAGTTTCAGTAGCAAACTCCTTTTCATTCTCAAGTACAACGCATGTTTCGAAACTGCCATTTGCACTCCAGTATAATGAAAATGTTAATATAACTTAGATAATTAAAATGAAAAAAAGTTGCTTATAAAAAAAAAATATATAAATGCCTCAAATTCTAACAAAATGTGTACAGTTAAGAAGTAATCGCATTCTAAGCAAAATCTTTGACAAAAAGTTAATGTCACCAGTAGGATTCAATCTGGTTACCTCTTGAACATCAGCCGAGTACTCTATCCACTTCACCACGAACCCCGATAGCAGTACCACATATCATTGCGCGTTCATTATATTAATTGGACCATTAATCGATTGAATCGAACCCATTTGGTCCGAAATAATATCGATACTTAGTATTTCAAAATATTAAACCGATTGTACACGGCCTTTTTGTTCGGAAATTTGCTCACCTTTAACATGACCAAAACTGTAAACAAAACAACTCATTAGCTGTTATATGCCACAAAACTTCAATAACTTTTTATCCTATTTTGGATCACACATATATAAATATTTATGCGAAATTATGCTTAAATATTACACCTATTACAAAACACTAAACTAAACGCACATTACACAGTAAAATTACGGATAAAAGTTACACTTCGTCTTGTTATCTGACAAAAACTCATGACAATGCCGCCATTTTAGGTTAGACGATGTTTGCTCTTTGAAAATGCCTTATAAATGCTTTCACTGCTACCATTTAATTTAGAAACTAAATTGAACTGTATTACTTAATTTGATAATATTATTATTTTGTTAACTTAAGACTGTGAACACTTATTTAGGATACAAAATCAATTATGTATTTTTTGTTTTGTTTTAGTTGGCAATCTCCTGCTTGTCCTTTGTCTTATCTGTAGACTTCAAGCCTTCCGAGATAGAGGTTGGAGTCGTCACCAAGAACAATCCTAAGTTCAGGTAGGTTGCAATTTGCAAGTAACGGCTTAAAACTGTATAATCTTTTGACAAAACAAGTTACTTTTTTACATAATCATCATTTCTCTTTGTTCCTGCAAGACGTGAATGTTCATGTGTATTTGATTGAAAATTAGTAGGTTCCACCTAATTTCTTGGTTAAGTACTTCCTAGTTGGATCAGTGTGATTTTCTGGGTTCTATAGTCAAGGGATATATTTCTCATTAATCATCTTTTGTGCAGTTACTCTTGATTTAATCTAATTAAAAATATCAATTTTCGGCACTTATTACTTGGGTGAATGTAATGAAATAAATGTTTTTTTAATAACATCATCCAACTTTAACTAAACCTTTTTGGGGTGTGTTGCTAGCCTAGTGGTTAGCGTCTCACACTTCGGTGTGAGAGGGACGGATTCAATTCCTGGCATATCCACAAAACTTTAATGGGTTTGGACCGCTTTCCCTTAAAAGCATTTAAACTAAAATTCAAATAAAATCAAATCTTTATTTCATATTGTACATTAAAGTACATGGAATGGCGTCAAATACTAAATCTAAAACTTAACGTAAAGAAATCAAGTCTAATAGAAATAAAAAACACTAATTTAACATGTATTCTTCTAAAGAGTATAGAGGTAGTGACAACAAGTGGTACTTCAAATGTTTTTTAAATTTGAAAAAATTATTTTCTTTCTTAATGTGATCAGGAAGTTTATTATAGAATTTACCTCCAGCATAGGTAGTTTTCTTTTCATATAGACTTAGTCTATGGGCAGGTGCTGCAATAGTACCCCTATTTCTTGTATTGTAGGAGTGGCATACACCTAATAGAGGTAAGTCTGCAAAATTTTGTCTACAATATAAAATTACTTCATATATATACATGTTGTATACAGTCATAATTCCAATTTTTTTTAATTCCTCTTTGACGGTCTCTCTCCATTTAATATCCAATATGATTCTCAATGCTCGTTTTTGTAAAATTAAAAGCCTATCCAAATTTCTTTTACTTGTAGCTCCGTAGATGCAGATACCAACATTTATATTTGAATGAATATAAGCAAAATATATCATTTTTAGTGTTTTAAGATCACAAAGATTAGATAATTTATACAAAGCATACAAACCAGATGTGACTTTTTTAGCTACCGTATCTGTTCAATATGTAAATCCCAACTTAAATTGTTACTCATTATCAAACCTAAAAATTTGGTGTTAGTTATTGGAGATATTTTATTTTTATTTATAGTAATTGAGATGGGATTTAATTTATTATTTTTGTTGTTGGTGGCGCTGATTGGCATTAAATTTGTTTTTGAAATATTGAGCAATAGTTGATGATCACTAAAGAAGTTATTTATATCACTTAGATTATTGCTAATAGATTGTTCTATTTCTATGGCAGATTTGCCACTTATTTTCAAATTGGCATCAACTGCATAGATGCAAATTTTGTTTCCCTTATTACCAGAAATGACTTGAGGTAATCCATTTATATATATTAAAAATAAAAGTGGTCCCAAAATTGAGCCTTGGGGCACCCCATGGTGAATTAGTTTCATCTCTGATTTTTGTATAACTAAATTATTTTGATTATTGTAAACTAGCTCAACATATTGTTTTCTGTTTGTTAAATAACTTTTTAGCCAGGATAACATAGGTTCTTTAATTTTTAGTTTTGCCAATTTATTAATAAGTAAAGAATGTGAGACACTGTCAAAAGCCTTAGTTACATTCAAGAAAACTCCTACAACCTTTTCTCCCTCATCAATTGAATTTATTACAGATTCTATGAACTCAACCGCCGCAGTTACAGCAGACCGCCCTTTTCTGAAACCATGCTGCTCTTTGTCAATTATATTATTTTTTTCCAAAAAAGTTATTAATCTATTATACATTGCTTTTTCATAAATCGTAGAGATTACTGGTAGCAGCGACAATGGTCTATAATTTGACATAATTGATTCATCTCCTTTCTTGAAAAGAGGCTTAATTTTGGAAATTTTGAGTTTATCTGGAAAAATACCACTAATGAAAGAGGAATTTATTAAATGTACTAAAGGTTTTATTAAATATTTCTTAACATATTTAACTAAGGGCATTGGGATTTCATCATAGCCGGATGAATGCTTATTGTTTAAAGAACTTATTATTTTGTCTATTTCTTTGTCGCTGACAGGTTCACATTTAAAGTATGTCAAGTCTGGGGAAAAGTCGGTTTTAGCATTATTTAAGTTGGCAGTTTCATTTAATTTAGGTATCACATCACGATCTACAATGTTAATGAAATAATCATTGAACAAATTGCAAATTTTGTTAGGACTAGAGTAAACTTTGTTATCTACTTTAATACTAGATATATTATCATCTACTTTACGCGTGTTTCCCACTTGCTTATTAATTATATTCCACGTTGTTTTTACTACATTAGACGAGTTATTGATTTTGTTTCGGTTTTTAGCATTGTTAATTTTCTTTCTAAGGGTTTTATTTTTTAGTTTAGCATCATTTACAGTATTTGTATTTTTAAGCAGTCTGCCCTTGGTATGAAGCTGGATGATTTGATCTTTTTTGTTTTTTAAAGTGTCATTATACCAGCGACACTTGTTGTCAATCCTTTCTCTAATTTTGACCACTGGAAAACATTCGTTAAAATATAAAATTATTATATTTATAAATACATCATATTTTTGTTCTACCGGAGATTGAAACACTTCCAGCCAGGTTTCATTTTTTAGTCTATCTAAAAACAAATTCTTATTACTTTCACAAAACTCTACCATATTTAGTTATAAGCTTACTCCTAAATGTATTTTTTGATTTCTTATAAAAAATCTCTAACAATTGACCATCATGATCTGATAACATAGCATTAATACCAGTAACTCTTGTGATGTTTTTATCAAAATTTATGAGTATGTTGTCTATGGCTGTACATGATGTTTCTGTTATTCTAGTTGGAAAATGTACTAGATATTGCACATTACAAGCTTTTATTGTGTCACATAGCTGCTCATAGTCGTTATCATGTTCCAATACATTTATATTTATGTCACCAGCTAGCTATAACTACTCTCTTATATTTTTTACATACAATCTTTAAAGCTGCATCAAGTTTGTTACAAAAATTGTTTACATTGGTGCATGGAGATCTATAAATTCCAATTAGGAGAAATCTAAAAGAGTCAAACAAAAATTATGCTGATGAAAATTCAAACTCCTTTTCATAAATTAAATCATTTAGTCCCTGTAATCTAATTACTCTATGTTTTATAAATCTTTTAGAGAGAATAACAATACCTCCTCCACTATATTTTTCTCTGGCATAAGCTGAGACAACGTGGTAATTCTCTAAATTTAATCTCATTATCTCATCAGTTTTCATCTTGTGTTCACACAGTACAATTATGTCAGGATTTAATTCGGATGCTGTGATTTCTAATGCTTCTAACCTAGATGGCAAATGTAAAATATTTTGGGAAAAGCTTTTTATATAATTTTGACTACCAGGTATGCTGTGATTATGTGCTATGTTTTTTGTGTTGTTGTCTCTTTAAATATTAAAAAATAATTGTTAGATTCAAATTTACTATGAACAGGAGTGCTAATTTGTTTGCTTAAATCTAAGTTTATGCTAGGATGTACATTGTTTGGAATTTTTTCAACAGGACTATTTCTTAAAGTAAGGCACTGAACATTTTTAGGATCACCATTGCTCTGCTTTTCACTTAACTTCACCACCTCACTATACTGTAGCTGGCCAGGAACCACAGGAGGGTCGTTTTGCAGGGTTGAGTGTAGGGTTGCCTGAGTTACAGTTGCTGTTGAATGAGCGCTGATGGGTTGAACTGCCGAAGGGGTGACTATAGATGGTGAAAGTACTATGGACAGGTTGTGATGTAGAAGTGGTGTTTGGCCTGTCATCTTCCAGCTGTCCATTGCCATCAGTGTCTGGGATGGTAGGAGTTGGAGATGTGAGGGTTTTGTAGTGATTTCCGATAGATGTATATAGACTATTCAAAAAATCACAGTAGTTTAGTCCATTTCTCAGGTGGTTTCTAGATTGTTCCTCAAATACAGTTATTTCAATAGGCGCTCCTGCCGTTTTATGAAACTGAACTATATTTTTTGCAAAAGCATCAACTGGTATTCTGTCTCTTGAGCATCCCATTGGAGAACAATTAACTTCTACTCAATTCAAAATGCCACTTGCAAATAAAAAAAACATAGGCCTAAAAAAAATTCATTACATTTTGGTGCTTTTAGTTGTCTCTGTATGTTAAGTATAGGTGTTTTCCTCTTTAACTAACTATACATATAATAATGTGACAGCTTAGTGGTGAGTATAAAGAACGGTCTAGTGAATATCTTACCGAACCAACAAGATAATACTTAACACCTTTTTTAGAAATATTTAGATAAAACCTCTCCACCATTATGATGGCATTATAAAGATTCTGTGTAATTGTTACATACCTTGAATTGGGTGTTGTTTACAAAATGGGTGTGTCCCAAAATTGGGAACATGTTTACTCTTCACCCAATCTTGAAACCTCCTACAACAAATTTCATAATATTCTTCAAACAGCACTGGATTATACATGCCCATTAAAGAAAACTAAAATTATTAAAAACAAAAAACATATGAAGTACTACGATCCTGAAGCAAAATACCTTAAAGAGAACTTTTTGAAAGCTCTGCAAAAGTTTGAGTTAACGAACAGAAATGAAGACAAATTAGAAATGATTAATAGAAAAAGGATATACGACATGAAACTAAGAAACCTAAAAATGTCCTCAACAGCTAGCTTCATAGAACAAGCTGACAACAAACCAAAAGCACTATGGCAAGTTATAAACAAGGAAAGGAAAGGAAAATGTGAAGAGAAAACCCTTGCAGAATTAGAAATAAATGGCAAACTCACAAACAACACAAAAGAAATGGCCGAACACTTCAACACATTCTTCTCAAATATAGCAGAAAATACCCTTGACCAAAACAGAGCAATCGTTATAGACCCTGAAACAGTGCTGAGTGGAGAGGAACCAGTCTGCCCAATACACCTTACCCTAACTTCAACATCCTATAAAGAAGTTAAAACGATAATAAACTCCCTAAAAGCCAAAACATCAAGTGGAATAGATGAGTTTTCCTCTAAGATGATAAAGCACTGCTCTCAAGAACTCATCTCTCCTCTGGTTTATCTTATAAATAAATCATTTAAAGAAGGCAAATTCCCATCCGCCATAAAAGTCAGTAAAATATACCCCAAACATAAAAAAGGACCAACTGAAAATGCTCAAAACTACAGGCCCATTTCTCTCATCTCCAGTTTCTCTAAAATCATAGAAAAAATTGCTCTGGCTAGATTAATGGCACATCTTAATCATAACAAACTCTTAACTGACAACCAACATGGCTTTCGGAAGAATAAATCTACATCCTCAGCTATAACAGCACTAATTGAGTACGTCCTAGACCAGATAGAAAACGAACAATACATTTCCGCCATCTTCCTTGATTACAGTAAGGCTTTTGACTGCCTGGGCCACGACCTGATATGCAAGAAACTTGAAAGACTCGGTATAAGAAACTCTGCGCTAGAATGGTTCAAAAGCTACCTAACGGGACGTTCACAAGTCGTGGAACTGAAAAACTCATCAAATGAAGTCACAGAAAGTTTCAAATCTTCAAAAAGCAAGCTGACGAGAGGAGTTCCACAAGGCTCTGTATTAGGCCCGATTCTATTCATCTTATTGACTAATGACTTCCCCAAACAAATTGAGAGTGAAAATGCTGTTGCAATCATGTATGCAGATGACACAACCATTTTGATCAAGGACAACACAGCCCAAAGCCTTTACCTTAATTCAAAATCGATCTTAAATAAAGCTATCCTCTACTCAAAGAACAATGACTTAGCAATAAACCCCACAAAAACTACAACTCTGAATTTCAGTAAGAAAAAAGACATAGTCCCTCAATTAGAGGATGTAACAATAGAAAACTACACAAAATTTCTCGGTGTTATCCTTGATAACAAACTAACATGGAAAGAGCACATCAACCACCTAAGCAAAAAAATCAGTACTGGAATATATGTCGTCAGAAGGATAAACTACATAGGCGGACTCTCTGTGGCCAAAACAGCTTACTTCGCACTGGTAGAGTCGCATCTTAGATATGGCTTGACAGTGTGGGGAGGAACTTCAACAAAAAATATGAATCGAATTCTTGTCCTTCAAAAGAAAGCCATAAGAGCCCTCGCCAACCTTGTACCACCACAGACTTGCAGACTAGCATTCGTAAACCTAGGAATCCTCACAGTGGTGTCTCTCTACATACTTGAAACCATTAAGTATGTGAATGAAATAAACCCCCCAAGAAACCAAGACCTGCACCACTACAACACCCGTCATGGCTCCAAATTTGCACTACCAGTTCACCGAACAACTCTTTGGGAGAAAAAACCTTCCTACACCGGCTGCAAGCTGAGGAACCATCTACCTGACTACCTGAGAGACCTGACTGGCAACAAGCTACACCAGGAGCTGAAGAAGTGGCTAATCGCAAGACCCTTCTACTCAATAAAGGAATTTTATGAAAATTAACATGTACAATTCACTATTGTATTGACACTATTGTAATTCTTGACGAATTAACAATAAAGAATATTGTATTGTATTGTATTGTATTGTATTGTATTGTATTGTATTGTTTTAGCTTTTTTTTGTTGCCATTATTGTACTTATTGTTGGAGTTGTTGGAGTTATTGTCAAACAGTGTATTTTAAACTTATTTCTCAGAGCTATAATCTATCTCAACTTAAATTTCTCTCTTTTTTGTTTCAGGATTCTCAATGAAAGCGAACTTGATCGGCATCTGACTACTATTGCAGAGAAGGACTAATTTCCGTTATGTATTTTTATGTATTTTGGTACTTTGATGAATAATAAGGCAATTAATAAATTAAACTTTTCACCTCTCTTAACACCAATTCTGTTAATTAAATATTCATTTTATCTGGAACTTGTTGGATTTGACTCTATACCAGGTTTCAAGATCATAGATTGTTAGTGACTTATAAACCATCATCTTTGTTAACAACTTCAAACCATATCGTATTTCCAATGCGCCACCGGAATTTTGGGGGAGAGGTGGTTTGGGATATTTTTCTTCTAGGTGTAATAATGAATGTATAATTTTGTATAAGCAGCCTGAAAAAGTGTTTCTAATTAGTCCACTCACCAAAAATATTTTGCTATTCGTAATTAAGATGACTTCTAAAAATGGTAAAAACAAACCTTGTCAGACAATCCTTAACATGTACGGTAGTGTCGAATTTTACTTGCTACATATGTTTTGGCGGCTCTTAAACTCCACCATTGTCAGGCTTACAAAATGATCGACTTCTGAAGGTGTCGTCAGAATATGTTACGAACATTTAACACAAAGCACGAAACGATTACAGATAGGCATATCAATTCACCCATGGACAGGACTGGAAGTAAACTGAATCAGGTTATGACGGACCAACGTGATCTCTGTATTGTCGTCTGCGCTATCAACAGCTTATTGGACTATTGTAGTGACTGAGAAGAGTGTTGATAATATAATGGGATTCATAAATTATTAGAGTTTTTTAATTCAAAATTTGTATTCTGACCATAGTTTTTATGTCTTTATATATTTCAAACCCTTCCAAAGTATTTAATAAATGTACTTTCCCGCAGAAATCTAGAATGTCGAGCGAGACCATCATTTATATTCAGCATATCATGGTTATTATTATTGTCAATAATAATAAAAATGACAACAAGAACAGCAACAAAAATGTTTCTTGAATTCACAAATTTTCAAAATAAACTTTTAATGAATAAATAGTTATTCGGCCTACGACAAAATGCCATTAAATGAAAAGTCACATTCTATGTATTTTTAAGATATAAGGAAAACGGTGGCTATGACCAGTTCATGAGATTTTCAGGTTTCTCCAACATTACTAAGTGAATTTCTTATCGACCTCTTCCAAATGTATACCCCCAAGGGCCAAGACATGAAATGTGAACAAAGTACAAAACAAATGGACGCCTCAGGTAAGTTTATCTCTGAACATCTCCAAATAATATAAAGCCAACCAGTAGATGGAGGCTAGCCAGGGATCCTGTCAGCAACTGGACCAACAGAAACACTTTCTCTATAGGGAAGAATACCCATGTAGCACAGATGGTTGGGCCAACGTTGGCCAACTGTGGGACAGTTGGTCGATGGTTGGTTGGAGCTTCCACAACCAACCAACCGTTGTCCAACTGTATATCTCGTAGTTGGGCCAACCAATATTTACAACTGTGGACCAACATTGGTTCATTGTTAATGAAATACATTAATATGCATTGCTGGGTATCATACATCAATCCAACCGTTGTCCAACCGTTTTTCACTCCGTTGGACCAACAAAAGATACTTTTGTTGGACCAACGATGGTCCATAGTTGAGTTTACACGACTTTCATTCTCTGGGTCTAGCTTTCACAACATAATTATAATAAAATATCTGGTTTTACAATACCTTTATCAGTTCCAAAAGTTTTTGGAACTGATAAAGGTATTGTAAAACCAGATATTTTATATATTACAGTTCCGGGGCTACAACAATGAATTTTAATAATTATAATAATGCAAATATTTTTTAAATTAAATTCTTTAACTTATTTGCAACAATTTAAGGGGAAAGAGTAATTAATCATATAACAGGCAATTATAATAGCATTAATAATCTAACGGTAATTAATTAATCTATATTCAAATACCAGTATCCTCTCTAACTAAAAAAAAAATAACTACTTATAATGCCTTAACAGATTAACAGAATCATATTATACTGTGTAGTATCAAAAATGTTTGAAGTATTGCGACCATTGCAACTGTCGGCTACTCTTTCACCACTTGAAAACTCTCTATATCAACAATCACAGATAGCTCAGTGGTAAAGTAAGAGGCTCATAAGTCGAAGGACCCGGGTTCGAGACCCGTCTGGGCCAAAAAATTTTGTTCTAGCTTTTTTTCAAAATTTGTTTTTATGAACTATTTAATCAATGTACTCAACTAATAATTATGCTTTTCGTGCTAAATCTTTATTATTTTGTGTGAAATAAAATGGTTGGACAATGGTTGGCTGGAAAACAGTTTAAAGAGGTGACATTTCTACCGTTGGCCAACTGTGTGGCTCCACAATTTACCAACGTTGGCCCAACCATCTGTGCTACATGGGTATACAATATTATCATAGATGAATTCTATACTAATACCTTAGAAGGCTTGAAAAGTATACCAAAACAGAAATTACTTTTTCATGTTGATGTCTCCATAGTTCAAAGACACAATTTGTTCAGATTTGTGTATATATATACTGTATGTATACACACACATATTTTAACACGTTATGAATTACTAAAGAATGTTCAATAGAGAACAAAACCTATTTTCAAGCTACTCAAACGTCCTAAAACAAACAAGCAACCCACTACGATTAAGCTAGGGCTGAGCAAAATGCTTCATCATTAAAATTTATTTAAAACTAGCTGGCCCGACAGACTTCGTCCTGTCCTAATGTGGTTTTATGGCAATGCTCGTTCATTTTCTAGATGAGCTCGTTCGCATGGCTCAATCACGTCCTGGTTGAAGTTCGTTCGCTACGCTCACTCACCTTTAGGTTGGAGCTCGTTCGCTACGCTAACTCGCCTCCAGGTTGAAGTTCGTTCGCTACGCTCACTCACCTTTTGGCTGCAAATTAGCTGTTGTCATAAATGAAGAAACATATAGTGCTGCACCCTGTTGGTAAACCTATTACATTTTTAATGCTATTGAACATCACAGAATCAAATTGTTTAGTTGAACCAGCTGTTAAGATTCTTTAATTCCATTTAAATATGAGTACTCATAAGGTTAACATGGGAAACTCTAGAGCCACTGGGGCGGAGCCCTCTTGACGGATCTGCACCAAACTTCACACAAACCATCCTTGAATAATGCTTGAAAGTTTCATTACAATCTGTCGAGCGGTTTCGGAGTCTATAAAGGACTAACAAACATACATACAAACAAACATACATTGGATTTTATATATATAGATTAGATAACTTTAGTCCTAAAAATAAAAAATACCTGTCAATATTTTAATTGCTCGAATAAGACTATGTCCTGTCATGACCATGGATTCATTTCATTTAAAACTAATTTGCAAATTTTATGTATCATTGCATTGTCTTAGCCACACCATTTCAACAGAGAAAAATAAACATTTAACCATGGAAACCGAAAATTCTGTTTCTCAATATAACTTTCGCACTGTAATCACGTAACTTACTTTGAGGCAGTATGTTGAGGAACCCGTTTGCTGTAAACGTAAGGGAAGGGTTGCCTTTACCCGATGAGGTTGCTCTGGAAGCGCTTGACTGTTGTGACGTTCTTGACCCCTCGGTGGAGGAGGCTCAAGAAACACCTCAGCCAAGACTTGGAGAACTGACTGAACCGGGCTCAGCTTAAGTTTGTTCGGTTTAAATTGTCAGCGTCTTACGCTAAGCGGTATTATCATACCACGTTTATTCGGTAGATTCTTTGGGCTATGGGTTGTGGGCCCCTTCCGCCAAGTGACATACGGAACTCTTGGCCAAATCACCGCTACACCGGTCCCCAGCCCGGGACCTCTCCTGGCAGTAGAATTAACATTTTTCTATTAACAATTACCTGGAGTTTGAAAGAAAACAAAAATCTTACCTTTATCTTTTCTTTATTGGAGAGGGAGAGGAGGGAAAATGTGGATATGGATAAGCGATCCAAGTTAAAAAAGTTTAACACGTTCGCTACCACAATTATATGGAATTTACGTTCGCATAGACCAGCGACGCAATTGTGCGTCGACTCGTTTCTCACAATAGACCACCGACGCATATTTGCGTCAGCTGGTCACATTGAAATGGACTAACGACGCACATTTGCGTCGGTATTCTAATGTTATTAAACAGCGTATTTCTTAGCAACGGTCTATTTTAAAACCCGGATTTTATCGTATCGGTCTAGAGGGATATCTGCCGCAAATGTGCGTCGCTTGGTCCGTGGATATGACGATTGGTTACGTCACACAACTGTTGGCAACATTGTTGTTTACATTGTGTATTCCGCGACATCACAGAACAGATGTAAACGTTATAACCTTTGCAGTTTTGGCTAGTGTTTAGTGGAGTTTCTTTAGTTGTTTGTGTAAAAGTTTGAAACATCCAAATTTACAACGACGCTTACGTGCGTCACCTGGTCTATTGAAACGAAAATGTAATATTTTTAACTGGATTTCGTTAAATAGACTGACCGACGCATATATGCGGCGTTTTAAAATTCGCTCATAACGAAAAATAAAAACAATATTTATTGCTTACTAATTCACTTAAGGTTATTATGAAGTCAATTAGTCCATTTAAACGATATTTCTCTTTTGGTCTGTCGGCAATGTTATTCCTATATCACTTGGTCTGTAAGCAACGTCATGATCATTCCTTTTAGTCTGTAAGAGTGACCGGACCGACGCAAATGTGCGTCGCTCGGTAGCGAACGTGTTAAAACAAGCGTTTTAAATACTCTGTAATGGGGAGCGAACTGGTCTAGTTGTTAGAGTGCGGGACTCCGGCTCCTGGGTTCCCGGGTTCAAATCCTGCCAAATTACCAATCGATTTTTTCTAAAGTGATAATGCCGTAACCCCTAGGTCAAGACTAAAGTAATGTGAAAAACAATTCCGAGCTCGTGCCTAGCGTCCTAGGAAAAAAAATCTGTAATATAATTTAATAGCAATCGTGATAACTTAGTATCCTTTCATTCATGTTGGAAGGAATAAGCGCGTTTTTTCTTCCACGATTCTATTTAATGCCATTGCTAAAAAAAACTCAACGGTATATATATTCTAGACTAGCTGGCCCGACAGACTTCGTCCTGTCCTAATGTGGTTTGATGTCAAATGCTCGTTCGTTTTCAAGATGAGCTTGTTCGCTGCGCTCACTTGCCTTCAGGTCTTCAGGTTAGCTCTTTCGCTACGCTAACTCGCCTCAAGGTTGAAGTTCGTTCGCTACGCTCACTCACCTTTTGGCTGCAAATTAGCTGTTGCACGGCCGCCTTTAACTACAGGCCGCGGCCTGGTAGAATTGGCAACATCGCAAGTGGTGTTGTTCAGTGACAGACGTCCCATAAGATAACATGGCAGACAGGTGACATCGACATCAGCTCATTAATTCGCACTTTATTGATTTAATTTTTAATTTATGAACATAAATTTATTAAAATATTAAAAATAAAACATACAGAATTGAAAATTGAAACAATATGAATTAAAATATATATCTGTGCATTTGTAAGCGGAGTTAATATTGTCATAGTCCATTAATCAATCTTTCGTAAATACACAAATACCATTAGTTGCTTCCGAAAAAATCAGCTGTTACAACACCACTTGCGACGTTGCCAGTTCGAAGGCCGTAGCCTGGGCTGTTGTCATAAATTTAAAGAAATAATAGTGCTGCACCCTGTTGGTAAACCTATTAACTTTTTAATGCTATTGAACATCACAGAATCAAATTGTTTAGTTGCACCAGCTGTTAAGATTAGTTGATCTATCTATCTATCTATACTATTACTAGCTGACCCGGCGAACTTCGTATCGCCTAAGTTATAGGTTTCCCCTAAGACAGACCGATGGAAAGAAAGTACCGTTACGTTTAATTTTCAAGATGATCTCGTTCGCATCGCTCAATCACGTCCTGGTTGAAGTTTGTTCGCTACGCTCACTCACCTTTGGGTTGGAGCTCGTTCGCTACGCTCACTTACCTTTAGGTTGGAGCTCGTTCGCTGCGCTCACTTGCCTTCAGGTTAGCTCGTTCGCTACGCTAACTCGCCTCCGGGTTGAAGTTCGTTCGCTACGCTCAATCACCTTTTGGTTGCAAATTAGCTGTTGTCATAAATGTAAAAGAAATAATAGTGCTGCACCCTGTTGGTAATCCTTGTAACTTTAATGCTATTGAACATCATAGAACAGAACAAACTTGTTTAATTGAAACAGCTGTTAAGATTCATTAATTCCATTTCTCATAAGGTTAACATGGGAAACTCCAGAGCCACTGGGGCGGAGCCCTTTTAAGAATTTCGAAACGGGAAATAGTTTACGTCCGATTCGCATACCTACAGAATTTACACACCAAATTTCATAACGATCGGTGAAGTCGTTCCGGAGGAGTTTGCAGACAAACACTGTGACACGAGAATTTTATATATTAGAGATAAAAAAGAGGTGGTTGCTGTATGTGTGTATGTGTGTATGGGAAAAGTAAACTCGAAAAATACTGGTCGGATTGGGCTGAAATTTGGCATGATGATAGCTCACATTCCCAATTAACATATAGGCATATTCTTATTTCAAAAATCCTTTCGGGCTCCGCCCCAGTGGCTCTGGAGTTTCCCATGTTAACCTTATGAGAAATGGAATTATTGAATCTTAACAGCTGTTTCAATTAAACAAGTTGGTTCTGTTCTATGATGTTCAATAGCATTAAAGTTACAAGGATTACCAACAGGGTGCAGCACTATTATTTCTTTTACATTTATGACAACAGCTAATTTGCAACCAAAAGGTGAGTGAGCGTAGCGAACGAACTTCAACCTGGAGGCGAGTTAGCGTAGCGAACGAGCTAACCTGAAGGCAAGTGAGCGCAGCGAACGAGCTCCAACCTAAAGGTGAGTGAGCGTAGCGAACGAGCTCCAACCTAAAGGTGAGTGAGCGTAGCGAACGAGCTCCAACCTAAAGGTGAGTGAGCGTAGCGAACGAGCTCCAACCTAAAGGTGAGTGAGCGTAGCGAACAAACTTCAACCTGGGGCCCATTTCATAATAAAATATAAGTTACAAGTTACAACTTGTAACTTGTAATTTCCATAAGATTTGCATTGGGCGATCAGCTGATTTACTAATAATATTAGTTTGTACTTTATTATGAAATGGGCTCCAGGACGTGATTGAGCCATGCGATAATCTTGAAAATTAAGAAGTTAAACGGGGCAAAGCCCGCGGGTTACAGCTAGTTCCATTTAAATATGAGTACTCTAGTACTCATAAGGTTAGCATGGGAAACTCCAGAGCCACTGGAGCGGAGCCCTTTTGACGGATATGCACCAAACTTCACACAAACCATCCTTGAATAATGCTTAATAATGCCTGAAAATTTAATTACAACCTGTCGGGCGGTTTCAGAGTCCATAAAGGACAAACAAACATACATACATTGGATTTTATATATATATATAGATAGATAGCAGATATAAAATAAAGGTACACGTGGTAGGCATACTAAATAGAGAAATTTGATTATGTTTGTAATGTTTTCCACGTTTTCGAAATTATGCTACGACAGACTAATTTTTGCCAGTGTTGCCATACAACACATACAATAATTTGTGTTTCCACAGCCACGGCCACCTTTGCCACATCCCAGAATAGAACGTGGGTCTGGCGTTGGCGAAACTAAACTGAACCTTACGTCACCATACCACCAGGCTTACCTACTCTGAGTCTGATTCTGATACTAGCTTTCGGTTTTTTTCCCTAAAGGAATTTTGTTTATGTCTTGTTGGCGTTTCTAGTTCTACATTCTATCTATACCACCTTTAAAAAAATATCTGAAATATGCTTCAAGTAAGAAACTCGTATCAATAGTTAATTATTCATAAACTATTTTAAAACATAGCTTTGAATTAATTAGACCTAACCTATAATACTTTCAATGCCTAGGATAAATTTGGTTTAGCCTTGTTCTAACTTTTAGGTTATGATACAGCTTTTAACTCGGTTTTTGGCCTATGCCTAACTTACCTGTTAAGTTTACGTGATAGTACGAGTACGAAATGTTTTTCTTTTGAACTAAAACTGCTTTTATGAAATCAGTTTATAGGAGTAAAATATTAGGCCTATGGGCTCTGTCCCAGCAATTAACCTAAGATTGATCTTGATGTTAGAAGGTCTCTAAGGTTTTTCATGTATGTTTTTAGAATACAATGGAACTCGTACAAAGCACGTTTCTTGTGTTTGCTGCATTACTTGTTGTGATTAATCCTCAAAAAGTTCCTCCAGGAGTCAACCCAACAACTTACCAACAGCCACCTCCCCCTCCACCTCAACAACAACAACAGGTTAGTCTATTTAATTATTCTGTAACTTAAGTAAATATTGAGTATTAAGCCTAAGGAACTGTTTTCATTCATCCAGCTGATGCATTTTAAAGTTGTAGTGGCAATGCATTTTTTTTTATGTTACAGACTTATTCTTGAACATTTAAATACCCCAGCTTGACTTAACCAATTAATAGTTTTATTAATACTTATGAAGTCAAACGGGGTGATGCCCGTGGGTAACAGCTTGTTATTATAGGGCCTATAGTCTCTGCCACTACGGACTACAACTACTGCCACAATATCATTGTACTGTCAGTTTGAGGGTTAAATTACTGTTCCATAAACATTATCTAGTTAAAAATGTCTTCATCCCTGGGGGCTATGAAAAGGTAACTTACAGTGGATTCTCAGCAGGCCTATGGCCTATCCCAAACCATGAAACTTTGTAGTCTTTGGACGTTTGCTCTCTGTTTCACTGTGATGGTTTCATAGTCTGTCACACTACCATCTGAGCAATCAATCTATCTAAACGTCAACCTTCTAAACTTATATGTTTTCGTTAAATATAAATCTCCATTTGCAGTACCAACCGCCACCTCCGCCGCCGCCATCGTACCAGCAACAGCCAATACAGAGTGCAGTACCTCTGGAGCATCATCAGGAGCGCCACCATCACGACCATCACTCCAGCCACGGCCAGCCTCAGCTACTCAATACTGCCAACCTTGCAGAGGAGAGAGAGTAAGATCTTCCATCACTTTACTGTTCTTCTTTTAGCGAATTTCCCATATAGGGAATAAGCTATTACCGTAGTACTCATGGTAAGACCTGGACCCGGGACCGATTATTTTTTCGTTTTGAGGTCCTTAGAGGCCAAAATCACCACGTCCAAATTCATATATAGGCTATATATATATTTATATATGTGTCCGTTAGCGCGATAACTCGAGCAAAAACGATCCGATTTTGATGTAATTTGGTACAAACGTGTAAACCTACGTTTATTCGAACGAGTTCGCAAACCAGCATGATCGGACCATGGGAACGGGGGTTTATGGGGGGTTTTATGGGGTAAAAATGGGGTTTTCCCACTTTTGACTCAAAAAACATGAAATTTTGCAATTTCTTTCCAAACTATTTTGTAGAGCTTAAAAAAACAAATAATTTAGTATATTGAAGCGTTATAATGCACCTAATGGTTATGGAGTAAATTCCAAAAAAATTGTAAATTTAAAATTCCCATGTTATTCTTATGGAGAATAAGTAAACTGTTGTAGTTTGCTTGTTTATTAACATTTTTTGCCCAAATTTGGAAAATGTTTTTATTTTTTACTAACTATTAACATTTTACATAAAAAAACACTTTTACCCTCCCTGTTGCAGCAAACCTAAGTATGTGTTAAACTGATTCTATTTAAATAGGGAATAAATGTGATATTTTTAAGGAGACATTTTAGTGTAGATCCAATCAGGCAAATGGAAATTCGCTTAGTCTGCAGGTTTGCTGCGGCGGGGTATTTCTCCTAACTGCCATATCACCAATTTCTTCACCACACCTCACCTCATTCATCCACCCTCTTTAAAATATTCTTCTCTACCTTCTTCCCTCCGGATGCATTGCACGACGTCCAAGTGCCACGACGTCCAATAATATTTTTCCAGTGCCACGACGTCTAAAACATAGTTTTAGAGTTGTTGCACGACGTCCAAGTGCCACGACGTCCAAAGGTACAGTAACTGCCAAAAATATAGCCTTTCTGCAAGCTTTGGACGTCGTGGCACTTGGACGTCGTGAAACAGCGCACTATAGAATTGTAAAAAAGTAACATTTGCACGACATCCAAAGTCGCTGCCAGTTGCACGACGTCCAAGTGCCATGACGTCCAATAAATATTTGACTGTTGCACGACGTCCAATATAGCTCAGCGCTGTTGCACGACGTCCAAGCTCCTTCATGATGACCGGTTACGATGACCGGCTACTTGCCGAACAGTGTTCTCTCGTGTGAAATGCTTATGGAACGTTTATTAGTTATATATACATGGGTATGGGTATATGTTCTTGTTCAGAAATTTAAATAACTATGCATATTTGAACCATTAATTAAAACATCATAAAGTAAAAAAAAAACATAAAAAGAAAAAATAAACAAGGCAACAGCTGGAAAACTATAAGGTTTACATGGTTTGAAAAATGATGACATTTTGTTAACAACCTATAAACTTCATTATGTTTGGAGTAAGCTTTTAAATACTTATTTTTTCAAGACTAGATGAATGTACATTGATCAACATGATCTTTGAAAACTATTTTTTATACCCTCATTTTAATTTTTACTAGTATAAAGAATAGAATACCTTTTTCGAACTGTTTTTTAGGCTTCAATTAAATGTTCTTATGTCGCAAATATGTTTATTAATAGTATTTACTTAACATTGGCTTAGTTTTATTTCAATAAATTTTGTGTTTGTGTTTTGTTACACCACTTATTAAATTGCAACCAATGAGAATATCATATAAATAAGTTGTACACAGGGTTCTTTTGTTTCCCCAACTCTAAAATACAACGCACATGAATTGAAAATGTTATAGGTTTAATAGTAGGCCTACTGTAGCGAATCGAATATCAATAAAGTTAACAATAAATTTACATATTACATATCCCTAGATTATAATTGAATGTGTTTACGAAGGAACACCACAACCTCAAAATTCAACATTACAGTATATTTACTCAAGATTTATTGTTTTCATATAGCACAGTTGATGTTGCCAACTAGCGTGGGAGCGGAAGTCCTAAAAAAGGCTGGTTCTCGGAAAAGTAATAAACTTGTAATTTGATTAAAACATTTTTTTAATTTTGTACAGGATTCATGGGATCCTCAGCATCAAGTACAAACTGCAAAAGGTGTGTGGAAGGTTTGATTAGACCTTCCGAGATTTAGACCTTCAGCAACTGATCCGTTTTTTACCTTCCTTTAACTTATTCTTTTTCATGTTGTGTAACATACATAGACTAGAGGGCCGCTCATGTAATGCCCTTGACAAATAAATTAACATTTTCGCACAAATACAAATCAATATCGTCATTAGACAAGAATTAAAAAATAAAATTTATAAACAAAACCTAATACGGCATATTTATGAACAAGTATGCCTACAAACCTACGATAAGCATGTTTGTTATTATTATACTTAACCTACAAATGCTATTACTTAGGGCATACCTGCTTTCCTAGATAAAACATGCGAACTAATTGCGAGTGCGACGTGAACTTAGAAAAAGACTAGTAAGAATTTACAACTGTGAATTTCTCAGAATTGATTGACAGTTCAGACGAACCTATGGCCACAGACTACGGAAACCTACAGTATTATTGTATTAGTATACTGTATTTGTATTATTGTGTTACTAGCAGAGTACCCGTCCTTCGTACGGGGTTGGCATATAAGTATGAATGCTTATTGCAGTTATGGGAGAGGACACGATAAAAAAAAGAAAACTGGTCTTTTAATTTATCCTATTGTGTAGCACACATCTACCATAGTCCTGATGTTCTACCACTGCACCTAAACCATGGAAAAAAAGTAAAGTTCTCATTGTGTACCACAACTTTTTTTGCTAGTTGGTTCAAATTAGCTGTGGTAATTAATGCAAACAAACAACATACTAGTGCTGCACCCTGTTTGGCAAGCCTTATAACTTTTTAATGCTGTTTTTGCTGTTTAATACCATAGAACCAACTTGTACAGTTGAAACGGCTGACAAAATTCTTTAATTTCTTTAAATATGAATACTCATAAGGTTAACATGAGAAAGTCCAGAGCCAGAGCCACCGGGGCGGAGACTGAAAGAATTTTTGAGGTAAGAATATGTTAATCGGGGATGTCATCTATCATCATACCAAATTTCAACCTTATCGGTTTAGTATTTTTCGCGTTTGCTCGTCACAAACATCCATCCATCCATCCATACATCCATAAATCCATGGTTTGCACTGTAAACAAAAAGCTATCACAATAGTTCCAAACCGACAAATAGAAAAATAGGAAAATATAAATAAATATGGAAAATAGGGTAATTTTCTAACATATTTTAGTGAAATTATATAATCAGGCAAATGGAAATTCAGTCTACAGATTTGCTGTGGCAGGGGGATTATATTACGGTTTACACAAAAATAAATCAAAACATAAACCTCATAACACTCAGGAAAAGGGCCTAGGTTGATAGGGCAATGATTATAGAATCTTAATTATTTCCTATATCCATGATGAATGATTTCTTTTAAAACGAATTATTCCCAGTAAAATATTATTACAGCATTTCACAAAAATAGAACAGACTCAGTATAATCTAAATATATATATATAAGTCCTCACTGACTGACTGACTCACTCACTCACTCACTCACTCACTCACTCACTCACTCACTCACTCACTCACTCACTCACTCACTCATCACTAATTTTTCCACTTCCCATTTACCTAGGAGGCTGAAATTTGGTACACCGATTCTTTGGGCATTAAATAGGAAAACAGTATAGTAGTTTTTATTCTGATCGGGCTTTCGGGCTCCGCCCCAGTGGCTCTAGAGTTTCCCATGATAACCTTATGATTTTTCATATTCAAAGGGAATTTCTTAACAGCTGTTTCAATTAAACAAGTTGGTTCTGTTCTATGATGTTACAATAGCATTAAAGTTACAAGGATTACCAACAGGGTGCAGCACTATTATTTTTTTAAATTTATGACTACAGCCAAAATGCATGTAATAAGTTTGTTCTCAATGGAAATAAATAAATTCATTTAGTCATTCATTTAATTTGCAACTAAAAGGTGAGTGAGCGTAGTGAACGAACTTCAACCTGGAAGCGAGTTAGCGCAGCGAACGAGCTAACCTGAAGGCAAGTGAGCGGAGCGATCGAGCTCCAACCTAAAGGTGAGTGAGCGTAGCGAACGTACTTCAACCAGGACGTGATTGAGCCATGCGAACGAGCTCACTTGTGAAGTTAAACGGGGCAAAGCCCGCGGGTACAGCTAGTAGATCATAAACATAAACAAATGAAGTAACTGAAAGAATCATATACTAATGAAATTACATTAACATATGGTTTGACAGCTACATTTAAGTAATGTAAAATAATGTTTACATTCGGGCTAGTAACATCATTATTTAAAATTTATAATCCTTACCCTCTCTGTTCTAATACTCGTGCATTATTTAATACTAGGTGAAACCCGTCGAGATCGACGGTTACTTTCAAGCCTTACGCCAATTCATTAGCCTTACTGCAATAAATTAAGTAAAAATATACATATTTTGAGCATTTATACCATTGTTTAAAGAGTAATAAGTGTAAAAAAATAATGATATTAATTACGTTAGTTACCAAATATGGTTGATCATTCAATGAATAAAATATTTCTCATACTGTACGTCATCGGAGTTATTATTAGTATGTTATCTGGTATCTCTTCCTTTGGAAGAATCTTTAAATAGTTAGTATTAAAATCGTATTGGTGGATCTTTTGTAGCTAAACACTTCCGTGATTTAATCAGTGTAATGCAGATTAATCTATCATTTTATTTGAAAAAAAATATCTGTTTGTTGGGAAGACACGTTCTAACTTCAAAGGGAGGTATAAACGTACAGTGTAAGTTTGATTTTTCCTTCGTCAAGTCGCGTCAGTTCATATCGTACTTCTGTGCCAATGAATAACCCTCTAGCACAGTTTTGAGAAATTGGTTTTGGGGCTACTGTTAAAGCTAGAATTCCTTAACGCAGGGGGGATGTCAGTTAGTTGTCTTAGCCTTATCAATTACAAAAAGTTGTCAATATAATCTTTCTACGGAATGTTAGGTGTATTGGAATATACTTGAAGTGAAGGTGGCTTTTATTCTTTAACGGTTGGGGACCTCCTCGTTTATATGGTCCTGCGGCTTCATTGGCAACAAATAATGCAGATGACATAGCAATGGCACATTTCCAAAAAGCAAAAATACTGTAAATTGGTTGTTATGTATATATTGACGTTTACATATTGTTCATCAACCTATCTTATAAAGGGATATGTGATCTAGTTTAAAAGGAATATGACCTTTCTGGCATGACAGTAGCTGCTTAAATAGTATTTTCTCTTTGTACCATATTTTACAGCCAAAATGTCGTGTTATTTTCAATAATGTTACCAAACCAGTGCACCAAAGTCCGTAATATAGGCAGGTGCAAATAATTTCTCAATATGGGTACCATTTTAGGCTAGGTTTCTATGTTTGGATTTTATTAGACACGATAAGAGCAGATATTTCTACATAAATATTTGATATGTGTAGAATAATACTTAAATGTAGGCAAAAGTGGTGAAAAAGGCAGACACCAACCCTTACAATAGATATAAGATAATTCATTAAGAAATAATTTAAGAATTGCTGTGATGAAAGGATTTTCCATTGATTTCGTAATGGAACGTTATATTGAAAAACATGACATTATAAAGAAGAAAACTAATTTTAAAATCCAAAATAACATTGCAAATAGTTATTTGGTTGAATTCAGTAAATTTAAAATGAACAGCTGTTTCATTAAAAAGTATTTTTCACATGGCCAAAATGTAAACAACTCTGGGGAGGGATCTTTATAGGCTTCTGGGACAGAGTCCTACGGGATATTGCTTAGTTTTTCTTTTGATAACTCATCTACAGACCAAGACCTTTCTTTGGACACATCTATCAAGTTTCTACGCCCAGCTATTCTCTCAAATTAGTGGGGATAAAGATTCCAATTAAATATTTAGATTCCCCCATGTTAATCTTATGGGAGAAACTCCAACTTTGATGGCCTGTGGGGCAAAGCCTGAGAGTTTTTATTACATGAATTGGTGAAAGGGGGCATCTACACAAAAAATACTTTATTTTGACACTTCGTTTGTAAAAATCCGTCCATTATTAACGGAGGAGTAGTGTTTTGTAGAAACCGCCTTCACGTATTATATATAAGGATGTTTGAACCAGCTGTGTGGAATTGTGAAATCAAAATTCATTTGACAGTAAGTTCTGGTTGTTTACATTTTTAAATTATTTAGGTTTGCTCTTGTTACCATGGATACCATCAATCAATATTTTAAAATCTTTCACCTCAAATTTTTGAAAGCCCACGGGGCAGAGCCCTAGGACAATAACTAAGAGGGAATAGTTGTATATTATGTATCCTCGGAGCTGTAGCTTCATTTGCGTGCAATTTGAGCCCAGTCGGTTCAGTAATTTTTGAGATTATCTCATACAAACACACAGACACACACACACACACAGACACCACCTCTTCTTTATAATAGTATAGATAGATAGATAGATAGATTACTATTATAGTATTACATATTGTCTGTGCTATGGCTAAAATACGTTTTTATTACTGCATCAGCTGGAGACACTCTCTGAATATCTGCTTCAACCATTTGTTGTCAAACATTGATCTCGTAAAATAGTGAAATTATTTTTCGTATGCACTAATAGAGCAAGGTTTGTACTAAAAGAAAACAAACCTTCTTTTAGTTTAAAAAATACATGTTTCACAGGAAACATTTTTAACCATTGTAGTAACATCATTATAGCTTAAAAAGTTGATAAGTGATAGTTTACATAATATTTAGCACATTTGACGGATAAACCTTTTTTGAATTCGTCATATTATAATAAGTGTATGAAAATTCATATATCTGTGTATCAATATCTACTTATCTCATTTCTGTTCAATGGAAGTTATACAATTTCAATGATACCGGTACTTAAATGGGAAGTCTTACAGCTGTTATAAAACTGTGCATACATTTTATCTTACGATTAAATTTGCTACCAATTGATATAGTATGACAATTCTATTCTACTGCAGTACTTAGAATTCTACCACTACTCACATTAAACCTACCATATTTACTTTTGGGCTAGTGATTAATTTATTGTATTAATCATACAATATAGTGAATAGTGTGGTCATTTATTTATTTCGTTTCTATGACATAGCTCTATTTTGTAGAAATCCATTATGCAATCATAACAACAGAAATACTGCATCATTACATTTTACGGTGACATAGTATTTATTTTACATATAAAAAATTTAAGCTAATGCAATAATTAGCTCAATTAGAACCATTGAATATTGAATAATTTACACATTAATCGAAGACGAAGCGGTTGACAACTTTCAAACACTTGACTAGGCCTAGTTGCCTTCAATAATTGTAATGCGAACTGTATGCACTGAGGTCGGCAAACAGTGTTCACAGTGTGCAGGCACTTTGGACGTCGTGGCACTTGGACGTCGTGCAACAGTCAAATATTGATTGGACGTCGTGGCACTTGGACGTCGTGCAACTGGCAGAGGCTTTGGACGTGGTGCAAATGATACTTCTTTACAATCCTACGGTGCGCTGTTTCACGACGTCCAAGTGCCACGACGTCCAAAGCTTGTAGAAAGACTATATTTTTGGCAGTTACTGTACTTTTGGACGTCGTGGCACTTGGACGTCGTGCAACTACTCAAAAATTATGTTTTGGACGTCGTGGCACTGGAAAAATATTATTGGACGTCGTGGCACTTGGACGTCGTGCAACACTCCCCTTCCCTCCATCTCCATCAAAAGTATTTTCCTAGGATTAGTCTTTTTGGGAACTTCTCTAATGTTCCAACCATTTCGGTCTTGCTTTTTCTGCCCATTGTAATCCGCAAATAAAGAAAGGGTTTTTACTTTCCCTATCTTCCGTAATGTTTTGTTCCCTATTCTTAAGTTCATTTTATTTATTAGAAGAGCTATAATGGCTCAACATAATCCTCTATTGAGGATTAGATGATTGGTTGTCTTAAAAATAAAAAAGATTTGAGAATTATAACTTAAAATGCAAAATCAATAACTTCTTGTAAAGGTATTATTAAAAAACTTAATGTTTTGACTTTGCCATCATTTTATATTTTGTTATATTTTTTGTTATTTATTTTGTTATTCGTTAAATGCAATTTTAATAACCTAATAACAGTAAATAATAATAAAAATAGATCAACCTCTGTTACTGGATAATGTTTTGTGACCAATAAAGAATTTGAGTTTGAAGTAGGCTAAAGATGTGAAAGTAAACATAGTATTCCCTCAGTTACCTGAAACATAACGCTCAGACTGATGCATGGATATTGTGCCTCTTATTTTTCAATGTCTAACCCTTTCGATGCTAGAATTTTTTTGTAATTTTTAAAAAAAATGGTAGAGTTATTTATTTATTTTGTCTGAAAAGTGCTAGGCTTGCCACGGGGGCGAGGTCTAGTGTGCAAGAAAAAAATCTGTAAAAATAAAAATGTTCATCTCAAAAGTGCTAAGGAACGATATATCGGGCCTCGATTGTATGAGGAACCAAAAGAAACCATTGAATGTTGCGCCGGCATGATATATCGTTGCTTAGCACAATTTGAATGAAACACGAACTACGATATATCGTACCATAGCACTTTTTGGTAAAAGTTTCACAATGATATATCGTCGCATAGCACTGAAAGGGCAGATAGAGAATTTGTCATTTCAACTTTGGCCTCAGTGACCATCTAATCAATACCGGTAATCTATATTTTCCTGTTACTGTAGTACGTTTTATACAAACTGAGGTTAAGATGAGTGTATTCGTGTTCAGGCACATGCAAGAACATTTGAATGTGAACATTGACACCAGTAAGATGTCAGAGCAGGAATTGCAGTTTCACTATTTCAAGATGCACGACGCCGACAACAACAACAAACTCGACGGTTGTGAGTTGATCAAGTCTCTAATCCATTGGCACGGTAAGTTTCTTACGAATTGTAAAATTCCTCAAACTCAGAATACGTTTGGAGTTGTTTTACCATCTGCATTGTTTGTTTCAACGGTTTTTCACTAACTCCATTGATAAACTATTTTGGGTATTGTGACCAAAAATAATAGGGATACATTTTTTCACTTTGTAATGTGGTTGAGTAACTTAAGGGATCATTTGAAAGGGTATAATTTTGCCAAGAAAAGGAGACAGCTGGGTGAATAAAAGTCGCAACGGTTGTTGCAGTTAAGTTAATCCCTCTCTCTTAAAAAAAGAACAATAATAGTAATTTTATCAGTAACAATAGTAAATTGTAGCCTTTTCCATCAGTACGTCTCGGGTGCAGAAAGTACAAAAAGTGTTTTATTTTCAAAACAATTTTTGTATAGTACAAAGCATATTAGACCAAACAAAACTCATAAACAATGGTTTGTAAAAAACACTGCAGGAAGTGGATCAATTATTTTCTTAATAAATCAATTTTGTAAACGATAATAATACATCAATTGCAAACAAATTCAAGCTGATTTTTAAAGTATTTAGTTTTAAGCATCTTCTGTAAACAGTGGCATGAACTAAGTTGTATGATGTAAGTTAATTTATAGTAGGTAAGGTAATTAATGGCAAAACTAAATTTGTAATAGCCTAGTTAACTTATTTCATCGCTTCTTACTAGAATAAAATTTATCATGTCATTGGTGTAAAAATCAATCCATGGCAAAGAAGAGGAATGCTTTTGTCTTTTGTCTCGCCCCAAATTGTTAAAGAATGAAAAAATATATAATATATACAGGGTGTTTGTGAACTCTCTCAAAAAAATTCACAGGATTATTCCTTTGGGTTAATACATGAATATTTTACATTATAAACATGGGTCGCCGGAGCCTCGTTTTCCGTCTGTCTGTCTGTATGTGTTTTTTTATAAATAACCTTATAACTCGAGTTTGAATCGAGGTACACACTTTAAATTTGACACACTTGTGTATTTTAACGTGGTACACAAACATACAAAATTTCATTTCGTTGACTATAGCCGTTTCAAAATGGCAGCCATCTAAAATCTTTGACCTCAAATTACATGAAAACCACTAGAGTTACAAAAAAAAAACAAAAAAACACAAGAATAACAAAATGTAGGAAATTTTATGCCAAATCAAATGACACATAGATCTTAAAGATCAGACAACAAACAGCTGAGTTATTAATTTTTTAAATAATTAATAATTTCTTTACTGGCTTTTAATTGTTATTGTTTATTCTTTAAAATCATCTGATCCTTTCTAAATTGTTACAACAATGTATGACAGCTGGTTGGACGGATGATTTTGAGATGATGATCAGATGATTTTTTGAGTTATTAGTTTTTTTAAATAATTTATCATTTCTTTACTGGCTTTTAATTGTTATTGTTTATTCTTTAAAATCATCTGATCCTTTCTAAATTGTTACAACAATGTAAGACAGGTGGTTTGCCCTAACAACAACATTTAGTTTTTTTACTATATGGTAAATCTATTAAGTGTCCTATATTTACCTTAACTATTGAGATCTGTTTAAGGTTATGTAATGTACTCTGTATCAGATGATTTTAATGAATAAACAATAACAATTAGAAGCCAGTAAAGAAATTATTAATTATTTAAAAAAATAATAACTCAGCTGTTTGTTGTCCGATCTTTAAGATCTATGTGTAATTTGATTTGGCATAAAATTTCCTACATTTTGTTATTCTTGTGTTTTTTTTGTAACACTAATGGTTTTCATGTAATTTGAGGTCAAAGATTTTAGATGGCCGCCATTATGAAACGGCTATAGTCAACAAAATGAAATTTTGCATGTTTGTGTACCACGTTAAAATACACAAGTATGTCAAATTTAAAGTTTGTACCTTGATTCAAACTCGAGTTATAAGGTTATTTATAAAAAACACATACAGACAGACAGACGGAAAACGAGGCTCCTGCGACCCATGTTTATAATGTAAAATATTCATGTATTAACCCAAGGAATAATCCTGTGAATTTTTTCGAGAGAGTTCACAAACACCCTGTATAAAAATAGATAATATGGAGCTATATACCTTTTTAAACTTGTAGTTTTCATTTGATAAAACTGAAGACAATTTTATTGATTGGTTTATTCTGGTCTTTCAAAATTTGTTCATTCTGCTATCACTGCAGACTTTATTTTTTCATTTAATCATTGATTATTTAATAGTGGGAAGCAATAACCTACTAACACTTTTGTTTTGACCATCTAATACTTTGTTTGTTTTGAACATTTCCTTAAAAGACTAACGGTCTCAAACCCTCACAATAAGATTGAGTTTCATGCACGTATTGACGTACTCACACAATGGTTACATATATTTTTGTTTCAATTCTATGAATAAATCAAGTAATTAATTTATACACTTTAAATAACAACAATTTTTATATGTCATCCAACAAACTATTTCAAACTGGTTTCTTTTCTGGCCCTCAGCAATAAAAAATGAATTAAAATGAAAGGTAAGTAGTCAATATTGTGAATTGCTAGCTCCTTGGTGAAATTTTGTTTGTGATTTTTTTTAGAAATTGCAGGTTTTACAAACAATAGTTATTTGTGTAACTAGTGGTGAAAGTGGCACTTTGCTGCACACGAGAGCAATGTTTACGCACGAGCCGCAGGCGAGTGCGGAATGATCTCGAGTGCAGCAAAGGCCTTTTTCACTCGTGTTACACATTATATTTTTCCTACAGTCACTATAAAGCATATAAATAATTAGTCTTTCAAACACTATACAACACGTTTTTAGGTTCAGCTGGCAACACAAATGGTGTCCTAGAGAAAGTAGTACCCGCGGTCCGTATCACTCCGCTATTTTTCCTCGGCAAGAAATGTGCTCCGCGTTTTGAGAATATTTCCGTATGTTTTTGTAATTTGAAGTGGTTTCCGCGCCTAAAAAAAATGCTTTAAAGGTATTTTCTCGTTTATTAAGATCGTAGGAATGTTTTAAAAACGTTTAAAAGAAAAGTCCAGTTAGTTCAGAAATACCGAAACTATAAACACGAAATGACAGGTTAAATCGTAGTTATAATAGTCAATCAGCTGCTCATAGTATTATATTTATATTATTATCATTAAGTGTTGCCAACCTATTTTCAAGCGTACACAGATTACGTTCATAATAGAACCACGCTGTTTTGTGTTGTTTCGTTGGAATCCTGATGTGCGGCAAAGTATAAACCGTACGGCAAAGAATAAACGGTACGGCAAAGTATAAATATGCAGCAATTAGCAGCTTTCTGTACTATAAACAGTACAAGGAAGCCAACTTTGTCGGGTGACTGTAGGAAAAAATTTTTTTAATTTTCTTATCCTTTCTATTGTACTTTTCTATTTTCATTGTGTTTTCATTTATTTTTTACATCTCAATTGAGGGTGTTAATTTAATTATGTGTCATGTGTTCTGAGAGTAAAAAACCGCTACTTATAAAAAAAGTAGCGTCATAGGAAAAAAAACCATATTAACGAAACTTATAGTATCCAGAATTCCCCTATAACACTAAGGTTGTGAAGAATGCATTGAAGAAGGAAAGAATACACAATGGACTTACCCAAGAAAAGAGTTTTGCGCCATTGATAGCACAAAAAAGTTCACAATGCTATAACTTTTTTTCTGCTGTCAAATGTAATGTTCTTTTCTTCGGTAAGTTATATCTTTATTCATTCAGTCATTCATTATGTATACATAAGCCAGGTCTTCTTTCCTTTAAAAACTATTAAGACAAATTAATAGGAAGCTGAAACAAAAATACGTTTGTAACCATTTTGTTAAACGTAATCGGTTTGAATGCTGCATCACGTTTGTCTCCGGGTGGGGCTTGTATGTCTGTTTGTGTTGCCGCTCGTAGAGCAAGGTCACCAGGATCCGTCGTCTGGCCACCAGACGCCTCCGCGGGAAAAGATCTTTACAGACGAGGAGCTGACAAACCTGATAGACCCGATACTCAACATGGACGACGGCAACGGAGACGGGTACATTGACTATCCAGAGTTTGTCAGAGCACAGCAGAAGGCGGCAGCGGCGGCACAGGCGCAGGGGGCTCGACCCACGTGAGCAAGGCGACGGTGAGTTAGGTTAAGTGAGTTTCAACCAGGTGGAGGATATTTACTGTGATGGTTAACGACTTTACTGTTGTAATGAATGCTGTGAGTACTTTATACATGTAGGTTTTATAGTTTTTTCTCGTCAGCTACCAGTAATAATTAGATATACATTAAATTGGCGTCAATCAGACAATCTGTGCTCCTCCAAACATTCTTTATTTAACCTTAAAACAAAAAAATTAAGCATTCAGTAATAGATAAGCAATGTTTTGAGGACTCTGTTGTATTTAAATGGTGTTATTTTATTGTATCTTTTACAATAATTTTTTGTTGGTTTTTCGTGTTAAATTTATTTCATATGTTCATTGTGAGAAAATTTGTTCCTTTAAATAAAATACAGTCTGTACAAGATAGAATGTGATCAGAGGAAATCTTTAAGGCTGAATAGGATAGGTTGCGTATTTCTCCTATTCCTAAAAGTGGTTTTTGGTGTTCATTGTAGTAGGTAAGTAACACGTGTGCCTGACATCAATAATTTAATAGTTGATCGATAATAATCACATACATTCGATATATAGATACTTTCATATCATGGTGCATGATTTGTGAATGTTGCACGAATTAAAACCGTTTGTCATTAATTTTGTTGTTTATGTTTTACATTTTTTAAGGAAAGTAAATCTTAAATATAATCAAAGGGACTTTGTTTTATCATTTGTGGTTTTTCAGAGGAACACTCGCCTGAAGAGCCATTTAGTAATAATGATGAAGAAATAATGGAACTTATAGATCAGATTATGACAGAAGCTGATCTAAACTTTGATGGTTATATTGATTGGATTGAGTTTAACAACTTAAACTCCAACAGTACAAAAGATTATGATTTAGAAAACGATGAAAACATTTCTGAGGAAATAACAGAGGGTTCTGGGGACAAAATGTTCCATGGGGATAATACTAATCACATTGTGGAAAACGCTGTTGAGGAATCAGAAGGGAAAGTAGAAAATCATGAGGGCAAGGAGAATATTGATGTACAATTGGTCTGATGGAAGCATAAAGCTGTAAATATTTTTATCTCCAACACTATGTGGTATACTCACTGTTGGGACACTCAAGAGCACAATATACAAATAACATTTAGTGAATGTGTAACTTAAAGATGTGCAAACCCTAGGTTAATGGTTAACTTAGCACTAACAATCCAAAGTACAACTTAATATGCCTCCTGGCACCAGTATTTGTTGTTTGTGTTTTAGCCTATAGTATCTCAATTTGGTATTTCATTTCAATCAATCTAGTATCTTTTGTAGAAATTCAGGAACCAAAATAAAGATAACCTGTTGATAAAAATCTAGACGATTCAATAATAAGGATTTAGAGCTAAAATCAAGACTACATGTTGATATAAAATCAGGAGCTAAAATCAAAATTACCTGTTGATATAAATGTGTAACTAAAATCAAGAAAATCCATTGATAGGAATCTGAAACCAAATCAATATCACAAATTTGTATTGAATTTGTTGTGATATACAACAAATTAGGGATGGACGAGATTGGATTTTTAGTTTGAGACGAGACGAGACAAGATTTTTTATTTCTCATAAAATTTTGAGACGAGATCGAGACGGGATTTCCCTTCTCATACACAACGGGAAATGCACGTTCAAAATTTTTACCTGAATTTGTAACATTGTTAGATGACTGTTTAAATAGAAAAATAATGATAATAGGCAAGAACATTTACAATCTTTTATTAAAAAACATCAGCATAACATTTTTTTATTAATCACGCCTAACTTATTAAAAATGCTTACGATTAGGAAACATAGTGATATCAGTTAGGATAGAGTTCAACTTATCCTAAAATAAAATAAATCATAAAATAAAAGCAATATTAATTTTTATAAAATAGTTACTTGTTTTGACTTTTTATTGTAATAAAACATTCCTCACACTGCTTACACTTAACAAAACTTCTCAAATGTTATTAAAGTAATATTATTAAAATAATTAAAGTAATATTTACATTTAAAGAATTAATTAAATAAGAACGCCTTCGCAAAGGAAACGCAACTACAACACGCTCCTGTATTGCGGGTATTGCATTGACTTTCTGCAGGCATTTTTTTTTTTTTTTTATTTTTTTTTTTTATTCTTGTCTCGATAAAAATCTCGGCCAAAAAGAAATCTCGTCTCGTGTAATAAGATTTAAAATTTCCCGAAAATTTCCCGAAATTTCGAGACTTGACCATCCCTACAACAAATATGAGTAGACGCGAAGACCGAAAATACCCACAATGCATCACACACTAGGAGTGGTAGGGGGTGAGCCTCTAGCCAGGCGTTCACTAGTCTAGTTACTCCTAGTCCAGTTGTGTTTCCTGTCCTCTCCAAGGTAGTAGGTGAGCTTAGATCGGGTCGTGCAAATCAATTCCATTCGTGGTGTTAGCTAGACAAATTTCTATTTTCATTAAATCGTAAAGCCTATATCCCGCAGCGATATAATTGCCGCGCGAAGTGAAAGTAAAATCAGTTTTGAGAAGGAAAAAGTTGAAAAATTTCAGTGTTCTGATGTAAGATTTAAAACTTCCTAGAACAGTTTATACACTATTTCTCTGCTGTAAAATTTGAAACATGTTGTTCTTTAAATGTAACAATAGTTCACAATACTGAACCCTAATAAAACGTTTGCACTACTTCCTTTACTAATGCACTGCGCACAGTCATGCACAATATTATGTTGTTGAATTTGCATTATTTTTATTGTAGCTAAATACATAGACAAATAGAATAAATATAGACTGTCAAAGAATGTTCTGTGATGTGCCGCCAGGAGTGCAGTGTAGTTACGGCGCACACTGCTTTGGGTGAGGAGCCGTATGCCACCAGCAGACGATGCAGCGGTGTATGCCATAACTACACGGCACTCCTAACGGTAGACGCCGGAACATATGCTTAACGCAGCACTGCTGTCGGTCTATATTTATTCTATTTGTCTATGTCAGTACTAACCTCGGAACCTAGATTGTGTGTTACAATGATTACTATTGATCTCACAATCACTATTAAGACAACGCACGTAGGAGAGTATCTTAAGTTGAAAATTGATGCAAAATAAGTTTAGAACTGAGTTGAAAGATTTCAGTCAACTCAAATACTGTAATACCATTTATATGAATAACTTATAAACACTGATGTGTATTTAAAATTTTCAATAGATGTTACATCGCTAAACTGTAAATTCACTTACAAAAGCAACACTCTCTCTTCTGTATCTCAATTTTTCTTTTTTGGCTAAGAAAGATGACCTCAAAAGGAGCCTCAGCTAGCAGTGGTAGCTTTTCAATTGTCAAAACTGCCAAACTTGTGACTTTCCATTTTCATTTGTGTTCACAATGGATTAATTTTCATTACATTACATTACATTACCAATTGAGATGGGGAGGCAACTGAGCATATGAATATGAGTGAAGGGTGAGTGTAGAATGGAATGAGATGCCTCATGTAGCTTTAGTGACTATTATCAGCCGTTTCTTTAGAACAAAACAAAACCGTTATTAAAAGCCAACGATCAAGAACAGCTGGGTTTAGTTTTAAATTGTGTAGACGTTATCATCGCACAAGGCAGTCACGGAAATGTCATCGTCGTCATGCGCAATGGCGGCAAAATCATGAACATCTCCTGCGAACGTTTAGACTTTATCAACGACTCCCGCGGTCACGCAAACTTTGGAGATGAGTTTTAAATGAATTTTAAGTGTTTTTTTATTGATAACATTCCAGTAATCCGTCAGTATCACAGTCCTATATCTGCCAAGGTAGTGGTGGGTCACCAGACCAAGAGGTTGGGAACCGCTGGTCTAGAGTACTATTTCTTCTATAGCGATTTTATTCTACTATTTGTATAGCACTGATACCTGTATTTATTTTATTCTAGATGACCAAGGACAGGAGAATGAAGAAATTCCAGTTCTGACCGATGAAGAAATTGCACAAAAAGTTGACAAATTACTGCAACTGATGGATTCCAATTTTGACGGGTACATTGATTGGGTTGAGTTCCAGTTGAATAATTCACAAGATTAAAATCTATTTTCCTTGTATTAGTCTCTAAGTAGTTTTAACAAGTTTTGAACAATTTTTAATTTTATGCTGAAGTAAAATCTTGTACATTCTTAACTTCATTTGAGATATTTTCATGTGAAGAATTTTTAAGCTGATACAAATAAATTTTAGTTGACTTATTTCTTAGAATTTGAAACCTGTGTGGCTGGTCATATTAAAATTTTAATTAGTCGAGACCACATAGATGGTACATGGGGACCTACGCCATGCAAGCAAACACAAGTTTAAAATATGAAATCGTGAGGTACTACAGCAAAAGGAGATTCAGTCATGAAAAAAAGTTTACGTTAACAATTTTCTTCGTAATTAGCCTATCAATCTTTCTCAAGTTATTTTCATTTGCTCCTGTGTTACCAAATGTATATGGGAAATAAAGGCCCATTGACACGCTAATAGCGATATAATAATTGCGGCATTTTTATAAATTCAAACTTAACTCATCCCCTGTTAGACTTAGAAATAAGAAGGAAGCATTCCTTATTTAGGTATTTTGAAGTTTTTTGTGTGCATCGTGGACCCCTCTTATTTGGAGACCTTGGGCCTAGACTCTTGTTAAAATTTAAAATGTGACAAATTTGTTTTACTATCTGAAGTTCAATACAAAACTTAATGAATACATTTTCAACCCATACTTTATATGTGGGTAGAAACTACTAAACTATAAACAATAAATGAAACCAGCAAACATGTAGAGCAGGCTGTGACTTGGTTCTTAACGTTTGGTGTTTCGCGGGTGGCCATATGCATTTTATACGTGACTTTGTGTGTGAGTAGTTTGGTTACTCCAAATTAGGAAGTTGAGAAATTAAAAAATGAAATATCCTAGGAGGTATGCCAATTAATTGTAAAATTGTTTGTATTGCTCAACTTAAAGACTGCATCAAAACACTAACGACGGCACTGCTACGTAGTAGATTTATTTTAGATTTGTTGACCATGATAGTATGGATCTTAAAAAAACTTCTCTGATTGAAATGAATAATGAATTCCTAAACTCAATTAGATCAATGTTAATTTATTATAATCTTTTGGTCTCATTTTGGACTTTGGTATCTCTTTGTGTTCATCACTAAAAACAAGTAACATTGATAAAGGATTATTAATTTGTGTTCCAACAGAAATTTGTAAAGTAAAACTTCTGACTTGAAATAGTTCAGAATGTAAAAAAACTGGTTACTGTTAAGTGCTAAAAATAAAACTATTTAAATCCAAATTTATTTTACTCCTACTTATTTTTTACCACTATTTATTTTTTGTATTTAACTTAATTAAAATGGTGTGTAATAATGATAATTAAGTTAGTGACACTATAAATCATAAAATTCTGTAAAGTGTCTTTACAACTTTCACCACTCTTGATTTTCTTAACTTTTTTCTTCAAATCGTTAACTGTTCTGAAATGCTAGTTTTAGTTTACTATGCCAAGTGTATGGGACTTTACTGTAGCTATTTTGGTGTACTAAAACCGTTTTATTACTTCAGCTTTGATAAACGATCATGGAAGTTTTAACTATTTATGTTAGTTAATTGTTGTATTCGATAGTTTTATTTTCTGTATAAGAGATATATATTTTTATATTGCTATTTTTTACGAGAGACTCTGAAGCTGCTATGGACCAACCCAATTATAAATTTAAAATAAAAGAATTATGATTTGAAGCTAAGTGAGAATTTTGGTAGTTAATTTGCTGATTACTACTAAAATCATGGACATTTTGAAATAAAATTACACTTAGGTTACCAATTTTTATTTTTTGAAACTGTGTTTAAAGTGTTTTTGATCTATTTGCCAATATATATTACAGTATTTCCAAGTAAGTCTAATAATAATTTTTTCTACCACAATCTAACTGTGTTTATTTTTATTTTGATGAATTAATTTGTATTCAAACCAAAGAGCTTCTATAAAATAATCTCTGAATATTGAATCAAGTTATTTTTTTTAATGTTAAAGTTTCCCATGTAAAATGTGATAGATACAAAGGTTGTGGGTTTTCTAAGGTTTTGTATGTAATCTCATTTGATAAGATTGAGTATGATTGTGTTAGTTAAGTAAATTCATGTCTTATTTTATGTGTTCATTTGTAAATAATAGATGTTTTATTGTTTGTCGTTTGAATGATTTTTATTTTTGTGTAATGTTTTTAGTTGGTGATTAATAAAGATATTGTTTACTATGTGTGAGTTTAGTCATAATACGGCATTAAAATGTTTATAAACTAGTTTAACATGTTTTTAAAGTGGAAATATTTCATGACCTTTACTCTTATTTAATACTTTTATCATTCACAGTTTTCAAGATACTGTATTGTGAAGCATATGGTACCTGTTACCAACGATTTATAATTTGAAATTTCTGCTACAAAGTTACCTATTTAATTGATTTTAGATTATAGTAAACAAGATTTGCAGAAATATTGATCCAATCCTGACATTATAAAGCCAAAAAGATTTGTACAAGAAATGGTCTTCATGGGAGGTATCCAAGAAACAACATAATACTGCACTGGTTTGATTCAATTAGGATATTTGATTGATAAAATAGAAGAATTACCTTATCCAACCACAGTTGCTGGTATGACTAGTTTCGTTCCTTAGAACATCGTCAGGTCATTGTATGCAACCACATCATCAATGTATTAATACATTGTGGTATGTCAAAAGATTCTTTAAAACACTGTCAGATTCACAATAGTAAAAACTAGTCATGTTGATCAAATTATTAAAACTGAATAAACAAAGTGATAAAATTGGTTAAAACTGTAAAGGCTGGCCAGCTCTGTCTTATCACTGTCACTGACTAAAGTTAGTCACAAAAAGTCACTGAAATTGGTGAAATAACACACAATAGTCACATTACACAAACTAAACTATGTCCAATTGACAAAGCCAACTAAAAAATCTGCAGTCCACAAGCTCTAAAACAATCAGATCAGTGACACAGAAAAATGCTATTTTGTGTCCACTAAATGAATAGTGTTTCAAATAAACTAAAAGAATCATTACAAAAAGAAGAGATGATGATTTTATTTTTGCGCCAAATTGCACTGGTTGCCCTAGTAAATTTTATTTGGTGTATTGTCAAACCAAAATAAGGTAACAATAGTTGAGTTGTATCAGTTTCTTTACTATGAGATCTTGATGTGTACCAGTGTTGTTGGAGAAGAGGTGATAATCTTTGACCCATAATTATTTCAATAGAAATAGTGGGAGTTTCACATGGTTAAGGAATGTACACAGAACAAAATTGTTTGAAATAAGAATTATATTTCAGCCCTGATAAAGTATGACAATGCATGTAGTGCAGCCTATCTACTATTGAATTTGCGGCTTGATTTTTGTATTTCACCAACAACTTCATTAAGGACAATATATAAAATCAATTAAAAGTTCCCAAAGAAATCTTATGACAAAGTCAAAAATACACTTCATTCAAGTTTTTTGCACAAATTTCCACTTTAAACAATAATTTTAACCAATGTGAATCGTGTATTTAAACCCAGTTTGCGAGAAGCCAATTTGAATATAGTATGTGGATGATATAAGTAATCAGTCAATAACTTTACATTTATTAATATTTTCAACAATACTATCAACTAAAATGGACTTGAGAACATCAGTCAGTAAAAAATTTAAACTCAATATGTTTTTATTTTGTCATAACACCTTACGTATTTTATGAAACACTAATTTTATAAAATTTAACATGTACGTAACAAAATACAAAAATCAATCCATACACCTGTTTATCATCACACTTATATATCACAGATTACAATCTATTTCATAACTTTCACTGGTACTATAACAACCCCTGTTTTCTAAAGGCTCGTTCACACGGTGCGAGTTTACAAGCTACTCGCCGGCGTGTAAGAAGCCGGCGAGTTGGCGAGTGTGCTTGATGTATTTGTTTACACGGAGCTTGTCCACTCGCTCAGTAGCTAGCTTGAACCGAATCCTCCAACATCTTTGAATAACACGCGCACAAGCACAAGCAACTTGTTCACTCTGGGCTACTTTACATGCCTACTCGCTCAAAAGCTAGCGAGTTGGTGTGTAAAGTAGCGGCAGCGTCAACTTTTTCCAGAGCTTTTTTACAAGCAGCTTTTGAGCGAGTACGTCGTTCACACTGAGCTATTTTTCTAGCTGCGTGTAAAAAAGCCGGCGTGTAGCTTGTAAACTCGCCCCGTGTGAACGGGGCTTAAAAAGAAACACATTATTTTCTTCAAAATTAGAATATACGAGAAATATCAAGACGGTTGATTGTTATTAAACTTTTACTTAAACAAGACAAAAGGTAGATTAAATAAATGTATGCATTTAAAGATAATAAAAGGTATTGTTAGCATTTCTATAGTAAACAGTTTCTTCTTGCGAAGATAGATAAAACAATAATTATCAATCAATTTTAACATCCTATAAATAGTAGTTACCTCTAACAGTGTGTACCATGGTTGTTCATTAAAAAAAAAACTACAAAATTAAATTTTAGTAGAGGTGATTCTGGTATACTTGTGTTATCTTGGATCCAGAAATATACATTTTTGTCATCATGAAACAAACTAATATTTAGGTTAGTTAAAATTATAGTAAAATGCACAAGATGGAATCAAACTTTGAGCACGACACAAATCTGATCAAAGTTAAAGCCTAACAATTAAAAAGTTAGATAAGATTTTAGGTGAATAATTACTCAATAAATTACCTTTTTATTTACAATGACATGATTATTCTTTTTGGAAATGTTGTGGTTTTATTTTGTAGCGATAAATCATATATGTTTTGCTTGATAGAATGTGATTTATACGTTTAAACAAATACAGTAATGTGAAATCAATCAACAGTAACAAAAATAATTTGTAATACACATTTTTAACAAACCTCTCTATACTTATACATAGAGAATTTAATTTAAGAATTAACTGTTTTTTTAATAAAAATGGACATAGTGTAATTAAGCCACGGACAGAATTTTTTATGTTAATTGCTGATTAATGTCAAATACACAAATTTTAAAACCGAGCCAAACTTAAGGTACCTCCCACTTCATGTAAACTCTAGTATCTTTTACATGGTATAAACTATCAGAATGAACAAAACTACAGAGCAAAATATAATTTTAGACTGCAGAACACTTTGAGTGGCTCATACAAATATGTTCTTGAAGATAATTACCCAGGTAGGGTATGAGCTAATACATTGGGTCTCATGGTGAGACTTGGACCCAAAATTGATTTTCTTGAAATTAATATATTTTAAATAGGCCTATATTATATTTGTGTCCATTAAGTACGATAACTCAAATAAAAATTATCAAATTTCAAATAAACTTGGTACGAATGTGTAATCCTATGTTTTTTTTAAACGAGTTCACGAACCAGCATGATTGATTAGACTATGGAAACGGGTTAATGGGGTAGAAATTAGTTTTTCTAAATTTTGACCCTCAAAACATAAAATTTCTAATCTGTTGTAGTTGTTGCTTTTGTTTATGAATATATTCTGACCAAACTTGGAAAATTTATTTATTTTACCAAGCTGTGAACATTTTACTAAAAAACACTTTATTACCCTCCTTGTAGCAGCAAACCTAAATAGGCTCGTTAACCTTAATGTTATTTAAATAGGATCAATTTTTTAAGAAAATCCAATCAGGCAAACAGAAATTAGCTAAGTCTGCAGGTTTGCTGGGGCAGGGGTATTGTATACTAATATCAGCTACAGCTGGTCCATTGAGGTGGGATTTTTACTTGAGTACGAAACCTTAAAATTTTTATTTAGAATGGAAATTCAAAATGAATGGAAATTTGAATATAATCTCATTAGAAAAATAATATAACATTTTTATATATTTTCCAACAAAAAAATACATACAAGTTGAACCACAAGAGTGTAAGAACTCTTTACAAATATTTCTTTTCATAACATTTTATAAATTAAACATTTTAAAGCTCAGATTTTAAACATTTAAGACAACCCTATTGCAGTGTTGACTACAGTAAGTATAAACATTACCAAATCTACAATAATACAAGTATACGATGTAACAAAACAATACTGTAAATTAAGATATGTATAAAATGTACGATGGATGGATAAGAACACCCTTTAACTGTTGATAAAATCTATCCTTAATAAAGATCAGCTGATGTAAGATAGGCACGGCTGTTAACACATGTCCCTAAATGTGAACACTTACTTTATTATATCACTTACAACATACAAACATTCCACAGGAAGTTCACTTGACATAAGGACTCGTTTATGAATCACAAGACTCTACATTCTAAGCTTAACACGTTAACTGCCACACGGATATTTTCCTTTGTCACAATAATGATAATCTTAATTAAGATTCGGTGTGCAACTTTCTATTTTAATTTAGGAATTTTATATGTGATTTGTACAAGAAATATAATTGATTGGAGGGAGGGGTACTAATGATTTTGCTTTGAGTAGTTGGCAGTACCATTTTTAGCTGCGTGATCATGTTTCCCCTCCAGCTGTTTTATTTATTCCAGCATTGGTATTCAATCCACCATCCAATCGGGTCGTTATAAGTTTACAATTCTGACAGGCTTCTTTTGAAAACTACTCATCAATCAAAATTACATAACGCCATCTAGTAAGCACAGTGATGGATCTGAGGTAGGCCTATGTACAGTTTTTCTAGGTGGCTACTAAATTTTAGAGGGAATCAGCTGATGGAAACATGGTGACACTTTTTTCCCCAAGGTAACAGCATGATTGGACCAGTCCTGGCTTTCCTGACCCAATCAAACCGGTATGGCAGTTAACATGTTAATGCAGCCTAAAAAGGTTAATAACATGAGGGTGGCATACAAAATTTAATTAATTCCTCGAAATAAGTAAATTAGACCTACAGGAAATTGTAGGTTAGTACATTTTTTCTAGACACTCAATATTATTCAAAATTCCAAATTAATTAATTTCCCGCATGATATAGGCAAAATGTTAAGATACTACAGTACTGTGTTGCAGCATGGATTTTGGAAACACCTCTTCTTTTCCAAGTATAATTTTATGGGATACTGATTGACAGTGCTCGATTTGTGAAAAAGGAGGTGCCGGAACTGTAACCTATTAAATGTGATTAATACCTATTTATGCCAATGTTTTTATCTTGACCAGAACTCCGTTCCGCCACGTTCCCCCAAATCGAGCACTGCTGATTGAAAATCATCCCATTGCCAGGAATTGCAGCAGTTTTATTATGTTTTAATCAATGATTAAATATTTACAACTTAATGAAATAGTGTAACGTTTACCATATAGCATTACATGTAGGGACTAAAACTAAATCATTACAATAATTAATTAAACCATAACAAAAACTAGTTCTGACAAAAATCTTTGAACTCTGGATTTTGTAAAAACTGAGTATATTAAACAGGCAAATAGAGAAGATATGTATAAATTAATTGTTATTAAAAAAACATTAAGTATAATATATTTTATTATTCGCTCAAACCAATTCAAATTTTTATATAAATGACATCATGACTTTTGACACATTTTGTTGTGAAAACGACAAACTTTAAAATTAGCGAAGTAAAAATCTGGTAACCAGGCAAAATATTTTCTCAAGCTAATCAGAGATAAAATTAAACCCGTTTGACATTAGCCTCTTGACTTTACCAAAATTTACCTTGCAAAAATACACAACGCTGTCGAGCATCCCTCATTATCCATCGAGTTGTTATCCTAGGCACTAAAATATTAAAATAGCTTGGATAGCGATATCCATTATTTGGTAATGTATATGTAGGATCACAGGAAGTATGGAGTGGTGACCCTGGAGGGTATAACTCTATCTGAGTCCGGCACAGCGTAGAACAGTTTGGACTCCTTGTTGTCAACGTCCTTTAACTCCAGGATGGAGGCGATGTTGCCACAACGATAGCAATAGTTGGGGGCCGACCACACTGTCACCAGCTTGTCGTCAAACATGTATTTGTAGCCTGTAAAAAAGATCGGAATGACTTATTATGTAAGCTGTAAAAGATACTTTAATACTTTAGTTTGAAATGGCGACCATACGAATGTAGGTATATTAAGCCAAGTATGAATGGAAATGAGTATAGGATGAGTGGCAAGATCTTATACTGTTGTGAGTGACTAAGGCCGAAATGTTCCTTTGACACAGCGGTTAGTTAATAGCCCATACAGCCAATGGCAATTAAGGGACCTACAGTTTATAATGGAATTCGAACCACATTTTTGCCTTGTAATTAACAAATTGGTTTAATTATCAGGATAGTACTGCGGATCCACAGTGCATGCCGATAAATATCCACAATTCGTGACCTCCTAGCAGCTGGATTACAGGACAACGCCACCGTCCCAGTCATGATAGATGTTTCATTACTAGATGAGGATGCAGCTAAGTTGTATTCAAACCCAAACATGAATTAAAGACGAATGGGATAGTTATACAGTTATGTGACTGATAAAGCTCGCTGACTTGTTTTAGCCCAATGTTCAAGGACATAATGGTCCAGTTTGGAACGATCTAAAAATGGCAAGACTCTTCTCAGGTTTGAATTGGCGACCAATTGTTAGGTGAGCAAAATTTAGTTGTAACCACTCAGCTAAATATACATTAGGTAGTAAAAGTTTGCAGAGGTGTCACTGTAACACACCTTCATGGACGAGTTGGTGAGCTCGACAGATGAGTTTGAGCTTGTTGATATCCATGAACTCGTGGGTGACTCGAGATCCAAACAGCCAGCCTGCGCCTCGAGGTGAGATGTTCCAAGTCTCCACATCCTCAGGGTCCGACCAGACCAGGTCACAGAACGCACCTGTACAACATAGGGAACACAACTAATCACTCTGTTGTGAAAACCCTCCATGAAGTGTTGGAGAGACTTCCATCCAGGTAGACAGGTTCTATTATCACAAAGACATTCAATCTTAGGTCCTTGTGCTCCCAAAAAGTGTGTAACATTCATGAATGCTTAACTATTTTTTAGTTTCATTAAATTTACTACAATACAAAGAATTGGAAACATATATTTTTAATTACAAATGGCCAATAACTGGTTCCATACGCTAAACAATAGCTCCAAAAAGTTATACTCATTAGAACTTGGATAACTTAAACAGAGGAACCATTACACAAAAGTTAGATGAGTTCATTAGTAACGGGTTTAGGACTGAACAATTTTATTCTAAATCATTTCTAAGCCTTTTTTTAACATCATTAACCACACGACCACAGCTACCTTGGTAAAGCAGTATTTATTCACAAACAATCATATGTTTACTGCCTTTAGGAGAGTTAAACCTCTGGAATGATACAAATTATTTATTAAAAATAACATCAACAAAAGTAAAGACAGACAAACAACAAACTTTTTTACACAAACGATATTGTGTATAGGGATAACTATTCTTACACATAGATGAATCAATTCTGGGTTAGTTTAAATATTACAATAATTTGTTTTAAATTTGAGATTTTTAGGGACTTATGTCCCTACAAGCCACTAGTATTTTATAATTTATTTAGTCTATTTGATTTTAAAAGTCTGAACAATGGCTACACAGACACACAAAAACCCACAATAATAATATCAAATAATAATATTTAGTCAACAGTATTCAACAAGGGTGCGCAAGGGGGGGGGAGGCAAGTGTGCAAGCTCCGAGACAACCGACTAATGGCATAGCAGAGGCATTATGTGATCAGCTGTTATGTGAAGAGTGTGACAAGAAATGAGATGGAGAAGAAGGCAATGATTTTCCCTAGGTCATGTTGCATGCAGTATTAGGCTTTGGAACAACTAAACTATAAAAACCTCTAAATAAACAACCCAATGACCAACATTTATGAACAATTACAACAACAAATATAAGACTCGCCGAATTAACGTGTGATTAACTTACTCACCTTTGTATGGTATTTCCTGATTCCTATCAATTGTTCTTATCTCATCCAAAGTTTTTATGTCAGGAGACAATCCGCCGTGGACGCAAAGGACTTGTTCATCTACAAGCTAAAATTAACAATATAAATTAAAATTAGACAAACTTAAACTTAACTTAAACTTGTCAATGCACTTTCTTGGCTTCTTCAATACCTTCTAGCCTCCAAATTAATTTTAAATTTCTTTTTTTAACCAAAAATAATTAATTTTGAAGAACAAGTCTTCTATTTATTTTTTTACTAAAACAGAGGTTGTGCCTAAAATGTACATTGTGATAAACTTGTCAATTACATGTTTTTTATAAACCTTAAAATCATAACAACAATCTTGACTCTTGGTTCAATGCATTAGAAATCTAGGTACCCTCAGTATGGACAGGCAAAGAAGGATGTAACTCATAATTGTTGCAATATAGAAAATAAATCATTAAGTTTTTTACAAAATTTCAAAATTTAAGACTGTTAGTGCCAGTATTATAATTTAACATTAAAACAGTGCAAGCTAAAAATCCTAAAACAGAGTGTCCACCAGGCTAAAAAAAAAAAAAAAATATATGAGTAATTCCTGGTCGTTTAGGTCATACTTTTCATACCAAACTTTCCAACATGTTATTGCATCAACTCCCGCAATGCTGTTTTACGATAACGTAGTTCGCTATTTTAGTTGTCAAGAAATGTATTCTCAATTGAAGGAACAAAATTTATGATTACTGATATTGTCTGACAAAAGTATGCAATTTTTAAATATTACTCTGATTAAATAATCAGAAAATTCAAAACTAATTCTTAAACCTGCAATTTATTAATAACTCCTTAAAAAATAGTGATGTAAATACCAAAATTAATCAATTCCCAGTACTAATACCTAAAAAATAGGTTTCAATTCCGATAATTTTAATTTTACCAAATGTTTTGTAAGGATTACTACACCAACCTCTGTCTTTATATAGCAAATTTAAGTTTTAAACCCTTCCAAACACAATAAATACCATTATAAAGGTAAATGTAGATATTACATAATGAAAATATTTAAATAAAACTTTGTTATAACTAAAGGTGCGCCATCCTGAATTTTTTGGCCAAGCCAAACTCGAGGTAATATCGTGATCATCTACCACTGTCGAGACTTGTCGAGAGACAAAATCATAATTTTCAACGATCACTGCAGAATCTTGGTTGAGGTTTATCCTCCTCAATAACAGAAATATCCATATCCTGCGGCCATTTGGACATCATATCGTCTCCTGCGGTCACGGAAACGTCATCAGTGATGCGTGACCACGATAAATTGAAATATTTCTGGTTAAAATACAAAATCTTTGGTTTTCCCCGGTAAAAAAAAAAATCACACACAATTCCCGATTTTCCAGGTCCATGGACACCCTGTAGAAAATCACTTTTAACAAAAACACGAACAAATATCCATGAAATCTTACTGCAGCTATGGTGAGGAGATCGAAAACTCTACAGCAATACCTCCATGCGTTTGCATTTCCATACTTGGTTTGACACTCGTCTGAAAAATAAAAATAAAGTTAACAAACACCATACTTATATGGTTAAGTTTTGAAATTATTTTATTTAGATTTTTTAATATTTAGATTTAAGTTTTATAATGCATTGACATTTGTCCTGTCATTTTATGATGTAATGGCATTCTGTAAATAAATAAATATAGGCCTAACTCAATGGCACCGCTGGTTTTGGTTACCAACTGCCCGCACTAGGCTATCCAATCACCTTATCATCCCAGGTTTGCCCATGTGACTTAAAGGGCTTGAGCAGGAAACCCACTAGTCCGATGCTCTCCAATCCGATACCTTGTCGGACGTCAGATCTGATTTTTCTCCAGTCTGCGTGCAACAGGCCTAGATTAGTCACTGTCTAACTTCGTGTGTGACATGAGTATTAACGAGCGTTTTGAACGAAGCAGTTTGGGAGCATCCCTTTCTGAACATATTCTGATAACGCCTTAAAAAATGCGGAAGGTGTCGGAGACTTGTCAGATCGGAGAGCGTCGAACTAGTGGGTTTCCTGCTTTACTGAACCGGTACTTCACACTAATTTTAGCTTCTTACAATCTTTAGACTAGGCCTATTCGATTCATAAATAGTAAAAAGTATTCTTCATATCATATACGGTAGGATTGTATGTATAAAATATACAATTAGGATAGATTATCAATCTTTATTACCCTACTGTCTTCAATATACCCACACCAGTGCAAAATCAAACGTGTTTATTTTACTAACTCCAATGACAAGTCATTGTTATCCCTTCCCAGACGGCCTATAGGTTTTAGGATGTACATAGAGATTGCAAAATGATTGTATTTAAATAGAAACAAAAAAATATATTTTTATATCCATAATTTATACGTGTACTGGTGAAAGTACAAAATGAAGTATAATTAATTGATAGAATGTTGTAAAAAGTTGACCCATGCAGCGCTTTAGTCTCTAATTTTTTTTTCATTTTATTATTTTTTATTAGGCCTACCCTACATTTTTTAAATTAATTTTCTTATTCTCCTAGAAAAACATTATTAGTACATCGATTAAAGATATAATTGAATAAAAGGACGTTTTTAAGATATATCTGCCATACACGGAGCTCAAAAACAATGCACAAAATACTAGCGGATATATCAGCCTATAGTTCGGGAAGGGTTAATACTTTAACTTACTACAAAAACGTTTAGCTCAGAAATGCAATGGGCTTACCATAAAATCCGTAAACCTGGGTGATCTGCCTCGACTCATGATTTCCTCTCAGTAAAGTAATTCTGTCCGGCCACCGAGCTTTTAAAGTAAGCAGCCTAGTGAGGGTTTCCAAGCTGTAGTAGCCACGATCCACAAAGTCGCCCATGAATATGTAATTTGTATCAGGAACTTGGCCTCCATTTCTAAATAACTCTTCTAGATCATAAAACTGTAAAACATATCACAGCATTTCGTTAGTGTATAAGGAAAAGTTTTATGACCAAGCAACTTTAAAGTAGTATAAATAAGAAAAATATTACAAATACAGTGAATTACTACTAGGCATTAAAATAAATAGATGTTTTGGTTTTAGAATTAATAATAAGGCTATTTTTATTTTTTTAGACCCTAAGGAACAGTACCTAACTTCACTTTCAAAACCTAGCTAATAGATCATGATCATTTTTAGATGTTATGCAAAAATGTTTAGGTACTAGTGTTTAATGTAGAGTAAACATGTTATAATAAGGCTAGAGAAAATAAAAATTAAAGAATAAATTGGCTCTCATCTAAAATTTTCCTTTCTAGCCTGACTTAGCTCATAGCTTAATACTGATTCTGAATTTTTTAAACTACTCATGCTCTAGTTTCCTTGTGCATGTCTTAAAACTCGCTGCTAAATCTCTAACGTCATGTCAATCATCCAGCATCATTGTTTTTATGTTGTTAAAAAGTTTAGTTTTCATCAGCGGCATTTTGCCCTCTTCACACGTTTTCCCTTGCACAGCTTAGTCTTGTCCAAACCGTTATCACAACTATTCCATTAGTCAAGGGCGCATAAACTTTAATAAAAGTAATTTGCCTGTAAATAAATGATTTTTCATTTAATTTCAAAACGTTGATTTCAGTTTATATTTAAACTAAGTTAAAGTCGCTTTTTATGATTGACAGTGGGGCACTAGCCAGACGCGACCGGCGGCTTAGTAAGTTGGGTTAAATTTGAGTTTTTAAAACAAGGCTAAATAGCACGCAGCGCCCCTACAAACCACAAATACAAGCGTCCTCAATGTGCTCTGCATTGTTATGGGAGCTTTTGTACCCAGTGACCAGCTACAGCGGCACTTGTCATAACTTAGATGCCAAAATTATCAAATCCCTCAAAAGTGGAGAAGTTTAATCCTGATAATTTTAGTGATGCACGATCAAAACAGTGTTTACCTTACAGCTAAGCTATTAAGGAAAGTTGGCCAAATACAAAGTTTACCAAATAGGTAGTTTTGTAAAGGTGATATGCTATACAAGTTTTTGAATACACAACCGTTAAGTTAGATTGTGTTACCAAGCTACTGGCTACTTGATTTATCCGGTGAGCCAGTGACTTTTACAATGTCTTTTCGTCTGTAGGCCTACAGTGCAATGCCAAGTAATAAGGGCTCAAAGCCTGTGGATTAAACAATTGGTTGGCATTTTTTGGATCAAGCGTAGGCCTACAAAATACAGTAGGCAAAAGAAGACCATTCAAAAAAATAGTAGTCTATGAGGAGCAACCTAACTGCACTACGACTACTGGGGATAACTTACAGGTCTGATTTACCAAGTGCATACCACGCATTATCAACCATCTTAAGTATTTAGGCCAATATGTAGGCCTACAATACAAAAATTATATTTACGTATAAATAGATTAATACAAAAGATAGTCAACTAACCTGACCATGAATATCTCCACAAACTGTAACAGGGGTTGATACTGGTTGGATGTTGGATTCTTCCAGAAGCAAATCACAAACAATATCACAAAGTTGCTGAAACAACAAAACAATTTTAGCATTAATAAATAGGTTGCTTGAGGATATAAACAAAAACTAACGTATAAGTTATGCTTAAGGGTGAGCTCTAAACTTACCTGTCCGCCCCGCGCAAATTCAAATTCAAATTCAAATTCAAATTCTTTATTTACTCATCACATCTTATAATGCACAAGGTACAAAAGATTGGAGTGTCGTCAGAATATAAACTAAAACTAAAACTAAACTAAAAATAATAAAGTTAACATAAGTAAAATATCTCATATAACTAGAAAAGACCTTATCATTCAGCGTATCAGTTTAAAAAGTATCCTTAAAAAACTCTTCTACAGTGTAGTATGGTTTTTGTAAGAGAAGTTTATGTACAGATGTAAGGGCTAAGTTTTTGGAATTATTTTTTTGTAAAATGCTGTACAATTTATTATAAACTTTTACTGCCATGTATTTTGGAGAGTTTTCATAGAATGAAAGCCTATGCCGAGGAAATTTCAATTTGTTCTGATGTCGTGTTGGATAGGTATGGTTGAATTTACAGTCATCAAAAATTTTAATATCATTAAACATTAGTTTAACAATTTCAACTATGTAAAGATTTGTAAGTGTTAAGATACCAATATCTTTAAATAAAGATCTGCAGCTTTTTCTTCTTTTAACTCGGGCCATAGTCCTCACTATTGATTTTTGAGCGTTAAAAAGGATTTTAGTTTGGGGCTGACATCCCCAAAGTACTATTCCATACCTAATTATTGATTCGATGTAGGCGTGGTATACCATTTTACATACATCCATTGATGTTGTATTACTAATTACACTGAGTGCAAACCTAAACGAATTCAACTTTTTGGACAGATATTGAATATGATTTTCCCATTTTAGTTTATAATCAAAGTGTATTCCTAGAACCTTGTGGGTATTGACTGATTTTAGCTCTCCACAAGATAAATTCTCCAACTTGTTTTTCTCACCATTTCTAATTTTAAAGTGCATTAAGTGGGTTTTAGAATCATTCATTAAAAGACCATTTTTGAAAAACCATTTTTTTAGTTCATCCACAGTTGTTTTAATTGATTTTTCTAATTGCTGAAAATCATTGTTTTTTACCACGACATTAGTATCATCAGCATACAAAAATAAACTACCACTTATATTTGAATCAAGGTCATTAATGAAAATCAGAAATAGCAATGGTCCCAGAATAGAACCTTGAGGTACACCATAATGGACACTATCCCATCTAGACGGAAACCGTTTGTTTTGTTTGTAAACTACTGTGCGCTGTTTTCTATTTAGTAAGTAGTTTGAGAGAAGACCTAAGACCTTTTCTCTTATACCAATGTTTTTTAGTTTGTAGATTAAAAGTTGATGGTCCACACAATCAAAAGCCCTGGACAGATCACAGAAAACCCCCGCAACACTCTGTGATCCATCCAGAGCCTCCGAAACTGAGTTGATAAATTTAGTGAGAGCCAAGGTTGTTGAATGATTTCTTCTAAAGCCAAATTGAGATGGCGACAGTAAATTATTATTTTCTAAAAAATCAGTTATGCGATGGTGAATCAATTTTTCAAATATTTTAGAAAGATTACTAAGTAGAGAAATAGGCCTATAGTTTTGTATATTTGTTTTTGATCCTTTTTTGAAAATAGGTTTCACTTCTGAAAATTTGAGCTTATCGGGAAATTCTTCATTTAAAAAACTTTGATTAACTATTTTGCTTAAAACTGGAGCTATGATGTGTTCTGACAATTTAATGAGTTTGATTGGAATTTCATCCCATCCAACAGCAAGGGAATTGTTTAGACCTCGTATTATTTTAATGATTTCTAATGTGTCTGTGGGTTTGAATTCAGTTAATGTTTTAAGAGATGTATTACAAGCTACATTAGTGTCTGTCACCGGAACTTTAGGGATTTTGAGATAATTAACTGTGTTGACATAATGATGATTAAAACAGGTAGCTACGCTTTGTGGATCTTTAATCAGATTGCCGTCCATCTCTAATTGAATTTCTTCTGTAGGCATTTCTCTAGTTTGTCCTATTTCCTCTCTGACTATGGTCCAGGTAGCTTTCATTTTGTTATTTGAGTCTAGAATAAATTTATTATTAGCTACCTGTTTACTTTTATGAATCGCGTTTCTAAGATCTTTTTTACAATTTTTATAGTCTAATTTACATTGTACATTATTTGTTTGCTTAGCTAATTGATACAATTCTTTTTTCTTGTCAGCTAATAATTTTATTTCATTAGACACCCAAGTTGATTTTGAGTTTTTCTTGGTTTTTCTTGATATTTTAAGTGGAAAACATTCATACATGGTAGTAATAAATACATTTAAGAACCAGTTATAGCTACTATTACATGAATCAAAAATAAAAAAGTTTTGCAGCCTATTATTAAGTAGAAATAAAAATTGCTCACAACCACTATCAGTAAAAAATCTTCTAGGAATGCTAGGAGTACACTGTTTAGTCTCAGGTAATGATAAAACCAAGGCATTATGATCTGAAAGACAGTGCTTAATATTATACAGTAGAGAGCCATTATAATTCTGACTTGATATAAAGTTGTCAATACAGGAAGTAGTATTAACTGTTGTTCTGGTAGCTTCAAAACAATGTATATTATAACCATATCTACTAGCAATATTCTGAAATCGGTCTGAATTTGTATTCCTAACCAATAAATTTATATTGATATCTGAAGCAATTAAAATTTTAAAACATTTCTTTTCTTTTGATAGTAGTTTGAACAAATTATTAAGCTTCCTTAGAAATTCCTTTGTAACTTTATTGCCAGGTATTCTATAAATTGACACTATTATTAATGCTAGTGAATTAATCTGAATAAATGATCCTTCAAATACATATTCATCATTAAATATCTTTAAATCATTTCTTACAACATAAGTCAAAGAGTCGTGGACTAATATACAAGAACCTCCCTCCGATTTTTCCCTAAAATAACCATCTGCCAAGCTAAAGTTTAACATTCTGTTAAGCAAGTAGCTACTATCTTTTTTTACACAGTGCTCATTCATACATATAATTTTAACATTACAATCTTTTAAATTTAAAATAAACAATTCTAGTTCTTCAACTTTTTTATTTACTCCTTGGAGGTTCCAATGTAGAATTGCATCTAATTTCTTATAACAGTTGTATTTTTGAGGCAATGTTACTTTTGTTAATAGTGTTTGCTGGTTAATCAAATTATTTGCTATATCTGCAGTTTCTGTTTTTTTTCTGGGCAAATTTCTAAAAAAGGAATATTTGATGAAGCAACACCATCACCAGAACCTCCATTGTAAACTTGACTAACATTACTGACTACACTGACATTTGCACTGCCCTGTATCACTGCTTCCACATAGGAATGTGGGCCAGGAGCAAGGTGTGGGGAGGGACTTGCACTTGGACTGGGCATAACAGCCTGCACTTCACTTGACACACACATGATGTTGTGGAGGGTCGGCTGGGAAGTCTCGTGCTGTGGTTTGTCTAATGAGTCGTCATCCATCTGATGTTGGTTGGTGGGAAGTAGCATCATAGAGTTTCCTGACGTGTGCTTTGTAGTTAAAAGTTTTAATTTTTGTAAAAATTGACTGTAGGGCTGGCCTCTCCAGAGATTTCTCGTTGGATTCTCCTCTTGTAGTAGTACTATGTCAATGCAGGCACCAGTTGATTCTTGGAATTTAATTATATTTTCAGCAAAATGCTCCAATTTTATTTGGTCTCTTATGCAACCCATAGGGGAACATATGAGGTGCTTGAGACCCCTCTTCTTGAAATCCTGGGTCAGTGCATGAAATGCTCGATCATAGTTAGCTTGTGATGGTTTTCTGAAAAACTGGCTCTTTGTGATTAGACTATATACCCCAGATTCCCCTTGTCTTCTTTGGTAAGCCAAGCACGAGTGTATTCTGTCTGATGGTGTTGGCTTTCCAAAGTGGCTCTTAAATACCAGTGCAACACCCTTTGACATATTTTTTACATCATCAGTGTCAGCTGATATGCAGTGTGCAAAAGCCGTTGATGTATCCTTGCAGTATTTGTTTATCATAGCTGCCATGTCTGCTTCAATAACGTGGATGTTGTGTGGATTGCATTTGGTCTTTAAGGCATCTTGCGTAGGTGAAGTATATATAGTTTTAACTAAGTTTTGAATTGTAGCTTGACTATCATTTTCTGTTCTTGTACCTTTACTTAGCCAAGAGAATATGGAGTTGCAGACTGTAGTTTTCCCTTTCAGGTTTAGATGTAGTCCATTTTTTGTATAATGATACTTCTCATTTAGTAGGTGGTTGAAAATGAGAAATTTAGCATTACTGTGTATTGATAGCGCTAATAGTTCTGAGTTGCATTTTTCTATTTCAAAGAACTTTCTGCCATCGTACGGTTGATGATATAAATATGGCAGTTCAGTCAATACAATCTCAGCCTTGAATGCTTTTATCATCTTATCTAGTTTTATAAGAATATTATGTTGATGTTGAGAGTCTGTTTTATTAGTTCCGCCTATAAGTATTATTCGGTCATTTTTATCAAACTTGTTTATGAGTCTCTCTAATTGGGTTAATACATAATCAAAAGATGCTCCAGGATAATAAGTTGATGTGACGTTATGTTGTGGAAACAGTGGAGTTAGGAGCTGTACAAAGTCTCTAGCGTGGCTGTCACCTGTTACATACAGCGTGGGCTTTTTGGTTGATTGTTTGTTTGTAAGTTTACTTTTATTTTTATCTTTTAAGTTTGCTGGATCCACTGGAATAGTTTTCTTGTGCTCAATGGTAGATTTCTGAGACGCTGTAACTTTAAATGTATTTTTTTTGGAACATTTTTTATGGATCTTTTGTCGATGTGGAGTTTGTTGCTTAAGAACAGTCTCCTTTGTATTATTTGAAATTTCTCCTGTTAGTTTATTCAATCCTTTATCCGGGTGGTTTGTTTTAGCTATATCTGTTTCTGATTTGCCTTCGAGAATTCCATATCTATTGGATAAAGTGATAGAACTATCTCTTGTTTTTCGTTTTGGCTTGCAACATCTGTGTTTTCTGGAAGCAGAGTGAACAGCTTGCCAGGAGTTCAGATTTATTTTCCCTTTAATTCTTTCCTCTTTTTTGCCATATAGGTGTCCATTACATCTACTATCTTCATTGTAGTTCTTGAACATTAGTTCCTTTATGAGCGCTGAATCTAGATCATTTGTATCAGAGCTTAGCCATAAGTATGACAGTACTGATCTTTTGTGTATTACATCCTTAGTGACTATGTTGGGCATTGTGTCTTCTTTGAAGTTGTTATCCAGAAGAACAGAAGTAATAATCCAATCTACCATCAGGAGCATATAAATTCCACAGTCATAAGAGTTCTTTTGCTGGGGAGAGTTTAACACTTTAAACATAGGATTGTTTAGGCTCAAACTTTGTGATAGTTTAGTAAATATCAACCTGGCTGAATCTACATTCTGTTGATTTATAGAATCGATGTAATAAAAAGTATTAGCTGCTTTATTATAATACAAAAGACTCCAGTGCGACCCTGACACGGTGACAGAAACTCCAGCATCATTTACTGGAATGACAATGTGTGATTTCTCGTGAAGTTTGAGTGGCTCTACAATACACTTATAATCATCTAAAGCTTTTATGGCCTGTGAGGCAACTGGACTAAGAAGAAAGCAATTATCTTGGTGTTGTATGACTGTGTTGGTAATTATCTGAAAGTATTTTTGAATCGTATCATCAGTAACCCATTCATTATTCAATAAAGAAACTATGAAGTGTAGTCTTGATTCAGTTTGTGTTATTGCATCTTGCTTTGAGTTGGTCCTGTCATTCACAGAAGACTTGTGTGTTTCATGTTCAAAATTATCATCATGCTTATTGTAGCTCTTCAGTTCCATCTCTAAATTAGGGATTTTTTTGCTGTTGAGTTTATCACGGTGGCCCATTTCTTTTATTAGTTGTTCTTTTTCCGATACTATCTTACTCCTTTCATTTTCCAGTTGTAAAATAAACTCTTCATAAGTTTGTCTTTCTTGTTTCATTTTTGTAGTTACAGTTTCTAGCTGATGTAATACAGCTTTCTCCTTAAAAACAAACTCTTCGGTTAGGTTGTTGATTTTTTCCTCAAGATCTTTGATTTTATATTCTAATTCTATCTGCTCTTTACTTTTTGACATTTTTAAAACATGTATATTTTGTTTGAGTTTTTCATTTTCCTCCAAGAGAAAGTTACCAGCTTCAGCTGCAATGGTCAGTGATTTTTCAAGGTCTCCCTCTTGTAAACTCAAATTTGCAATTTGTTCTTTTACAGATTCAATATTCAATACATTTTCATTAGAAATACACGTTTGGCATTTCCAGTCAACTATTTTGCTATCACAAATATGTTTGAACTCCATTTTAGTAAGGGTAGTGCATTTTTGATGATACCATAGACCACAATCACCCCTACATAGTATAGCTGAAGTTTTAACTTCTTTTGTACAAACACCACATGGATAGTTATTGTTCTTGGCCGATTTCATTAATTATATTTGATTAAAATATCTTAGACAAAAATATAATCTAATATTAGCCAAAACTGATCTCATGAATAGATGTTGGAGGTAGAATATCTACATCTAAGTCCCAAGAGCTATGCAAGTTCACAAAATACTTGTTAAAATTTATTTCGATGTTTATATAAATTTTTTTTTTATATATATATATAATTATATACACATTTGTGAGAAGGAATATTAATAGGTAACTTCCTCGATAGCAGTGTTTGTAAACATTGAGCTTCACTCCGATACAGATGTGCTTATCACAGGTGAGTACAAAGTTCAGTTCACCTGTACCTCGACCTGGTCCCTCCTTATCTCTCAACCTTATCACTGTTGAAGAATTTTCATGAAAATCCTAATTATTTTAACGTTAAAATGTCAATTTGTAGATAAAAATATTCTTCTTCACCCAAAGGTGTTTATAGATTACTCAAGAAAAAGTTTATCTCTACCTTTACATACCAAAATGATGGTTTAAAAACTGGGATTTACCACTGAAATATACGAAATTCAAGGGAGCACAAAATCACATGTTCACCTGTCTTCTCATATCCTCTAAAAATCAATGCAAATGCAAGGGTTTAGGATCTCCGTCAATGTTGTCTAAGTTCTTAACTTAGCCAATTGAAAATGTCAATGTTAATTTATTCATTTCTTATTTTTGTAGGCTTGTATCGTCATTTTTTTGTAGGCCTAATAGTAACTTTTAAGTGGGAAATGACTGGTAAATACTTCTAAATAGGCTAAGTTTTTTTCTAACCCTAGCATTTTACACATACAAATTAAGGCAAATATTTTATATATCAACGCGATATCCTCTAATTTTTAGATGTCTACTTACAGTTTTTATCTCGCTGAATCCGAAAATGCGATCAGTTTTTGTCGGAGAGATTCCTAAGTGGCCTTAAAACGAAGGTTAAAATTACAAATCTAAGGTTCATTGAGCGGAATTGAAGGTAATATGGCGTGGTCTGGACGGGTCCGTATGTGGACTGAGGACTGAGTGAGGAGGAGAGCAAACAGCTGTCTATACTCAACTTATTGCGGAATGAAATCAATTCGTTTTGAAACCAAATAATCAGTTCTTATTTAGGCATGTGAGGAAGGTAGGTCGGGTTTTAAGCGGATTCGTGACTGTATTAAGTGTTTTAAAGTGAGGTTAGATTAGGAAGGTAATGGTTAGGTTATAATGAACCGACTCATTAATTTAGGCTACCTCCAGACTGTTTTTGCACAATTGAAATAGTGAGTGAAACACAATGAAATAACACGATCAAAAATGCTTACGCATTTTTTATATCGTTGTTTCATTGCGTTTCACCCACTATTAAACTGTGCAAAAACAGTCTGGAAGTAGCATAAATTAAATAGTCGGTTTATTATAACCTAACCTTTAACTTACCTAATCTAACCTCTCTTAAAAGGACTTAATGCAGTCACGAATCCGCACAAAGTCCGACCTATCTTCCTCACATGCCTTTTCTGACATAAAATGTGATTTAAAAATTAATATTAAGGTTGGATTGGGTTGGGTTAGGTTAGATTAGATTAGATTAGCTGAGCTTTGTAATAAATGGGTTTCAATAATAACTTTTTAACTGCAGTATGTCTTAGGGCTAAAGAAAACATTGTTACCAAGCATGGAATCTCTCATTGTTGGGGTTTCCTTATTACACGTGTAATATTATTCAAATTAGTTGCTGAATACATTAAATTACTTATGCACTGTGGCATGTTTCCACATTTACGCACAATGGGATTATGGGATTATGCACTAGGCCTATGCTAAGTCTATTAACAGACGACGTTGAGGGTTGGAATGAGGACGATCATGTCGGCAGTGACCTAGCTTCTATTACTGGTATTTTACGAGAGTAAATTCAATTTGTTTAAATAATTTATGTTGAAGTGATTAGTAAATTATGTATCGCAGTTGATTTATTGTATTTTGTAAACGGCACCAAAGTCCATTTGCTTTTCCAATTCGAATTAAGTTATTGCATATTGTAATTATGATTTTGCTCTCATGTCGTCGTGGACTTGTCCAAACCACAAATATGTGAACAACTCAACAAAACTGAAGCTTAATATAAATTATTTAAACATACAGCCACTTAGGAATGTCTCTGACAAAAACTGATTGCATTTTTGGATTCAGCGTAAAAAATACTCTAAGTAGATATCTAGAAATTACATGATATCGCGTTGTAGACATAGACTATCAAATAATTACCTATATTAATATTTAGAAGAGAATAAAAACGATCAACCTAGTCATAAATTTCAATCTAAAGAGTAAGGAATATCCTTCAGATGAAACAAATTTTAAAAGTTAACTGAGTAATTTGAGAGGACATAAAACATCTGAGGCAAGGGCTTGTCACATAGTAGAACCTCTTTAATCCGAACTAATTGGAACCGAGGGTAGTTAGGATTATTGAATAGTCTGGATTACAGAACATATTGTTGTTTTTACATAACAAAGTTAGCTGGAAAAGTGAAAAATGCTTTTTTAAGTAAAATACAGTGTTTATTTAATACAGTAGTAGACATAAGGAATCAGAAGGCCTACTATACATTACAATTGAAATAACTACGGTGCTTATATCAATAAATGCAGTATACATACAATATAGAACTACCTACTGTACTGTGTATAGAGTACAGCAACGAGGCATTCGGATTAGTGGACGTTCGGATTATAGGGGTTCGGATTAAAGAGGTTCTACTGTACTGAAGCCCAAGCTGAGCACCAGCACACCCTTAACACAACTAGCCTAGGCCTAGTACCCAAAGTAACTTGTTTTCACTCTGGCCTACCTTACAAGGGCTATACAAAGCCCTTGTAGGGAGGCCTCTAGACTAAAAATCCAAATTTAATCGTGTGTAATTTATTTAACCTAAATGCAGGAGACTACAATCATTGAATTTTGAGCCCCATAGGACAGAAAAATCTAGCTTCCCCATAACCCTACCTTCAAGTAAACCTATGAGTAAAGTTAGGTTATACCACTCAAACAATAACCACTTATAGCTTAAAAAGAACATTCTTGAGAGGCTGGTGGAAAAAATTAATAGAAATATTAAATGACATACTTTTAGGTCGTTTTCTGGCAAGTATTTACACTGTTTAGCAATTTCAATCCATTTATCCACATCCGAGGAATGTTCAGACATCTTGTACTTGTAACTTGTTCAGTTGTAAATTTTACAGTTCAGTTGTTCAGTTCAGTTAGATTGGAGTTGAAAGTTGAACCTGGGGCCCTATTTTTGAAATGGTTGACTGTTGAGTTGAGTGTCGAGTCATTCTATTTCCAATCGTTTCGTATTTTTGAAACGGTTGACGGTGGACTTATACAACCAAAACTACTCAACACCTATCGAGCTGTTGAGTGGAGGTTGACTGCACTTTCTTCTTCCTCTCTTTCGGCAAAAAATTACTCTTTTTGAGACGACGCCATATTGTTTTGTTATTGCTTTAATTTACTAATTGCGATTTAGAGGTTATGTATTTGTTGTCAATGTAATAGCACCCAATTATGCGATTGTTTTCTGTAGAATAATCGCATTTCAATTTTATTTACTGTGTCAATACTAGACTATTTAATCAAGGGTTTTAATCTTGTTGGAATGTTTGAAATAGACTAGGCATACTAATTGAACTTATTATAAGATAATTATTGTTATTAGACCTATGATTTAAGGTATTAAAGATTGTGGTAGAGAGAAACAATATCATAGTTTGTTTCAATACCATTCACCTAATAAATGGATCAAATTAATTTAAGTTACGATATATGCTTCCAGTGCAATGGCAAATAGCCGCTTTAACCTAAATAAAAAACAATTAAAAATAACATAAAACAAACCGATGAAGGAAACTAAAATAAGGTGATGTGTTCCGAAATAGAGACGAAGAAAGCAATTAATTAATAATGTATTTAGGATTAGTGTAGGACCTAAAGTAAAGTGCAGCCTATGCCTAAACTTATAATTAGCTACACCCTAAAACAAACATCCATAGTAAATTTTATTTTTAATACTTAAGTTTAGCCTATATAAGTTAAGGTACTTTGCAATCACTAAGATTAAATTAAGCAAGACATAACCCATTATAACCTCAATCTCTCAAGAACGGAGTTGACAGTTTACCTCAGTGTCTCGAAATATGGCAGATTGAGATTAGCTGCCAGATTTTAGAGTAAGAAGAGGTTAAATCGAAGTCCGCAAGAACTCTGCATTGTGATTGGTTCAAAATCAAAATGACGTCATCTGAATTTTTGACGGTCGTATGCTCTACATTTCCACCACGAGTCTCTCAACTAGTGATTCCCAACTCGCTTCCCAACTGTTGGGTTTCAAAAATACCATATCATGTTGTTGGTTGAGTTGAGTGCTGACGATTGACTCAACTGTCAACCATTTCAAAAATAGGGCCCCTGAACCCTGAACCTCAAACCCTCAAACCTGCATCACGGTTAAACACTTCTTTCTTGATCTAAAAATAACTCTATGGCGGGATACGCCATAGAGTAAAACTCGAGTAATAGGTCTATTAAATAGGACCATAGATATGGTAGGACCATGGATTAAACACTTTGAAATGTTACAGCTTTATTTTTTTAACAAATTGCCCATTTACATAAAATATAAATTGTGTCAAAGTTATGTACAATATTCAAGATGTAAAAATTCATCCAGAAAATTTGTCCTCAAAAAAATTTATTTATATAATAATTCATTTCAACGGATACACCATTTACAAAATAATATGTGTTTTTAACACGTGAGCAGAATGAAAATATAACAATTGCATTGGAAATAACAAGAGAAGTTACATAGCCTAACCATTGAACAAAACAGCATTGCAAAAAAAAAAAAAAACAAGACAGAATAATAGTTTAGTCATATTCGAAAAAGCATCTAAATGTAAAAGGCAAAGCCCTCACTGACTGACTCACTCACTCACTCATCACTAATTCTCCCTCTTCCCTTTTACCTAGGAGGCTGAAATTCGGTACACCGATTCTTTGGGCATTAAATAGGAAAACTAAGTAGTTTTTATTCTAATCGGGCTTTCGGGCTCCGCCCCAGTGGCTCTGGAGTTTCCCATGTTAACCTTACGATTTTTCATATTTAAAAGGAATTTATTAACAGCTGTTTCAATTAAACAAGTTGGTTCTGTTCTATGATGTTCAATAGCATTAAAGTTACAAGGATTACCAACAGGGTGAAGCACTATTATTTTTTTTAATTTATGACTACAGCCAATTTGCAACCAAAAGGTGAGAGAGCGTAGCGAACGAACTTCAACCTGGAAGCGAGTTAGCGTAGCGAACGAGCTAACCTGAAGGCAAGTGAGCTCCAACCTAAAGATGAGTGAGCGTAGCGAACGAACTTCAACCAGAACGTGATTGAGCCATGCGAAAGAGCTCACTTGTGAAGTTAAACGGGGCAAAGCCCGCGGGTACAGCTAGTCTTACCATAAATCTGTTGCGTTTTATGGTTTTATACAAGGGATAAATTAATTGAAATTGTACCTTACAATACAAAAAAGAACAGTAACAACTGCACCGGAAGTAGCAACGACATTGCATGGGTTTTCTTCTTTCCCTTATCATCTCAAGCTTGTCTCAACAGAGTTATTTGAAAATTACAGCAATTATTGTTGTCGTAGGCTAGTAGTCAGTAGTCAGTGAGTAGAAGTTGAAAAATATACTTTCATTTGAGATTTTGGAGCATTTAATTTACTTTTTTCAATTGAACCAGGTAAAAATCCTGTATACCCTAACGTTTCATATTATACTTAGTGTCTAGGGCATTTAAATTCTTTTATAATTAGTTCATTTGTAAGTTACAAACTTTGAAGCACTCGAATTGTGTAAGTTAAGTAATTTAGAGTAAGCCTAGCATATCGTGATTTTTTAGGAGTTTTTTTATGAAATTACATTTCAGCACTGATTAGGGCCTATCACGTAGAACTAATTTGCTGCCTAAACCTGAATAAAAAAAAAAAACTTATAACTTAGGCTAGCAAATTTACATCTCTTTTGGTGGAGTAGCCTATGATTTTTATGCATTCTACCTAAAAAATAACTGAAGATAGGCTAAGTTAATTGTCAGGCTAAGTACAAACATATACGCAACCATATAAATACGAGTCTTTGTTCTGTCATTGAACACCATTAAGTTAAACATTTTTTTAAGTTACCGTACTCAGGTTCTAAGTTAGGTTTATTGCATAATTTAAAAACTAGATTTGGTGCATGTAGCCTACGTTATTTTAAGGCATGTTAAAAATTTAGACCCAACTAACTTCCCAACTGGAGCCATAACCTCCTCTAAAACGAGGCTATGATACTTGATACTTGAAGTCTTCATCTTTGACCAGCATAGCTGGATTGATTGCGTCAATGATTTGTTGGCTAGATATTGTCGCCAAAGTTGTCCTCAAAGTACTCCTTTGACAAGTAATTACCTGATGATTACTTCCTCTTCCTCTTTGACCAGCCAGGGCCGGATAGACAGCGTCAAACATTTATACCATAATAGGCTCTACCAATTTTGGTCTTGAAACTTATCATCCAGGCATATTATGGCGTTAGTGTGTGGCAAAGTTTCACACCACACGACCAGCCCATTAATTGCCATTTAACAGTAATAAAAAATGTGTCAACATTAAAAACATTGTGCAGACGCTCCATTAGGAATTAGTGTAACAGCTGTTTCATTCCAGGCCAGGACTTTGGCGTTGTCAATTTGATTTTGCCACGGCCTTGAAGGACTAGGCCTACTTTTATGGGCTTGGGTGCAAGAAAGAGGAAAATTCTCCTACAATGTAGGTGGAGAGGATGCGGTATATGCATTAAAATTTACGTAGAAATGTGCAATTGTCACTTAAATTCATGCAACAAAAAAAAAACTCGGATCCCCCTTTTTGCTGGGCGGTAGAATACCCCGGTAAGCCCAACGCCACTGTCGCCCAGTAGGAATCCCTTAAAATATTCTCTGTTATGTTATGCGGTATGCATTAAAAGATGCATTAAAAGATGCATTAAAAGAAATGTGTGATTTTCACTTCTATTTATTTGCAACAAAAACGCCCAGACCTCCCTTTTTGCTGGGCGGTAGAATACCCGGTAAGCCCGACGCCACTGTCGCCCAGTGGAAATCCCTTAAAATATGCTTTGGGAAAGGGGCGCAATTATCTCTTGGCATTATATGAAAAACTGCGGGCCTGCAGTATTGAATTAACTTAGAGGAGGTCATGCTAGAGCTTATCCTGAGTTTTGAAATAATAGGCTATCAAAAAATTAATATTTGTAGGCCTACCAACAAGTAATCTAAGTAAGTAAACTCATAAGATAGGCCTAAGTTACTTACATTAGTCCAAGAAACAGTGTTTTAATTTTTTTTTTTAAATTCCGAATGAATACTTGTAGTCCTACGTAAAATTTTTATTATCCGTGATTATAGAATTTTAATAAATTTTACAACATTCCAGTTTTTCCATTTGCTCTTTGGAGTTAGTATTCAAATGCCTTTTTGTTAACAGATGGATTGGGTTCACTGCAACAATTGTTATTACCGACCAGGTCATCAGCCAAAGAAAGAAATGATCTTAACGTCATGTGGTCACATATTTTGCAAGTGCTGTGAACGTTCAGGTAAATTCAACCAAATGTTAATTAGGCCTAATTATAAATTTTGGCTTATACCTACATTAGTGCCTAGGACTGTTTTGGCATTTGCGTAATTGCTGACTGAGTGTGTGAGACCTTTTTGTTAGACATTTTGTTTTAGTTTTATCAAAAAAGTATTGACTTTGTCTAAATAATGTGTTAAATTGTGTATTCTATTTTATATTTATTTATAATAATGGATGCAGGTTAAGTGTAAGAAAGGGCCATGTGGCCCTAACTTTGCCTGTTGAAATGAAGGATTTTTCATTTCATTACATTATTTTGTTTGTGTTAATGGTCTATTAATTAATATTGTGATTGGTACGTATTGTTTGAAAATAACCCAAAGTACACCTAGACATCTATTTCATTATATTTTGTGATTTTTCCTAAATGGAAGAAGCTGAGTTACTTGGATGGCTTGGTAAGACGTCTAGGTCTACTAGGACCATGTTATTTTTTAAAGTCTACTTTCCCAGTTTTTCTTTTTACGCTGAATTCTATGATCGGTTTTTGAGTATTTTGTCCTTTCTACCCCTAGCCTCTCACAAAGCCTATCCTATTTTCTCGTCCAAATCTACAGTCTTGGAACAATTCCATTGTGCATAGAGTCATAAACTTTGACTATTTTCAAACACTTAGGACTAAGGATTGTATTTTTGGATTCACCGAAAACAAAAAATACTTTATGTAGACACATAACAGTAAAATGTTTATTCAGTAAAATCATCCTTTGCTACTTTTATTTAGATGTCGCTAAAACACTACCTACCTATTTACTTAAAATTAAATAGGTCTTGGCTTATTTATTATGTAAGTCATACGTAGCGAATCAACTTTACTTGAATAAAAGTGAAGATTTTTGGTTATTTGGTAGGGGTACAAACAGTTTACCTTATACAGTAGGTTAATTACATAAATATTTTTATTTCCAGCACAAATAGAGCATTGTAAAATTTGTGGTGAAAGAGCCAACACAACAGCATTATCATCGCAGGTAAACATTGTAATTTAACAAAAATAATTTATAAACTTTTATGTTTAGTTTGTACATTTGCATTACATACATTTACATTTACAAAGTTTATTTAAAAATGTGTAAATGCTTTTGTCAAAACATGCTAACATTGACTGCCAAAAATTAGTTTGCAATTGGTAATTTTTATCTGCTCTGTTTTATTAAGATCATTTCCAAGACAGACAATAACAACCCATTTATATTTAGATGACTCTTAGGAATAGCTTCAGGGATTGAGTTAAATTTGTTTTAAGAATGACTCTCATGCATCTAAGGCTTAACATGTTGAGTGCGGGGGGGGGGGAATTCTCGTCCAGCTGTACCGGCACCACTGGCTCGGGGCGGGAAATATCACCCTCCTTGCATAACAACAACCAAATACATAGATTATCCTCCATTTTTCCTAATGAGTGGCCATTTTTTCCTGATGATTGGAGTGTCCAACCAAAATCGATCACCACTGTCCACTACTATCTTTTATATAGATACCTATATTTACCGACTCGTTAAAACAGTATACTTAGTATAAGTGTAAATAAGTTTCAAGTGTTATTATAGACGTATTTGTTAATAAAACAAAAAAAACTATTTAAACATAACAACATTACAACAATTATTTAAACATTTAAAATTAATAAAACATGCTAATTTAAAATTAAGAAGTTAGTCCCGGGGGACCGTGCCATGGCTCGATAATAGTTTTATTTTGGTTGTAAAAGCAATATAAAGTAAATTCACATTTTTACAACTAATTTTGGTTTTTTAAATTTAAGTTACAGTGGAGTTTCAATTTATTATGAATACAGCTGTCCAAATTATGTAAAATATAAAATACCCCCGCCGCAAACCAGCAGACTAAGCTAATTTCAACTTGTCTGATTAAATTTGTATTAAAATATTTCCATAAATAAGACATATTTATTCCCAATTTAAATAACATTAGATTTAACGAGTGCTTTGGTTTGCTGCTACGGGGAAGGTAAAACGTGTTTTTTGACGATACGTCAATAGTATAGGATGAAATAAATAAATTTACCAAATTTTATCAACATATATCCATAAACAAGTAAACTACAACAGTTTTCATTTTCTCCATAAGAATAACATGGGAATTTAAAATTACACTTTTTTTGAATTTTCTCCGCGACCGTTAGACATACAATGGTGCTTCAATATACTAAATTATTTCTTTTTTTTAAGCTCTACAAAATGTTTTAGGAAGAAATTGCAGAATTATTTGTTTTTTGGGTCAATTACCCCATAAAACCCCTAAAAACCCCCTGTTCCCATGGTCCGATTATGCTAGTTCGCGAACTCGTTCGAATAAACATAGGTTTACACATTTGTACCAAATGACATCGAAATCGGATAATTTTTGCTTGAGTTATCGCGCTAATGGACACACGAACATATATATATATATATGAATTTGAACGGATGGTGTTTTTGACTTCTGGGGACCTCAAAACAAAAAAGTAAATCGGTCCCGGGTCCAGGTCTTACCATGAGACCTACGGTAATAGCTTATTTCCTATGGGAAATTCGCTAAAAGAGTGCATAAATATTTAAAATCACCTTTAAAATAAGACACGAAACACTCATTACTTATCAACACTGACTTGCTCTTTTTTACCCTATATCGAGTAATATTCAATGAAATATTTTCTCAATGATAATTATCACTTTGTACCTACTGTATTTTATAATTTTCTGGTATACCGTTGATGGCTTGTTATAAACACATGTTTCAAGTCTTGTTTACTTTTTACTAAGTTATTTGGTTCAACCAACATAGTTACTTGGCAGCCCATAAGGCCAATGTTAAATTTTTACATTTTCAAATGAGTTGTGTAACGAAATACAATTTTTCCTGAGGTAGTGGCTGTCACCAATCAAGTTTTAAGGCCTATAAGTCCCTAATTCCAAAATTTAGTCAAAATCCTTCTGCTGGAATTCGGTATCTTATATTACAGACAGACAGACAGACAATCGGACAAAGTTTGTATTAGAATATAGGATTTACTTGATGTATTAATTAATGTTGTGGGTCATATTTTACATTTCTGTAACTTGCTTTGTACCCAGTTGTAGATTATATTGATCTAATTAGGTACATTTAAACAGACCGATTGAATTTCTAATCTTGATAGTAACTCATATATCACCAGATGATTGAACAAGTCAAAGCCTACTTCGAGGAGCCAGAGACAGGGCTTGCACTCAAATTGAAGGTGATGGAGTTTCAAAAGTCCCACAGATTGAGGCTGGACCAGTATCATAAAACAGTGGTGAGTTCAAAACTTGAATTGAAAACGATAAATTGAAGGTATGTAGCCTACTGTATCTTATTATAAAACTATAAGATACAGTAGGCTACATAAGAAAATACTGCCCTAGCAAACCTGTAGACTAAGGGAATTTCCGTTTGCCTGAATGGATTTTCACATAAATATTTCCTTAAAGATATGAGATTTATTCCCTATTTTAACATTAGGTTTTACGAGTACTTATTGAATTATTCGTTACCTTGCCTTTGTTCTTGCAGGTTTCAGATGGTTCCTCCAATATATTTGGCCACAGCCACAATTATGGTATCTTCAGAAAGTAGAGAAGTTCTATTTACATATTATACATACACTATATACACACACAGCACAACAACGCCATTTAGTTTTCATAGGTTTTCCAGGGCAAATTAATAAATTTTATCAAAGTATTTTTCAATTCAAGTAGGCCTACAGTACCATCAATGTAGGCTATATGAAACTTGGAAACTTTGGAGTAAATTATTTTAAATAAATAATTAAGATGTACACAATCTTTTTTACAGGTGGAAAAATACCAAAAGCTAAAGGGTGAATACCAAAAGCTGAAGAGTTTATATCAAAAGATGGAGGCAGAGCACAGACAGATGAAAGAGTAAGATTTCAAGTTGTGTATTTTTTCTAGTTACAGTAATTAGATGATGACTGTGTTCCTAAGTCATGTGTGCCATTTGGACACTAAACAAATATTCATTGTGAACACTTCACTAAAAGCAAATACGTTTGGTTATCATTCAGGAAGTGGTAAGTTAGTCTATATAATTACAATTTTAAGATAACTATTGGCCATCTATAAGGTGCAATGATGTAAGCAACATGTCTTCATTTTAAATCAACAAATTTTGCAATTGCCATGAAATATTTCTCCGTTGTGAATGTATTAACTACAAAACGGGTAGAGTGACACTATGTTAATGTTCCTGTATTACTAAGGAACCAACTGTTCTTTATATCTTTGTGTTTGTTGTTTTACTCACTTGGTGAATTTAGGTAATGTGTTTTATTAATGAAAGGTTGTAGAAGTTTAGTATTTTGTTTTTCGTATTTCCTAACTGTGTATTTTTTAATGAGCTTTAGGTAAAGAGGTCTGACCAAAATCTAAGCATTTTTGTACAAATATATATTTTATGTGAATTGAACATCAATAACATTTTATTGGCTTTGCTACCGTACCGGTACCATTTTACATGCTGTATTCTTCTTTAGCCTATTGATTTTTACTATAGTTATAGGGATACAAATGTATTGTATATTAAAAAAAAAACTAAATTATATTATTGAATTACAAATCAGTGCCACTTACACCGGTCTATGTAGCTTGATATTTTCTTACCACTTATCTGAATTAAAAGAAAGAGATATAATATCATCAAAATAATAAATACTGTATGCAGTATAGTTGAGTTATATCTCTTAAATCAATGGTGGAAGTGTAACTATTTCATACTAGATTGAAAGATCACTCCCATTGCAAGGCCCCCGTACAGCTAATAGTTGAATTACAATTTCTGTTGACAAAATTAGCTATCATAATTTTCTAAGTGTAATAACAAATGTAAAAACTGCAGAAGGTTTACAGTTTATACTACTCTTGCGACAAAGATGTTGAGTAGCCTTTTAATATTGATGGTAAAATAAGTACCAAATATAAAAATATGCATAACAAACATCGTCATTTGTATACCATCAAAATTTACGGGGATGGACAGTAGAATGGAGAATGGACGCAGAACTCTGCACGACCGATTTGGTGGTGTAAGCCTTGGAGGGGGGATGGGCACCCTTGAGGAGTATCGAGGCTGGTTTAGTGTACTGTTGTAATTAACATGAAATCTGACTAAATTAGTCATAAGAGAGTTTGATAAAAAGCTTAAAGATAAAATAATTTGCAAACTGCTAAAAGTTATTGTTATTTTCCAGGGAGAATATGATGTACAGAAGAAGACTAAATGCACCTCCATCTGGTTCCTCTCTGTTCAGACAAAACAGTCAAGAATCTCCGGTAAGTAGTCTTGAATTTACCTGTGTTTTTTAGAAATGTTTGTAATTTTTTATTTACAGGAATATTTAAACCAAGCACAAACCAAAATCCAGACTCATCCTATATTCAAAATACGTCAGTAAATAATTGGACCAGAATGATTTACAATTACAGTAAAAACATAAAAAAATATTCTCTTTTCAAATATTGTTCGCCATAACACTCTGTTTTAGTGGACTTTTAGTGGATGGATTTAGTCAGTTGCTGTTTGCCGTATGTTAAATTGTATGGAATTTCTTTATGTACTACTGTGCCTCAGTGGCGGATCCAGAGGGGGGGCGACCGCCCCCCCCCCCCTCGGACATACATATACATATATCTTTTACTACATGTGATACAGTAGTGTATACAAATTGTGTAAAATAATTTGTCACACTAACTTTGGACAAAGAAATCCATTTTGAACTAAAAAAAACTGCCATTTTGGAGACTTACTTTACACAAATTTTTACTCGAACCCCCCAGACCCCCTGGTTTGCCCCCCCCCCCCCCCTTGTGGCTGTTCTAGATCCGCCACTACTGTGCGGCAATAAATTTTGCCGGACACCAACTGATTACAATTAGTTTTAGTGGTATTGAAAACCTTGTATATTTTTAAGCATAACCAATCATTAAGTGATAAAACTTACACTTAACTTTATTCTGAAGATAAAATTAAAATACAAGCTTGTTACTAAACCTACATCATATAAGTTTGATATAAACTACAACATAACCTCTCAGAGAAGCTAGGAGAAGTGGTTGTTAAGTCCTTAGGCCAGTGGGAACATTTAAGAGATTTTGACAGATTTTTATTTGTTAGATTAGTTTAGGGTAGTATGGCAAAAAATATTGATCATATTTTTCCAAAATACCGTACTTGTATGGTTATCTTGCACTAGACTTCAGTTCGCTCGGAAACAACTATACTTGTCAGGTAAACAGCTATTTTCCGGACTACTATGTAATATACTATTTCCTGAAGTAAAAACTCTGCTTTTTGGATAATATTTAAAATTTAAATATTTTTTTTGCTCACAATTCATTTTACAGATGTGCAAAACTTATCTAACTGACATGCAGTCAAACAAATTCAAACTAGTCAAAGTAAAAAGCAATGAATGTGATAATATAATTTCACTTTTTAGGAATTTTATAACATTAAATAACAACATATTGTTTGCATGTTTTTAGTTCATTCGGACATCGGAGAAAGAAAATCGAGCGCCAAGTTCGCCTTTTTTTGTCACCCCGCCGAGACCTTTATCTTCTAGTCAGATATACAGGTAAATAGTTAAATTAGCTAGTTTTCTTTTACCAAATAAAAATATTCAACGGAACTAAATCCAATCATTAGACGTTTTATTTGATAATGCGGTAAAGTACAGACACTGAAAAACAATTTTTGAGAAGAAAAAACTGTACCAGGTGTTTAAGGAAAGATCTCTGCATTTGTCATCAAACTTATAACAGTATGGATTAAGTATAATTTAATATAAAAGTTAAACAAAATAATAATCTGCGTTTGAATGTATGAAATTTATTTCTTAGACGTTTCAATTCTCTCCCTAAATAAACGGTATCAGCATTCTGACACATACTTTCTCCCATAAGTTTGTCAACAACCTTTATCATGTGTAAGTGGTGAGTGTAAATATACGCAAATGGGATTTGTACAATATTGTTCAGAATTTATTTATTTGTAAGAATAAAACTTATAACTTATAAAATTAAATGTTCTGACTGTCCAAACTATTACATAGGTCAGACCGGCAGATCATTTAACACGTTCGCTACTGAGCGTCGCATATATGCGACGCCGCGGTCTTTGCCACAGACCGAGGTATACATTTGAATCTTACACATAGACCGACTGTCACTTGGATAACAGTACACACAGACCACGGGCGAAAACCTGTAAAACAGTGATCATTTACATTGTAATACGTTACAATCGTGTTTGTAAATAAATTATTCTTGTTTATTTGTATTTTTTATAACCTTTTGTAATGTCGCATATTTGCGACGCCCGGTCTACAGCGAAGATAATAGTGAAAATTATCATAGTTTTCTTCGTTTTCTTGAAATAGACTAAACGTCGCATATATGCGACAGTTCATTTTTTTGTGTTTTAAGGTGAAAGTAAGTAAAGAAATAAACAGATTATTCAAGAACAGTTTATAACTGAACAAATATAAAAGCTACATAGGACAATGCAGCATACATACTGCATACATAATACAGTGATGCAGAAAAGTAAAGACCAGTTTTTCCAACTATTATATGACGTCACCAATCATCATATCCACAGACCAAGCGACGCAGTTGTGCGTCAGACATCTCTGTAGACCACTGCAGGGAATTCAGTGCCTTCAAATAGACCGTTACAAAGATATAAGCATTTTAATAACATTAGAACCCCGACGCAAATATGCGTCGGCAGTCTATTTTAATGTGACTAGCCGTCGCACATATGCGACGGCAGTCTATGGGTGGAAACCGGCCGTCGCATATGTGCGTCGCTGGTCCATGTGAATGGAAAATTTCATACTATTGCAGTAGCGAACGTGTTAAGAAACGTTTTTCTGAACATTTACCTAAACCAAAACAAACAGAACAAAAATCCAAGTTCGCTGAACATTTATTAAATTCAAACCATACTGTTAGTAGTTTTAATGATAATGCAGAAATTTTACATGTTTGTAAGAAAGGCTTCATGCTAGACACCCTCGAAGAATTCGAAATATACAAAGCCACTAAATCCTACCCGTACAACATGCTCAATGAAAAACTTAATTATGGTTCAAACAAACTATTCAACACAGTCTTAGATCACTTTGGTAACAATTATGTTGGCAACACGAGTCCTGGAGGCACAGCTGATAAACGAAATGGAGTGGGGTAAATAGTCAGTCATCGTCGTCGACCAGTTCAGTGACGTGTGCCGGCCGGCCAATTATGTTAAATGTCTACCGTGTTCGTGTTATGTTTGTTTGTGTGTTCGATATATTTAAGTTTTGACGACATTCAACGAATGTAATATTTTAACGTTCCGTTTTTGATAATGACTACGTAGTAGTCGAAACTATAGTCAACGGATACCGACTAAGGAATTGTGGACGTCAAGGTACGTAACCTGTTATAATCAAGTAAGAATGCCTTCAATTTATCATAAATATAGATTTGTCTTTTTAATTTTTTTTTTAAGTCAGAAAGTTTTATAAAAATAGTGTTCAATATGAGGAGTTTTATTTCTAATATTTATGTTACAGAAATGTCAACACCCCATCAACACCAATGTCAGATGGAAGTACTTCACCAATCTCTGTGACTTCCAATCAAAGTTACCGGTATGTTTTTATTTATGTCCAACCTTCACATTCTAGGATGTAGGCTCTTAATTCTATTTTATCAGAATGCAGTTATGGAAGATTTCCCACTTATCTGGACAACTTTTATCAGAATTTGTGTGTTAAATGTACAAAGTTTTGTTACAGTAGCTGTGTCAGTGGCAGAAGCAGTCAGAAAATGTATCGGCCGGGACTCACTCCTCCATTCAATAGACTCAGCTTACTGTCTGTCAGCGCACAGCGAACCAGGTATTTTGTGTTCTTAAGCCTCGAGCGGGCGCTTGCGGAGTTTTCCTCCGCACTTGTAGTTTTTGTTAATATAAATATGCATAATGGGTGTCGGCAGTCGTGTCCACACTTCATGCACATCATCCTGGGAATGCCCCTAAGCTATTTTTACCCCCGAATTCCTCCTCATTTTGTTGTCAGTTGCAATTCAGTGACGCGGTGTCAGTTTGCGGAGGTTTACTCCGCTTGCGCCCTATCACGTAAGTCCTTAGCGCAGAGTTTATTTCCTCGTGCCCTATTGTCAAACTGTGTGTATATTTTATATATACAAAATTATAAACATGTTTAAAAGTATTATTTCATTTATAATTACTATCAAATATATTTTGTTTGTATGTATTTGTATAATTGCATTATTGCGGGACAAAACTCCGCACGTGCTCTCTCTCTTAACATACCTTTATACTAGAAAATTGCTCAATATGACTATTTGTGAAACATTATTCATATAATGTTAAAGAAAAAATCTTATTAACAAAGAAATTATGTGTCTGATTAGGTTATTCAACATTTACATATAATATTTCGTTATAACAACAAGTAAAATTGGTAAAACTTATGCTATTTAGTGTTGCGGAATAAAACTCTGCATGCGCCCCCTTCTGTTTTACTGGTGAAGCACCTCCTTGAGGGTTAAGTTGAGGAGTCAATCAGTCAATATAATTAAGATTAAATATTTAAAGTTCAGTGCATACTACAAAAGTGAAACAAATTTAAAACTTTTTAAAGCTGCTCTAATTAAAATGTTATTTTTTTCAGGGAAACAAGTTCAAGAAACCAACATTAAAAGAAGTGGTGCAACTAGAGCCTTTTAGTTAGGTTTTTTGTTGTTCGTTTAGTTTTTCTAACTTCTAAGTGATATTTTCTTTTATGTTATTACTTTTCTTCCTAAGTGATATTTTCTTTTAGGTAATTACTCTTCTTCCTAAGTGATATTTTCTTTTAGGTAATTACTCTTCTTCCTAAGTGATATTTTCTTTTAGGTAATTACTCTTCTTTCTTAGTGATATTTTCTTTTAGGTAATTACTCTTCTTTCTTAGTGATATTTTCTTTTAGATAATTACTCTTCTTTCTAAGTGATATTTTCTTTTAGGTAATTACAATTAGGCATTATGGTGACCAGGGGATTAAATAGCTAACTGTTTTTGTTAAACTTAAAATTTAGTCTTGGTAATAGTGTCAAAAGAGTTTAACGTTTTGTAAACATTAATTTTTATTTAAAAGAAATAATTAATTTGATTTCTAGTAATTGACTTAAACAAGAGGTTAGTTCAGTAGTTTAATGCATTGTACAGGATTGAAAACCTTTAGGTTAACTTATTCATGCTTTTTTCAGTTTATTATCATAGATAGATATCTTTAGTGTCATGTTCATAGTGTTATTTTCTTGTTGCATTAAATTAATTTAGTTTCTGTACCCTTTCAATAAATATTAATATAAAAGGTATGTTGACCAAATTATTTATTAGGTTCACTAAATAATCCCTAGGTTATTAAATAAAAAAAAAATTAATAGTGTTTTAAAACAATTAATAGTGTTTTAAAACATAATCAGATACAATAACCTCCCTCTAATAAGAGGATCCCCTTTATTACCTATCAAACAGACATTGCTTTGACTGGTCATTGTCAAAACATTGCCCTCCTTTTCACTGGTTTTACCTTTCAATAACACAGTGCTCAAATCAGTTGTGATCGGTCGGCCTTACAGAAAAGCTGAGGATGACATAGACATACTTTATTTGCAGCACAAAACATTCCATACATGTCATAACATTTAGAATAGGTGCATTGTCAAAATTAAATCTATATCTATAAAAGAGGAACTATGTATGTATGTATATATATGTGTATATACGTTATGGACTCCGAAACCGCTCGACAGATTGTAATGAAACTTTCAGGCATTATTAAGCATCTTTCAAGGATGGTTCGAGTGAAGTTTGGTGCAGATCCGTCAAAAGGGCTCTGCCCCAGAGGGTTTTAAGTGGGCCAATGTCAGACTTTTTGATCTAGAATGTTTACAAATAAATATAATTTAAAAGCAGATGTTTACTTTCACCAACTGTTTTGTAGGTTTGAATAACTACAACATTCTGTATTAGCATTAGTCATGATTTGAAATCGTGCCACAGTGTTTCTACAGATTGCAGCACAGAAAACTATTTTACTTTTGAATAAGCCCAAAGTATTAAGCCCCAATCGCAGCACTCCTGTGCACTTAACAACGTTTGTTTAAATTCACCAATGTTAAATATTAAAACATAAAAACCTTTATAAAAGTACTGTATTATAAACAATAAAAGGGATGACTTTTTTAAATGTATGACAACAGCTAATTTGCAACCAAAAGGTGAGTGAGCGTAGCGAACGAACATCAACCTGGAGGCGAGTAGCGTAGCGAACGAGCTAACCTGAAAACAAGTGAGCGCAGCGAACGATTTCCAACCTGAAGGTGAGTGAGCGTAGCGAACGAACTTCAACCAGGACGTGATTGAGCCATGCGAATACTTATGAAGTTAAGCGGGGCAAAGCCCGCGGGTACAGCTAGTCCATACATAAAACAATTAACATTTAAAATAAACTTAAAACTAAACACTTAAAATCAAAACAAATTTAAAAAATTACAAATTAATGTTCTGTAAATATCTTCAATTAAGTAAAAAAGTCTTGTCAATAAGTAAATTATTTATTGTCTCTTTAAATTTGGTTTTGTTTAATGACTTGCAGCATGGTGAAAGCACATTGTACAATTTCAGCCCAGCATACAATGGAGAATTTTCATAATAGGGTCAAACGGTGCTTGGGGAGTCTAAATATACAGGGTCCCGTAAGTAGGCCTAAACAGCCAAACTCCGGGAAATGGTTCTATGGGTCAAAATAAAGAGAAAAATCAAGAATAAAATGTTTTTCCAAAATCGCTTTGTTAACCAGATATCTGCCATTTTGTATTTTTTACATAAACATTTTTATTTTTGAAATTTTTTCAACCGATCTTTATAAAACTTGGTATGTAGATTAAGGTAGTAAAAATCAACTTTAAAAAAGAAATTCATCTTGATTCAACTTAAAATTTCAAAATGGCGGCCATTTTCGTTTTTAAATTTTAAAACTTTCTCTATCAAACGGTACCAAGTTAAAAAAGGTCTAATAATAATTAGCTGAAATATTAAGAGTTTTAGTTGTAAAATGGGTTAAACAGGACTATTTTAGCCTTATTTTACCCCATTTTACAACTAAAAATCGTATAGCTATTTATCATTCAATCTTTTTAACTTGGTACCGTTTGATAGGGAATTAAAAATGCCAAATAAAAGTGTTCTTGACATCTTTTCATAAAATTTGCCGTTTTTGAGTAATTTAAGTTTTAAAAATTAAAATGGATGCCATTTTGAAATTTTTTATTAAATCAAGATGATTTTTTTATTACACTGGTCTAGTTCACCTTTTAACGTACATACAGTACCAAGTTTCATAAAGATCGGTTAAAAAAACGCTAAAGAGAAAAATGTGTTTCAAAAAACACAAATTGGCGGATATCTAGTTAACGAAGTGATTTTAGAAAAAAATGTTATTCCTGATTTTCACCTTAATTTGAACCATAGAACCATTTCCTGCAAACTTTGCTGTTTGCTTACAGTTAAAATATATTAATATATTAATAATAATTAATAATATATATTAATATATTAATAATAATTAATAATATATATTAATATTAATATATTAATAATAATTAATAATATATATTAATATATTATTGAGTATATGCATGAAAATTTAATAAAATTTGGAAATTACATGAAAACTATAACTATAAACCTACGAGAAAGCTATACAATTTCAGAATCATTGGTCAAGTGTTTCTTTTATCAGACCAGGCTATCAATCAATCAATAAAATTCTTTATTTCATACGAAGTTCATTGCTAGCAATTTGTACAACAGTATCATCAATATGTCACAAGGCTGAACCTTTCATTTCAAGTGTAAACCAGTATCTCCTCACATACAATTTATTTGTCGATTAAGCTGAGTAGAAACAGAGATGCATCATTAAAGTAGAACTGTCCTCATTAAGTAGGTTTGAACTGATTGAGAGGAATACATGCAACTGAAGGGGAAAAGGAGCAACAAATGCACTAGTACTTACTAGTGTCCAATTACAATTTGATGGATTTAACCAAAACCTTTTCTACTGTATTTAACTTATTTTCAGCCGTTAAATTTCAAACAATACGTTTTAGCTACATCATATTAACATTATTATTATCTTCATCGTTTGAGTTCGGGTTTGCGGCAATGTATTTTTATGAATAAAACCTCTATATTGATACCAAACTTGACCTCTGCTGCTATTTGACTGTATGGGCTATTAATTAACAGCTGTGTCTAAGGATTATGTCGGTCTTAGTCACTAACAAGACTATACAAGATCGCGCCACTCATTCCACACTCATCTCCATTCATACTTGGCTTAAAATACCTACATTTGTATAGTCGTCATTTCAAAGACAGGTAAAAAAGTATTAAAAGTATTTAAAAATGTTGTCTTACTCTGTGTGGCCCATCCCCCTTAAGGGATAAAACGTGATAATAGTTTAAGACAGTATATATTTATGGCTATTATTGATATACCAAATCTCATTACTTTATCTATATTGGTAAAAATATTTACCCAATCCGGGACTTCATCAAACGAATCGTCCACACCCATTCTTTATATCAATTTCACTGCATCAATTGCTAAAAAAATAAGTGTAAACAAAGAAAAAGTAAAAGCAATAACATATCGTTTGTTTTGAGACAGCTGCTTGGTTATAATGACATTCATTTGAAAGAAGAAGTGGTTACATGTTGAAGGGAAAAGTAAACATGCTAGTAAAGCTAGTGACGTAATTGTATATGTTTATTATCCATATCGTTATCAGTTCTAATATCCTTGATAATTACCCACCCTCATTGAAACAATGTACATAGTAATTTGCATATTAATTTATTTAACCTATAGGTAAGATATTTAAATTTGAAATAAAAGTGATATTTTTGCCTAAATCAGTGCCCCCAAACGTAACCAGAACTGAACAAACTCCAAACAACCTTATTTTAGAGTTCGTAAAAGATGGTTTGTATAATTATTGCAGTAGGTCAATGATTTACTTTGTGTTCAATCTATGTTATCCCATCTTTGGATAAAATCCGGCTGAGGTTGTGGTAGTAATTTAAAATCGTGATTACTGATGGTTATTGCTTGATCTCCTTTTTTTATGACATCAATATTACCGGGCCTAAAAGGCTACCAAGATGAATTAAAGTATCAGGTAAATCGAAGATAAAAACGTGACAGGTTTTTTTTATCAACCACTTGACGGATTTTCACGGTTTTTGTGTTGAAAGAAAGATAATTTTGAGAACTAGGTAATGTCAAAGCCATAATTTTAGTTTAAGGTATCAGTTTTTTAGAAATTAAGTTTTAATTTTTAAAAAGTCTAGCAGCCGACGTAAACATTCTAGACCAGTTTTTGCTATACAGTAATACCATTTGCTTAACGCAACAGCTGTAAACATTCAGTGTTTTTTAAATTCAGTATTTGGATGAAATTGAAATGACATACGTATGGTTAATATATTTTTACTATGTGTAATGCTGTGATCATTAATACGTTAATTTATTCGGTAAGAGGATGACAGATTATTTAAATATACATAATAAAATACTTGATGTCCTAATTTATATTTTTGAGCAGTCTTGAAAATCTTTAGTTTGTTTTAGTGCAATATAATTTGTTATAACTAACAGCTTGTTGAATATACAAATATTCCATATTCTATAGAGATCTATGACGTTACCTATTTTATTTACTTTGTGATTTTGTCATTGATTATAGGAAATAAGTAAGATTCTATAACCATTGCTATATACGAATCGAAGCTACAGTTTTCAAAAGAAAGCTTATGAAAATGTTTTTTACTACTTCAATTTTTGAGGAAAGGTTGAGAAATAACAATGATCACATGCTTTAATTCATCTTGGCAGCTTTTTCTTTGAAATAAATTTTGAACTGCTTTAAACTATGCTTGAATTAGGAACATAAATATTGATATAACTATATACAGTTTTAATGGACTACTCGATTCCCGTACGTAGGACGGGCCAACAGCTCGTTTTTATTTATTTTGACTTCAATAGTGCTTTTGTCTCATATAATATTGGTTATAAATAGAAGGAACAATCAAAGACATTAAAGTACTGGTAACTCTTATTAATCTACAATATATGGTTATGGTGTATTTGTATTTAATTTCATTTTAAGTATGTGTTTACAAACCCTGACTTTTTTACATTTATATTTTAAGGGAACAGATTAAACCCTGGTCTTGGTCATATGGCAAGCTTTTGTAAGTAATTCA